GCCCTGACTGATAAAGAAACTGGGCTTCTACATCCCAGGAAGTGACCACCATATTATGCTGACTGGTACTGGGTGGGATCTCTCACTCTCATTTGGAGCTGTCCTCCTTTGTATAAATACTGACTGGATGATAATCTCCTGTATAACCCATGGAGTATGGCACTTGTATGGCTTAATATCAAACGATTTTGTATGAAGTGGAAGAGCTCCAACAGAAGATTAGTGTCCCACATGAGAACAGTCAGTGGCCTGGAGGTCTGCTTGAATTTTGAGACTTAGATATGTTTAAAGACTTGAACATTGTTCTCATATGCCAGGTAAGTGTCCTGTTTGCATGGCAGTGACTGTTCTGGTAGGGTATTGGATAGTTAAACTTTGTACTGGAAGACTTGCATGGACCTACTAGTAAATTTCTTTGGACTCAATCTACCTAAGATCTTGTGAAATGACTTATTGCTTATGTTATTTTAACTTCACTCATAATCTATGCACACAAGTGAAATTAATGTAAACACTGATTTTTAAAGCCTGATTTTAGGAAAACGTATCAGACACTGGGTTGAGGATGTGTACTGGTTTTAACCTGATCGAATTAAAATAATTTGATCATCTGTATTTACAAATATGGAAAGATTTCATAGGATTGTTTGTCCCCCCTGAGGATATGTTCATACCACTTCGCCTTTGAATTATTCAATCAAGAATAATTCTGAGATTTTAAAATGTGCTTCCCTGATATAAAGCAGTACAGAGGTTAGTTCTATTACTTTTTTCTACCTCATCTGAAACAACTGATGACACTCTTCAATCCTGTGTTTGCTACTTGCTGGAAAAGCCTTTATTTAAAAGATGCTGCTGCTGGTATGTTTTCCCCCAGTAGAGACAATTATTGCAATTTATCAGAAAATAGGAGATTAGAAGTAACATCCTAGCTAATATATTTTTATTTAGTTCCAAAAGTGACATTAAAAATTGTTAGTAATTGCCACTTCTGAATGACCTTGTAAGTGATAAGCTACATTGCTATGTCATTATTGCAGAAGAGCAATATTCAACTATTTCTTTTGTCTTAATTGACTTTTGATCAGCTCTTTGCATGTGTCAAAATTTCTGAACACTGGTTAATAACCTTTCAGAGTAAAGGCTGTTTATAGATTATACACATGTAATCTAATGTTCTGCCATTATACGATTAGTATTAGTAGCACCAAACTGAAGGAGATCATTAACAGTGCTGGAAGTATGCGTGTTGGAATGCAGAAATTGCCTTACTCATTAAAATAGTAAAACTCTCAAAGAAAAGTCACTTTCAGTGATAGATCAAACCTTTGACGTAACTATCAGTGGTGCACAAGGAGGTGCCTAGAGGTGGGGGTGCATGATGGCCTGTACAGAATCATGGGTTCTGTTCTCTTTTTGAATTTGACATGGCACCCATTGTTAGAGCGTCTATAGTTTGAAGTTTCTTCTGACATCTTCCTTTTAAATGTGTAGCTTAAACCTTTTATGCATGATGAAAGTATTATCTCCTTTTCTGCATAATGGTAATTTTAAATTAACAAGATGCTCCATGAAGCTGCTGCTTTTTTTTTTTTTTTTTTTTTTTTAAACCAGAGCTGTTTTTTAGAATATATTTTAGTCTATAAGGACAATCATATAAAGTATCCTGACTTACGAACTGGCATATCTGAGTCAAAAAAAATTGGAAGGGGAGGGGAAAACCCCACACCATATCCTGCCACATAATCCTTTATTTATAACCACAGAATAAAATAAAGCAGTAAATCCTCTTATGCCTGTAAATACCTTTACTGTACAAATAGAATAAAATTGTGAGAACTGTAAAAGTTATTAATCTTCATACAGAGCTGGGGGAGAGAAGACAGTTTTTAATAGCAGCCTTGTAGTGCCATTAGATTGTAACAGTAGAACTGAATAATTGACATGTTTTATCTTTCTTTGTCTGCACCTCACTCCCAAAGCATTCAAATTCCTGTTTCTGAGTGTGAAGATGACTTTACAAAATAATTACATACAGTATTAAGTACTGCTATTACGGGAAGCGAAGGAGTTGTGCTGGGAACTTCCCAGAGGCAGAGTATGGGTATCCTTACCTTTTAAAAGGTTATAACCTAACCAGAGAGAAGAGTGCCCACCAATTTCTCTTGCAGTGTCTCTGCACAATTCTGACATCTGCTTAAAATCTGCAGACAATCAATATATAGAAATGTAATCAGCTAAAAGACATTGTTTTAATGGCACAAGAAATTGGAAATGAGATGAGATGGGACATTCTCCAGTCAGTCTCCAGTAACCATAAACTGTTAGTAACTGATGCTTATTTGTCTGTCTTCAGTGAAATGCACTGGCCAGGTTCTAGCAGGCAGGTATGTATCACAGCACGGATTGCTCTGCGGGGTCTGTGGATTTAAGCTTCCATGGCTTTCAGGGCAAGTGGTTTGACCGATAAATTCACCTTTTTAAAAGCAGATGGAACTGTGGGTAGCTTCTTACATGTACACTTCAAGATGGAAGCATTATGAAGCCAGGACGCCCCAAGGACACACTGTTTTATCTGTTCTTATAACAAATATATGTAATTTACTATAAATGCCTTCTTAGAACCATAGAAACACTGATGAAACTGAAGAATTGGTCGGGAACTTGGACCTGGTACTTTTTGTCTCTTTGTGCGTGATGTTTATCCTTCAGGTGACTTAGTTTTAATTGTTATAAAGAAGTGCTTGACAAGGCATACTAAAAAATTATTACTGTTGTGTCTTTAATCTTCTTTTTCTCCTTTATAATTTCTCTTCTTGCACTGTGTGGCTATGTATCTGAGTGCTACCAGGTTTACCATCAAATTCTTGTTTATGCTTGACTTTATGATGGAGACATTCAGCCTTATGAGTAATAAGCTCATTAAGCCTAAACTGCTTTAACTCTAAACCATGGTGATGCCTTTTGTGAGGGGCTCTCCAACCCTACGATTTGTTCCTTTAGAGGCTTAATTTTGTCAATTTTCTATGTGTTTTTTTTTTCATCTACTTGAAAGGCAATTATCTGCCTTGTTCCAGGAGACTTCTGGAGCTTTCTGACAGGTTAAGGGAAGTATTTATTTGTTAAGATTTTGATTCTGGAATTTCAACAGAAGTTGATAAATGTAATGAAAAGTGATTAAATTAGTCTGCTGCACTGGCCTTATGGACTTTGAGTGAAAGCCAGTACTAGGCAGGCAGAGGATCAGGCCTAGTGCTTGGGTTTGTTTGGTGGGATTTTTTTAGTTTGTTTACTCAGTAGAGAAAATCAGAATGTATTCATGTATTCAGAGCTGGCTACTGCTTCATCCTGTTTATAGCTATCTTTTATATAAGAGAAGAACAATATTGTAAACTGGAGGTGGCTCCACATGGTAAGACCAAATGTGTTTCCTAACTCTTCCCCAAACCTACTGAAAAACTGGTGTGGGACTTGATTTTTTCTTTTTTTTCCCCTTAGCTGCAAGGAAGCGTTAAAATCTGTATTACCTGTTAATACACACACCCACTTGCTTATGGTTATGCTTATTTGCATCCAGACACATTTCTTTCCCAGTCCTGACATTTTACTAGGCACCAAATATACAAATAAATTAAATTACTGCTTAATTTTCTAGCTTCTCCATAAGACTCAGATTAGTGTCATTGTTTAATAAGAGATTTGTGACACCTTATGCATTATTAATGCTAGCTTGTGTTCCAGTTTGGTTTTTGGATAAATTTATCCTTGATGTAGGTCTATTAAAGACTAATTTGTTGCACAAAATGTTCAGGCATACATCAGAGTTAGGATGTGCCATCATCTTGCAGCGTAGGCAAGCCCACTGTAGGCTTTCACCGGTCTCTTTGGAGAGTCTTTCATGTTGTCATACCCTAGAATTGTCCAGATTGTCACAAAAACTTCCCTTCCTCTTTTTTAGTCTTTTCATTAATTCCTGACTCAGAAAAATCCAAAAGAAACACACAAATGAAAACCTTTCAAAAAAACTGTGAAAAATTGACTTGTAACCTTGGAAACATTACAAGTCGGTTGTAGCTGCCTGTCATGCTTTTCTTTCCTTTTTACTGTCTCCTACTACTAATTTTCTGTAAAATTATTTCCAGTCACAAAGGTATTTGGTGACTAACTCTTTGATTAGTTACTAAGTAAAAGGCCACACACATGATCAGTGTTACTCAACAAATGTTGAATTGTCAATATTGTTGTCAAGACTGTGTATGATTTTCTTTGCAGCCTCAATTGGATAAGTTGTCAGGGTTGATGTGCTGTTGTGGAGTGGTGCTAATCCATAGTTCCTCCTTCTAGGTGGACATAAACACCCTGGGTTTTAAGCCTTAAAGTGCTTCAGGATCCATTGAATTTAAGAGGACCATATAAAAGTGCAGTGCATGTTATTAGATGTTTGTAAGAGTTCAAGGACGTGATGTATTTTGGAAGACTGTCGTTATAGGAGCAGGTTCTACTTTGATAAATTATAAAAATGACTGTGAATGACTCACAGTTCAGTTATTATTATTCCCAGTGCTAATTATGTGTCAGAATTATCTGAAACACTGTATCAGACATGGCTTGGATACGCGTTACCTGTGTAATCATGAAACTGCACTTTTTCCAATGTAAACTTACTGAGGGCTCTATTCCACAAATCCTTCCTTTTGATGGCTCCTTTCTCACCCAAGCAGATGCTATGATTTAAGGGAACCTAATTAATCAGGGTAAAGATGTTTATGACAAGCTTTTAAACTAGTTTTGTAACTTTACCCTGTGGGGAAAAACTTGAAAATACTTTACAGAAAAGGTTGTGAAGTATTTGATCCTCACAGTCCTTCAATACTCACTGTGGACGTCTGAGGACAAAATATATCTTTGCTGATTTATAGCCCGTGAGAATTTATCCTGCCTCATGTGAAGATGTTTTAAGACTGCTTTTTGTTTTGTTTTGTTTTGTTTTTAATTTTCAGCTTCTGGAAAAAACCAACAATATGTTTGAGGAATCTGATTCTGCGGCTACAAAAAGTCCTTTGCACTTAGCTGTAAGTATGAGATGTGTAACCAGTATCTCCTGGAATAATTCCTTAACCTCTGTCTTTGAAGCAAGTTTAATCATAGACTTGTTTTGAAAATGCTGGGAAGGGATGTATGCCTAGATGTAACAAAAACAGGTTCTGGGCTGGAATCGTTAATTAAGTTTCTTGGCAGTTGAAGCTCTTGATTCTTATTGACTCTAACATTTGGGTAAGAAGAAGACACAGACACTGAAGTGAAATTAAATGAAAAGTTGCAACTTTTATAACTAGTTCATAAATTTGGGGCTGGAGCATGTGCCTATGGCTTTGATCATGGAATGGGATACTCTGATGTTCTCCTGGAGATGTGCAGAGTGCAAAAAACTGGTACACAGCAAGGTGTTGGGAAAGCATGCTTGAACCCCAGCCGTGCCCGGGGAGCGTGCCACAGAAACTGTGCTGTCAAAACGGGATCCAGCACATGTGGCCTCGTAGATCACAGCAGCTCCCCTTTCCCAAGAGCTCAAGATTCGTGATCCCTCTTCCCAGCCTTTGTGTGGGAATCACAGAGTAGTTGAGGTTGATGTGTACCTCTGTAGAGCAGCTAGTCCCACCTCCATGCTACAAGCAGAGTCAGCTAGAGCAGGTTTTCTCCAGGCTGTACCCCATCACATTCTGAGTATCTCTAAGCATAGAGAGTTCAGAGCCTCCAGGCAGTCTATTTCAATGTCTGACCATCATCACAGTGAAAATGGTGGGGTTTTTGCATTAAATGGAATTTTCTGTGTTTAAATTTGGGCCCGCTGCCTCTTGTCTTGTCACTGGGCACCCCTGAGAAGAGTCTGGCTCTGTCTTCTTTGCTCCTCCATCAGGTGTTTATATACCCCTGAGCCTTTTCTTTTTTGAGGCTGAACAGTTCCAGCTCACTCAGCCTCTCCTCAGACATCTTTCACAAACTGGGTCTTCAGTGAATATCCAACATCACTGTGAAGCTGCCCTCCTCTGGAAAGGAAAGCAACTTGCTTACTCAAAAACGGGGCAAGTTTTAGTTCTGTAGCGATCATACCTCTGTTTCCCAGTCAGCCAGAACAGCCCTGGCCTGATGCTTGAATTATTCACAAGTAATCTGAGGGAACAAGAGCCAAAACAGTTGGCTTAAAAGACCGAGTTTGTCACTGAACTCTTCTTCCCATCTTTTTTTCTGCAATTTGTATATTGCAGGAGGGAGAGTGTCACTCCCAAGCCCAAAGAGGAGTTACAGCCTGCATTATCACCAACGTAAATTCCTGTGCTGGAGAGGGACTTGCCCTGCAGCTGGCGAGACAGCAAACTCATTTCCTCTCTGGTCCCTCTTGGACAGAATCCTTGCAAGGACACTGCCAGCGGCTCTCCCTCATGTACCTGTTGCTGGTTAACAGCAATTCAGTCACCTAAGACACCCCAAACCCACAGTTTAAAAATGAAAAAGCTTACATAAAACATCACCATGTCACACTCCAATTGCAACTATCCAGGAGCGTCTCTGACATTTGTTTCAACCCCTCCCATGTATCGGGGTGCCTCTGGCCATCCTTCCCCAGGTCTAGCAGTCTCCACACAAATCTCTTTACATGTGGATCCAGAAAGCCGGCAACCTACACCAAAACACAAAGTCCTGTTAAATGACTGATATGGCGCAGTGGCCAAGGCCTCTGCTTATAGATGTTTAACCCTACAATGTAAACAGGATTTAGAAACAAGGGGTGAACTAGCAGCCAACAAAATACTGACCTGCCATTCCCTGAGGCTATAGTGCATGATTATGGTCATGGTTGAGTAAATGACTGCACAAGGCAAACCAACAGGAAGAAAAAGTCAACTTTTTTATCCTGTCAAGGAGAAGATAGGGTATACAGTCTGCCTGGCACCTTCAACATAGATACCTCACCGTGTGTCAAAGACCAGGTTGTTGCTAGTTGTTTTCTAAGTAAAATTGCCATATGAAGGAAAGCTGACAACTGCGTCAAAATATTTTCTGAGATATGAGTTCCCTGTACCCTAAACTCCCTTTTATTTTCTTTTTCTGCCTTTTCCTTTCTGCTTTCCTTAAGTTGCTTTCTTGGTCTGATAGGGAAACAGCTGTTCCCTGCACTGTCCTGTTCCTTTGAACTGTTGACAATGGTCACTAGGAGCAAGCTGCTGCCACCACTACTTAACCTTGGAATTCAGTGGCTCTTTGATTCCTTCTTGTTTGCATTTCTCTTCATTAACTGCTTCAACTCTGGTAATAGTAATGATAAGTTCATGTATAAGTAAAAAGGATGTTTTCTGTGAGTCTGACAGTAAGAAGAGGAGGGCAGTCCCTGCAAAGCTGAATGAAATGCTTCCAGTTTCTGCGGCTATCCATTGGGCTTTTGCCATGTCACCCGTGTCTGTGCTGTTGGCCCAAATGTGGCTGTAGGTCTGGAATTGCATCTTCTTGCCCACTGTAATTGTTCTACCAAACGATCCTCTTGGCAGAAATACACCCTGAAGCAGCAGCTAAAAACAGCAGGTCAAGTTTTTGCTTGTATTTGCACAAAAATCTGTTTTGAGAATTTCTTTCATTTAGTTGCAGACCAGCAGAGATGTTGAATTTAGCACCCAGTTAGGTGATAGTCCATGCAACCTTTGACCGGCATCACTTTACTGAATCTAGTTTTTGAAGCAAACATTTCCCTGGAAGATGCTGTAGAATGTGAAAAATTAATTGTTGTTTTGCTTGTGCTGAATTAGCAAATTACTTCCTGCAATTCATCACCTTGGCTTGTAATAGAAGGTTAGAGCAAATCAATAATCATAATTTCTGTCCCTAAATACTAGGAATTTTTTAGTTTGTTGGCTAAAGTGTCATTCTGGAAAATTCTTTCAAGTTGAAGAAAGTCATAAGGAACCAAGAAAACTGATTTCTACTGTGTTTTTAGAGGCTGTGACAATGATGGATTTGGTTCACGTTTTATGTGAAAGTCTTTGAAAGAAAAACGTTGTGTTCTTTGCGTGACATATTTCATATTTCTAGGCCTATAATGGTCATCATCAAGCCTTGGAGGTACTTCTCCAGTCTCTGGTAGATCTGGACATTAAGGATGAGAAGGGACGCACTGCTTTGGACCTGGCTGCCTTTAGAGGACATGCAGAGTGCGTGGAAGCTCTCATCAGCCAGGGTGCTTCTGTCACTGTAAAAGACAATGTCACCAAAAGGACCCCCCTCCACGCTTCAGGTTAGTGTGCACGTATGTTACCCTTGTGGTATAAACCCTACAGCACAGAAGCAGTTACCTTCACCTGCCTACTACCCCATGCACATTTCTGCTAAACAGCAGGAGATTTTGACCTATACTGAGCACTGCTGCTTGTCTGCTGAGGTCCTACAGTTAACACTTTATCTTTCATTTCCTTGGTCTTTTTTCCTCTGTCCTTGTGGTTCACTCCTCCCCACGCACAGAATTCCATATTTTTCCACACCACTACTTACCTGCTTGCCTCTACTTTACCGTACCTCTCTCTTATCTCATCTCATTAAGATGTGTGGTGTTTCCCCTACAACACCTTCTCTTAATGGTTCCTCAGCCAAAAAAATCAGGGGAAGGGAGAACACTTGGCTCACTGCTGCTCCTATGGAAGAAAGGTTGAAAAAACAGGTGGGCTCTGATCGGTGATGAAATTATCCTGGTGTTTGAAACTTTCAACCTTTTGCAGTGGCAACACTACAGAAATTCACCCCCTTTCAGACATTATCCTCCTCCCGAGCTAGCTTGTGAACTTGCTCTTGCTTGGGAGTCTGCTCCATTCCTCATGTGTTGGGTGTTAATTATGCAACATTCATAATTTACTGGAAAACGTAGAATTTGCCATTTATTTAAAGGTAATTATTTAATACGTACCTGTCAGATAAATACGCAGAGGTGCCAAAGGGAACGTTGCTGCCCTGGCAGCTTGTCGAGGGGCTCAGTACAGCATAGCAGTGACCTCTAGTGGGAAGTAAAATTAATACCTCACTGGATAACAATTATTTTCAGGGCCAGACTTAATTGTCTTTCTGTTTATCTTTTAATCTTGCTTAGATTAAAATGCATATACATCCTCTAATACCAGTTTATTTTCTGTGTGTGGTCGTGTAAATGCAATCTAGAGGCATAAGTTCAAGTAGACTATTATCAGGTGTTTTTTTTCTGCAGTACTGAAGAAAATGCACGTAATTGATCTTCACAGCATACTAAAAAATGCTTTCTGCTTTCTTAAATTTTGCATCAGAACAGAGTACATTACTCCCAACAATAAATTAATCATATAGAGATGTGCTTCCAGAGTTTACGTATCAGAAGCTTGAGACCAGAATTCAGTGAGAGGGGGTTTTAGTTGTTTTAGATAAAACCACAAGATGTTAAATCCTGCTGATCCTCACCCTGTTAAAACTGTTGGCTTAATTTAAATCAAGATCAGTGCCACCACAAAACTGGAACTGTGTTGGTCAAGAGCTCTCCTATAGTAACTTCAAAGATACCTTGGGGTCTGATGACAAATAAGGTGTGACTTTGGTACGTCATCCCTATAGCAATCATTTTGCATTTATTTAAAAATTTGGTTATAGTGACATAGCCATATTTTTGTTAGCAGCTTTGACTTAAAATATGAATTTGTTGAATAAATCTATTGAATAGAACTGAGTAATTTGTTGAGTAGAATGATTTTAATATGTACATTTCTTACCTTCATACAAATTCTGATTGTGTTTTTTTTTTCTCCTATTTTGATTTATTTTTTAATTGCCCCCATCACCGTAGCATGAGGGCCTTCCATGTAGAACCAGTAGGAAGACTCATTGTAGGCTTTCGTGGGCTGTGATACTTTTTGCTTCTCAGATTAAAAAAAAAAATCCAGGGATACAAGCAAAACGTTCTTTAAATCTGCAGAGAAGCAAACTAAGTTAGGTACGTCTTAATAAAAAAACAAAACAAAACAAAAGGCAAGAAAATCCAGCACACAGGAATGAGACCGTGAAGAGAACATGTGCAGAAGGGAAAATAGTGTACAGACACATTAAATATTTGAACTCCCAGTAAAGGAAATTTATCACTGTCATGAATTTGGAGGCTTTCAAATGTGAGATAAGTGCACTTTGGGTAAATACACATTAAAACTATGTTTAGAACCTTCCACTCCAGAGCTATGCAGAGTTCTGCGGAAATTAGTTCTGGAGTAAAGCTTCTATCTCCAACCATTATAAAAAGCCACTTGCAGTCTGACAATTTTTATTATGCTGTTTCATAACAATACCTTTTGTTTAGGAGTGTTTTAGCAAAGAATGATGCCACCTGTTGGAAACTCTGTGTGGTGCCACTGCAGCATTTGGCACTTATTTGCAGTGCAAGTATAAGAGGTAGATTGACATATTCTGAGAAATCAAACAGAATTCTTGCTGATTTAAGCCCTTGAGTGGCAGTGTGCATTTGCACACACAGAAGTGACTACTTGCATGTGCAACACTGCACTGGAAAGAAACAAGAAGGCGTGTGTGCCCATCCCCTTAAACATGTTTGCCTTCATTCCTCCTAATTACACAAGCACAATTGCTGAACACAGCAGTGAAGGAGACCTGAAGTGGTGGATTGGATTACAGGATTCTGCAGAGCTCCGTTCAGTAAAGGGATTTGTAACTTCAGTAGAGAAATCACCTAATGAAGTACTTACTTTTTCTGTCTGTCCCCCTCAGGGAATAGACTTCCTCTGACCTCATAATATGGAGAATTTCCTTAGCCTAAATTATATGTTCCCTGTGTAATTTTATTACCACCAGTCTTTCCTCTGGCTAGCTTGGGGAATCCATTGAAAAGTTTCCCTAGTGTTAGTGTTGTAGTTCTGTTGGCAAAACTAATGTTCCCTGCAGGGGCTGTAATGCCTAGCAATAGCTGGGTCAGCTCCTAGAAGTTTCTGGGAGTATCTGTTCTAAATCTCATTTACCAAAATCCTTTTCAGATGTTGTCGTGAACAAGTTATGATTTCTCTTCCTCCTGCTGGGAAGAAGAACAGATTTTTGATTTTTTTTTTTCCCCTCTTTTTTTTTTTTTCCTCTAAGCCAGTGACTCATCAGCCCTGCGGAACTGTTTACGTGTTACGTATGTCATTACTTAGTGGTAAATAACTAAAAATGTATTTTATTTTTCTGGGTAGAGCAACTAAGATTATTTTTGGATGAGTGATTTAAATGTGATGATGTGCGCCTGTTTCTCTGCCAGAGTGATGTGACATAGGTGGTGTCCAAAGGTTTTGCCTCAGCCCACAGGGTGTAGGCAGTGTGAATGCATGACTTGCCGTAATAAGAACACAATCTATAGCTACTGAGTGCAGGAACTGTTGTTCTTCAAATAAGAAAATACTGTTCTCTCCATCCCATGAAAGACTGAAGCCTTTAAACCAGCTAACATTCAGATGGGTTTCCAGTGTCAGGCCCTGCAAAATGTAGTAACTCAGAGCTCTCTTCCAAAGGCAACGGGTTACATTTTAAAAAGCAAACCCTGCTTTTGAGAAGTAGCTGTGGCTTCCAAGAATGTTAAATGATAAAAGATGGAAAAACCCAAAAGGAATTGAATTCTCTGGTGTTATATGCTGTTATGAATATGACATTTGTATCGTTGGTCATTCTTTGCATAAGCTTCTTTTTTCATAGCAGCGCTGAAGAGCTTGCCTGTAGAGTGGACAGAAAATGAATGAGCCTTGCCGACGTACTTCCTACTGTGTTCCAAATCTGATTGCAGAAAGCCTTGTCTGCCTGCTTAGTCTGAGGGGTTTTGAAATGCTGTCTGGTTTAGTAGAAATCTTCTCAGTAGTGAAAATTACAATTTCTGTTTTACTCATTTGGGATTTTTTTATGTAAGAGAACTAATCCTCATCTTACTGAGGTCAGGGAAAAAACAGCTCACCATTTCATTGGTGCAAGTTAAATCAAAATTGTGGAACTATTAATTTCTTACACTGTGGAATATTTTCCTCGTTTATAAGGAAATTTCCTGTTCATAAGAATTACAATGAAATTAAACATTTTAATTAAACATACTTTTTTTCTTTATAGTCATTAATGGCCATACTCCTTGTTTACGGTTGTTGCTAGAAGTTGCAGACAACCCTGACGTGACAGATGCCAAAGGACAGTAAGTTTTCTTCGTGATGTTTTTTTTTCACCTCTGTGATTCAAGTAGCATCTCAGATTTCTCACCAAAAAAAAAAAAAAAAAAGTGCCGTTATTTGAAATACTGTATTTCCTGCACTTCTCCTTATAGCATTTGGCCGAGATTACAAAGTACACATTCAGTTGATCTAAGCCATGTGGAAAGGATTATTCATTAATCTTAGCCTCTGCTTCATACTTTAAACAATTCTTCATAGATGCTGAGGGCCAGATTCAATAAAAACTAACAAGATTCTGGGATGTTTCTATATAAAGTCTTTTTCTTTCTAAAACATTGCTATTTCAGGGTTTACTTGGTATATTAGGCTGGTGCAATGGGACAGAATGTTTATTTGAGGTGACACATGCATCTGAGATGTTCCTGCAAACATTTTACTTCTTGTTAAATGACAGTTATAGAGGGACAATAAAGTATATTTTTAAAGTGAAAATGTGAATGGTTTAAAAAGCTCATTTGGGGTGCCTGGAACATATCTGACTGTATATATATTTTTAGATGGCGTTAGTCTTATGTAAAAATAGAAGGAGAATAGATCTCTCTCAGAAAAAAAATGGAAGATAAGCTAGTCCATATTTTGGCTTGAATAGTTTCCTCATGTCCCTTCATCCCCTTTAAGCAATTGTGCAGCATTTGCAAAAGAAATGCTTTGGGTGGTTGTCATCTTGGTAATCAGCAGGGATGTTCATTCACAACATTTGGGTATTGTAAAGCTCATGTGTTGCTGGAGGTGACCATAATTGTAGGTTATTAAGAGAACAGATTGTCTTGAATGATGTTGCTCTGTAAACTGCTTACAAATGAGTTTGTTTCTATTTCAGTCATGGCAGTTGGCTGTTAAACATCTTAATAATTTCATCCAAAAGGTCTTCACTTGGGTGTTATATAGATCACTATGGTTAAAGAAACAGATTTGTGGGTAGGAACGGAGAGAAACACAGGGCTTCCTGATTTCTCTATTCCTGTAAGTTAGCAGTGGCAAGTAGGATGTCATTTTATAGCTGTGACTGGCTTGGTTTTGTTTTTGTCTAGAACCCCACTCATGCTTGCGGTGGCATATGGGCACATTGATGCTGTTTCGTTGTTACTTGAAAAAGAAGCATCTGTAGATGCAGCTGATCTCCTGGGATGCACAGCTTTACATCGAGGGGTGACAATTTTTATGATTCTTAATTATTTGTTTTACTGTGACTACAACTCACTTATAAATACAGGGGTATTGAATGTAGGGAATACTGTAAATGATTGGAAACTTGACCAAGCACAGTCAATAAGGTAAAAAGCAGACAGATCTGCTCTCAGTAATGGTCTGCTTTTGACTTTATTTCACATTCACTTTAATTAATTGGCCAAAATACTGATTAGACCATTGTTTTCTTGGCTCCAGACACTTTACAGTAGCAATCATTATTCTTATAACTGAGCACCTTATGAATTCTGAAAATATTTTCTTTAAAAGAACTGCCCAGCAGTTATTTCCATTTTTCTTGGGGAGGATGGTGTAAATAAGTAAGCCTTAAGTTTTTTCTAGAGGCAGTGATATCTGAGGCAGATCTAATCTTTTCTAGGAGTCAGCTTCTTACGTGACATGAAGTTGATGCAAGAGGTGACACTTATACAGAACTCTATGATAACTGCAGCAAGCAGTTCATCTTAGGAGTCCAGCATAACTAACTCCATAATAAAAGCTATGGCATAAAAATTCTGTATTGATAGCAATACAGGAATATGCCCAGGATACCAAAGCTAACCTGTGTATGACACAGAGGTCGCTGATCATAGCTGGCCAGCTGTTAAAGCAGGTTTTCATATTTCTGATGAAATTTTTGATCCCTTTTTCCTCAGTTCTTCTCTCACATTCATACATGCTTTCGAGAAACCAGATTCAGGTTTTCTGAACCTCACCCCTTGTTCATCTGTTTCCTTAGTCTTAAACTCCTACTTGGTTTTGTGCCTCACTTAGTGGAGTCTCTTCCATAGATTGGGAATCCAATGCCTTTGAAAGACAGCACCAAATACATTTCAGTGTCTCAGTTGTCATAGGTACTCAGGGGAACAAAGGAGCTGTCATCTCTGCCTCCTGAATCCCATCCAGGCCATTTCATGTTCACAGGCATCAATCATATTCCATATTTCCTGGGCAAGAATCTGTATTATGTCAACCTCTTTCCTAACTTCTCTGTTATCAGATTATGACTGGGCATGAAGAGTGTGTTCAGATGCTGTTAGAGAAAGAAGTATCTATTTTATGTAAAGACGCCAGAGGCAGAACACCTCTTCACTTTGCAGCAGCTCGGGGTCACGCCACTTGGCTGAGTGAATTACTGCAGATAGCACTTTCAGAGGAAGACTGCAGTTTGAAAGATAATCAAGGTTACACACCACTGCACTGGGCTTCTTACAATGGTAAGTTTCTCCCTGAGGACTGTCGCCAAGTTCAAATATGGCCTCAGTTTTAGGGAAACACGATAACAAAGCAGCCTAACACCTTGAGAAGCTTGAAACGAAGAGGCAAATTATCTGCCCTCCACTTGCTCTCTGCAGTTAGCATTTGCTGTGTTCATCCTTGGGCTCAGAAGCCAGGGAAATTCCAGCAATACCTCCCAGTGGCTTTGCAGCTCACTTGCTCCCAGTCACAGAAAGCCAGGGTGGAATTCTGGTTTTACTGACATCAGTGGTGAAATTGTCACTGACTTCTGTGGCGCCAGGAATGCTCCTTTGAGTTGTCACCTTCTTTATTTATTGATGCAAGAGAATAGATGGATATTCAAAACTGATGATCTGAACTTGTTGCTTAATATAAGGCTAAAGCTTCCTAATACCATAATTTAAGACCATCTCTGGAGATGTGTAAGGCATCATACATAACATCACATAAAAAAAGAGTCTTTTTTTTTTTCCTTTCTTTTTTTTCAGTAAGTGCTAATATTATATTAGCGTGATGCCATTAAAAAAAAAAAAAAATCTGTTCATAATTTTATCACCTAAGACCTAACATAAACACTTGTTGAATTTTGAACTTACTGTTAAATTCTAATCTGTATAAGCCTAATATGAATTAAGTGAATTATCTGCTTTGTGCAACACTCTGAAATGTCTGATCTCTTATAGGTCATGAAAACTGCATAGAGGTACTATTGGAACAAAAATTTTTCCGCACATTCTATGGTAATAGCTTCTCTCCATTGCACTGTGCCGTGTAAGTAGAAATAACCAGTAACAAGTGCTTTAGGATATGTCTGGAAAAAGTAGCAGTATGAGAAAAAAGATTTTTTTTTTTTTTGCATGAGCAAATAATTTTAAAGCTGATCGTAAAACTGTGCTTATACTTCTGCTGAAAAAGTGCCAGAATAAAGAGTATTTCTGCAAAAATTTCATACATTTAGGCTATTTGATGAAATTGTGACTTGTAATTAAATAGCTGCATTTCTGCTGCCTTTCTAGTTTCTTTTCCCTTGCTTACAACTACAGACCTATGCCTTTTCTTCACACAGGCTGGAACTTCATAGCTCTTCCATTCTTAGGCCATGACCTGGGCTATAGTGCCTTGGTCCGTGTAAGTATGAGCTCTTGAGGTTCTTTTGAATCCCAATGGCTGAAAGTTAAGAAGTTGTCAGAATCGATCCTTTCTCAGCAATAGGAACAAAGCGTTAATGAAGGAAGGCTTTGAAACAACAATCTGTGTCATGCTAGAATGGTGTTCTGTGCAGGCTGTATTTTTTCTGAGACATCCGCAGCTGAGTGTTTTCCAGACTGATTTTCTTCACAGTCTTTTTTTCTTTCTGGGATAATCTCTTATCTGGAAGGCTTAGTACTTCTTATCCAGGTCCTAGCCAAAGGCATTGTTTGGTTCTAGAGGCACATTCTGTATCCAAAGTTCTTATAGTACTTATGAGCAACAGAAAGGTGGTGGCTATCATGAGTTATTAATCTTCCTCTGTGAGTGTATTTTATACATATTCATTATTCAAATAAAGCAGTATGGTTTCATAGGGGAAGGATTCTAATAGAGCAAAATCGTAACTTTTCATAACATAATTGCAAATGCATTTTTTTAAAAATGCAAGATTACTTTAGTTTGTGGGACCTAACATGCTTATTAAAACATGTAAGCCATCAGAAGAATAAGGAATTAAGCACTGAAAAAACAAATGCAAACCTTCACAATTCCTGCCAGCTATTAGAATAACTATTATATTCTATGTTCTATTAGAAGAATGAATGTCTTCCAGAAGTAATGATAGGAGTTACTATTGTGTAGGCTTCCCTTCTAGAGTCCACCTCACTGGAAAGTAGAAAAGTAATCTGTCATGTATCAAACTTTGAAATTATAAAAAACCCAATATACGAGAGAAATAAAAGCATGTATAAAGCACTGGTTTTACTCTGCTTAAAATAAAATCATTTGTGGCTGAAACATTTTGAAACTTGAAATCTGAATTTCTAGTTGGCTTTGAAAATTTTTTTCTCAATATTGATATTCCTTTCAACTAGTACTTAATTCTCAAACCCATTAAAAATGTGTACAACTTCAAAATGCATGCAAATTTTAAATGAAAACAGCTGTTACTCCAGCAGTGTGTGTTAGCTATACTATATGTCCAATACTATTACTAAACACTGTTTCTTTTCATAATAAAATGAGACAAATGAACAATAAACAGGAAGAGTATTAACTGAGTACATCCATCAAGGAAAAGTGTTAAATGTGTGAGATGGAAGAGATGTGGGCTTCAGTACCTAAAACATTGGAATAAAGCTTTCTATACGTATCTATGACTGAGTGCTTTCCAAATCCAGGTGTGTTTGACATTTAGACTAAAGGATTTTCAGGTATTAAGGTTTTAATCCTAGGTTTGTGCTGCACTTTCAGTTACCTTTGTGCATAGTGAATTACAGGATCAGCTTTGCTTTAGAGACTGAAATTCATAGTAGCCGATGCAGTTTGCTTAAATGGAGAGATGATGAATAATCAGAAATGTGACTGAAAGCATTATGCAAAGGTATGTTAGGATAACTTATAAATAACTGATAAGAAATATTAATGGGAAGTGAAGTAAATTAATATTGGAAAGTGCGAAAAGATACAGACTTTTTACCTTTTTGAAAACGTTTTTTCTTTGGCAGAATCAACGATCATGAAAACTGTGCATCACTGCTCATCGGAGCCATCGATGCCAGCATTGTCAATTGCAAAGATGACAAAGGAAGGTAATAGTTTCTTAAACAAATTGCATTTCATTTTCATGAATCCTTCTAGTATTTTTCATAATTATTTCTGAACCTCTGGAACTAGTCCTTACCTTATATGGTTGAGTTAAGGCTTATGCTGGCTCTTTCAGACAGCAGTTTACACTGCAACAGCATTAAATGGTGGCTCACTTGAAGCAAGAGTACTATGAAGTGTTTGATTTCGTAGTACACGTGAAAAGAAATAGCATTTTGCTCGTTTAGAGCAGCTATGACTATAGGTTGTTTCCCTGAACCAGTTTTCTTTGTTAAATATTTAAACACGTTTATCTTTGCTAAATGGGGTGATACTATGTATGCATAGAAAAGTATTTAATTGAAAGCTTTAATGTTATGTTAGCATTCACAGCGCATACAACTCAAAACACCTATGCAGCCAAATCCTCAATTTGTCACCCTGATAATCATCTCACTCTGTGTGTGTAATTAAAATTGCTGAAATTCTAAAAATGTATTACTCATTGTTTCTATTAATTAAAATGAATTCAAGACCTTCAGTAATGGTGATTACTTATTCCTATAAGGGTAAGACCACCTCACCCTTACTGAGAAGCAAAACCTGAAGTAACACTATGGGGGCTGGTTGTGTACCAACTGTCTTTCATCTCTATTAGTCACACTTCAGACCCAAAATGCCATAGGGAGACAGCAAATGATTTCTAGTGTCTCAGTCTTGTGGAAACTGATAACCTTCAAAGGGGATAGAATTCCTTCCGCCTTTTATAGTAATACTGTTATTGTCATTTGTTGCTACAATATTTTAGACTATAACTTAAAATACTTCAGTTTTTTTAAATAATGGATCTGTTATTTTGTGATAGTTCTTCCCATTTTAGGCTTGTTTAAAAAAAACCAAATCAGATTAATAAGAATGAGGGATTGTACTAATTTTCATATTACGCAGTATGCTACATTAAATTAAGTATGCTGCTGAGATTCTCCACAATATCACATCTACCTTATGCTTCCCTTTTTTTAAAGTTTATATTGCACCAGGACAGAGACTCTAAATATTATTTAACTTATTTCACATGCTGCTACTATAATGTTCCCCTGGTGATTACTCAAAGTTTCACAGAAAAAAAAATTACAAATGTCTTGCACTTTCAGGTGCTTGAGAAGGTAAGTAAACGGGAGTGTTGTCATTCTTTAGCAACAGCTGTGGTCATGTTACTTTCCCCACAGAACACCCTTTCACGCGGCAGCCTTCGCGGACCACGTGGAGTGCCTCCAGCTCCTCCTGACGCACAGTGCGCAAGTGAATGCTGCGGATCACGCAGGGAAAACACCTCTCATGATGGCAGCTCAAAACGGTCACGTAGGTGCTGTAGGTAAATACATCCTTGCCTCTCTTCGTCTTGAAGGGCGAGTGCTACTGCAGTTAATATCCCAAATAGGTAGTCTTTTTTCTGTGAAAACTAAGGAAGAAGAAAAATAAACTGTGTGGATGTCTGTAAGAAGCTACCTTTACATCTGTAAAAAAGCTCTTTCTCTTCTCAGTCATTGCTTTCTCAGCAGTCTTGGTGAACATTTGCAATAACAAACTCGAGTCTTACTTCCTTCTAAGAGCACATTGTAAAGAGCATGAAGGGAGTAGTAATTCTATTCTCCCGTTTACTTCTTTGATTTTATGAAGCAATAAAAGTGCAGGTGTGGAGAAGATTGTGTAAACCTTTTTTCCCTGCTCTGTTATAGGAAGTCGTATTTTTAAAGTGGCAGCTATCAGCAGCTGATTTTTCAGGCTAGACTGTACACTGTAGACATACAGATTAGGGTTGTACTGGTTCAACAGAATTCCCTTTTCGCTACCCTCAACAGCACAGACTGCACCCTGAATTCTTTATATCCACTTAGTCCTCTTAAAGCAGGATCCACAGTTTCTCAGGAGAAGGTGATTCAGGCAGAACTTGCTGATCTGCAAATGGAGAAGTTTTTAAATAAATTAATATATGTTTGGCAGTTTGGGGCATAGTGAATTAAGGTATTAGCTCTGCCTTTGCTTGATGGTCAACTGCACAAGATTACTCTCATTCATTATTTTCACTTCATAAAGCTTACATCACAAAGCTTAATTGATTAGCGTGTATGGACATGTATATTGAAATAGTAATTTTTTGTCCTCTGTTTTTACATGTTCATCTGCCCACTGGGTTTGTTCATTGATTTCTATTCTGTACCTCAGACTTTTTGGTGAACATTGCCAAGGCTGACCTGACATTAAAAGATAAGGACTTGAATACCTGTTTGCACTTGGCTAGCAGTAAAGTAAGTTGAAGACCTGTCTATGTGACTGTTCTTGTTACAGCCTGCATGTATGTGTTTGTGTGTTTATGCTCCTAAATTTTTATCTGCAATGGGAATGGAATGATCAAACTTAAGGTGGAGAAAGGGAACATTGTTCCAAGGTCATTCTCAAGTCTGTTTCAAAGTTTAGTACTGAGAAATATGAATGCCTCTTATGACAGCTGAAATACAATGAAGATAAACTAAGAGAAACAATGGAAAATTCTTCGAGATTTTACCAAATAATCTCACTGAAAAATAGCTTAAACATAAGTTCACTGGCAAAAAAAAAAAAAAAAAAAAAAAAAAAAAAAAAGGTATTTATTCTTTTTTCTTATTCTCCAGTTTCTGTGGAAGGAATCAAAAATTTTCCCTTATGCTCTGTAGCAGTAGAACCAGAGGCATTGACTAGATTGGCGGTAGTGTCTCTTCCTATCCTTTCTTCCTCTCAATTCGAATTGCTATCAGTGTTTCTGCAAGAAAAAATGCCCATGGGATTCCCTCTCCTGGGCCTTTTCTTTTGGTCCTATCCACAGATTGGATTCCAGCGTGACAGTATTGCTCCAGTTTCTGCAGGTGCATGAGCCTCGCTGAATTGTCAAGGTCTTCCAGGCAGCTGTTCACCTGCCAGGGCTGTGGGCTCAGCATCCGTGACTTACTGTGCTCAAACAGTATCAGCAATGAGGCCCAGATCCATATTATTTCCAAAATTTCATTGTTAGAGCTCTCTCACCAAAGGGATTTTGCAGTAGCTTATCAGTAATACAGAAAGTGTTTAAAGACCCAGAAAGTATAGTATTCCTTTCTGAGATTAAACCATCTCTTTCTATGTTACTATGTAGTTCTAATAAATAATCCACTGAAAGTTCTCTGAAGCGAAATAGTAATCTTCTCTGGAAGCTGAGGAGGTGAATTTATGTATCGTGAATGGAGGGTTGAAAGACAGGTGAATCTTTAAATTTCTAAACATGCTAAAGCATCTTAGCAGTGGTGGTTTGTAAATGGTATTTTAAAGCTCCTATAGTTCACCTACTATGTATATTTATAAACTGAGTAGCATGTTTTCTATTTCAGATTGAGTTATTAAATTTCACTTTCGTATGTAACATTTCTTTTGCCTCAATTTCAGACTCCTCAAGAAATTAACACTGTTTTTTTCCACAACTTACAGGGTCATGAAAAATGTGCCTTGTTAATACTTGACAAGATACAAGAACAGAGCCTTATTAATGCAAAAAATAATGCATTGCAGACGTAAGTATAGCCTGATCCTCTCAAGTTCAGTTGATTTACCAGAAGATTCCAATTTAGCATTTCAAATTCATCTCAGACTTCTTCATAGAACAAAAAAGTTAATTTCTGATTTTTTTGAGTGCTTGCCCTTGAAAAGAGCAGATTTGTATTGCATTTTCACTTTTACTTTTGATTTCTTTGATGCCAATTCTATACATGGTCTGGTGGAAAAAATATATGAGGTCATTTATTTGAAGGCTATATCAAAATGTCTATTAATCATGTGAATGTGTAAGTGTACATCTGGCATGTCATAGCTTTTTAAGCTTCACCTTAAATCTAAATAATTTATTTAGACTTAAGGTGATGCTTTTAATTTTCAGAGGTTTTTTTTAGGTGATATTTTACGTGCAGCTCCTTTCCATACCATACATTATCAGCAGTTAGAACCATCAATATTTTTACTCCAGCTGCAAATGTTTGACTGGGATGGGCGGATCCCACAGTAGAAGATCCAGCCACAAGTTCAGGTGGCAGATCATCTAGTGCTTGCGGAAGAATTAATTCCATTTTAGCCCTTTCTGCCCCACTTCCAATATGAAATTATTTTTCCTGTCCCACTAGCTTCCCCCAAACAGGAGCACTGGGTGTTGGCCCAGGAAAGGAGCAAAGTACTGTTTATTTTGGATTAACAGTAACAGATTAACAATCAAGTATTCAAGGATAAAAAGGCAATGCAAGTATTTTGAGCAGTCTGTAGTAGCCAGAATTAAGGATGGAAAAAAAGCATTTCTTCAGTCTTAGATTCATTTTTCTTTTAAATGTCAGTTGTGTGCTGCAAACAGTGGGAAATTGAGAGCTTTTTAAAGAAAGCCTTTAGTCTGGAAAGTATTAAGCAATCTTTGTGTATGGAAAGATAATTATAGTTGTCTTGCAAGCACGATGCGGAACATGAGCATTATTGTAAAGACTGTAATGTAGTTCAATGCCTACAATATAATTGTAATGATCCAAAGAAGGAAAACATTCTCTTTCTGATGCTGAGTATGCTTTAAGCATTACCTAACTTTTTTTTAGAAAGTCTGTTTTAAACTGAAATTGAATTTAGTTTTTGTTTTTGTAGACCTCTCCATATTGCTGCACGAAACGGCTTAAAGATGGTGGTTGAAGAGTTGCTAGCCAAAGGGGCATGTGTCCTAGCAGTAGATGAAAATGGTAAGTAAATAATAAACTTTGACAATCTTCAGTAGGACCTAACAGGTAATTTTACAGCAGACTGAAGCAATAGACTTAAAAGCTGATGATAGACATCACTGATGCTTTTATCCTTCCAAGAACAGACAATGAGCTGTGTGAGTACCTATTAAAACAAGATACTATTTATTTTTCTTGAGTATAAAAATGTATTTTAAACATCACAGTGGTCCCTTTTACTGTTCATTTTGCATGTACTGTCAACAGCTAGTCTTTTTAATGCTTGAGTGCAGTGGTAACTTGAATTTCCTAAACATGCAAGTGGCACCGGATAATTCTGACGCCTTGCAGAAGAATTAAGGATTATGCATTCAATCAGCGCATGTTTTAATGGGTAGGAAGAAAACCATCAACATATGTTTGATTGTGTGCTAGTTCATTCTGAGAGCAAAGCTTGTGCTTACCAGTTGTCAGACCTAATCCAAGATGCAAGTAAATTACTGTTGCCTCATAAAATAGATGATTAGTTAATAAATCTGGTAATTTTGTTTCAGACCTCAGTGAAGTCCTTCCCTAAACATTATAAAGCCCATAGAGGGCTGTGCTTCTATAATTAATGTTTTCAAAAATGTCTTCCTGAAATAAGCTGGTCTTTCATACAATACTGACTTCATGGCATTAATGTAACAATTCGGTACCTCCATCTTCCCATGTCTGTAAAGTAACAATAATAATACTTACCCACCGTTGCAAGACATTTGAGATCTATGGATGAAAAGAACTGAGTGGTGAGTATTTACTATTAACCACATGCTACCTTAGATACACTTGCATGAATGAGTTCCACTGAATTCATCTGGCCCTAACCTAATTTTAGAGATAGGGGACGGAAAAATGAACCAGACTATCTTCTAACCACAGTTTTTATTGTTAAAGCTGTACATACTGATCCAGCTAATTTGCACGTATGTAACAAAGGAGAATAAAGGTTAAATTTTATACACGTTTAATATTTCTAGGAACAACTGCATGTGCAGTTTAAAAGAGATAAATTTAAGTACAACCTTAGTATAAGCACAACTCCAAAGAATATTCCAGCTTGGAACTCAGTGGAAGAGGGAATTCCATTTTGGGTATGCACTCACTGCAGTCAGTGCTTAAATGTGGGTGGTTTGCTCCAAAACCGTACTCACATTTGTCCAGCAAACTCACCTACACTGCAGGCACTCTCAGCTTACTTGAGGCAGTAGGAATCAGTAGCAGCCATTGCCTCAGATTACAAGTGCTGCAGTGCTTCAGATTCTGCCATCTGCAAAAGAGTTTGTTTGCTCTTAGCATAAAGGAAGATTTGTTGGAATGTGCTGGAGTACTACACAGCAGCCTTCAAAATGTATAGAGAGCAGGTATGATCAGCGTGCTGGTTTCCAAGATTTGCGTGTGTGAAGAGCTGCTTTAGGGGCAGCGCTTGGACAGGAGCCAAGTTAAACTGCGGTGAAGACAAACTTTTAATAGCTACTCAGTTCTTTGTTTTACTGACATCTGTATAATATTAACTTCATATTTAAAGTGTATGCCATGCTTTCTGAGTATAGTCATTATTCTTCTAACATAACGTTAATTTGGGTAATTAAACATCCACATAGCCATACCTGCAATACATGTACCACGTGCACTGGTCTAATTCTTTTCTCTATTAATTTAATTCCTAAACAAATTACTTTCTGAGTTGAGTAGATACTCAAATGATCAGTCTTTAAAACTGTTTGCTTATTACTTCAAATTATTTTTCAACTACTATACTTTATGTTCTAATGGAAGTCGTTGTTCTCAGAATGAGTCTTGTTCATACGCACAGAAACTGAAGCCAGTTTCTGCCCCTGTCGCTGTACCCCCCATGTTTTGTACTCATCACACCGTCTGTGCTGTAGAACTGTGTTTAGCGGGTGCTTTTATTCATATTGTGAAGTCTGTTTGCTGCCTGATTTTTAAAAAATAGTGCTTGTTGTGGTCACAGTGATTTAAACGCTCCATAAAGTGTGTATTTTCCCAGCATGTCTAATTTAAAGTAAGTAACATACCCCTGTTGCCTGGCATGATTGTAACTGAACATACATCTCCCGCTTACGAGTCACCTAGAGATGTATATGAGGAATGCTCAGTCGCATTCTCGGTACCCTTAGTACTAACCATTGCCTTGTCTGCATTTGTGCCCAGGTCATACGCCAGCCCTGGCTTGCGCTCCTAACAAAGACGTGGCTGACTGCCTGGCACTCATTTTGGCTACCATGATGCCTTTTTCTCCTTCCAGTTCAGTGACGGCTTTCAACTTCGTTTGTTTTAAAAAAGACAATTTGGGCAGGACACATCTCTGCGATGGCTCCAGTATGAGTAGCATTAACTCTTACAATAAGCCCTTGAGTAATAACATAGGAACAGAGGATGGGTACAATGAAAATGATTCGGATTCTGAAACATTTTGACTGTTTGGTATTCAGAACCGTTTTTTCATTATTATTTCATTTCAGCTTTATTTTCTGTCTTTTTCAACAGCTCAAATCCCACGGCTATATTCTTAGTTGGTATTATTCCTGACAAGTAGGCATTGAAAGATTTGTAGTGTTGATGAGAATCAAGCCTTGAAATAACAAAGGTGGAGGGATCGACTGGAACATATTCCCATTAGTGTTCTGCAGCTTTTTAGCTTCCTGATGTTTTCTTTAGGCCCTAAGTGCCCCCGTGGAAAGTCTCTACCTCTTATTTTAAGTAGAAAAAGAGAAAATGCCTTTTTTCTTTTTGACAGCACAAATAAACAGGGAACTGTTTGTAAAAAGTTCTTACATGTTTTACCTGTACCTTTAGTACACAAACATATTTCCAGTGTAGCCTTCACAGATTTGAGCATCACCCTTTCCTATGTTTGTCTGTTTCCTGCTTCCAGGGGCTCTGTTAATTAGATAAATTTTTTTATACAAACCAAAGGTAAATTTGTAAATTTTAAAACTGCCTGTATTACTTTTCTACAGGAAATGTAAACCTTTTACATTCTGTGTGTATTAAGCACTTAAACGTACAGAAGGCACTTTTTACAGTTCTTAGTTGCAGTACACAATTAGAAAAATACGGTTATTAACTCTTACGGCCAAATTCTACTTGTCTCTCCATATTTTCCCTCAGACATTAGTGGAACCACTTGTGTAAAGTGAAAATCACTTGGCCCTTATTTTTTTTTTTCAATTCAGCACAAACATGTACAATTTATTTGCACTACCGAATTAGGGTCATTAGACGTTTCTGTCACCTGAGCCATTAACCATGAGTAATGGTACCAGGAGGAGAAAAAAAAAAAAAGAGAGAGAGGAAAAAAAATAAATCAGGTGTAGACAAAGGTGTATGTGAAAGTTTATAATGACTTGCCAACTTAAATGGATTTTTTTTTTCCTTTTCTATGCTTAAATAACTTATTTTTACTGTAAACAGTATCGAATTTTAAAATACTTTTGCCAGTGTTTGGATTAACAGTGCAAAGGTAAAGCAATGAAAGCGTAACACCAAAAGTTGAAATACCAAACACCAGAGAACATAGCAGTGTACTGTGCAGGGGATTGGAGATATATGCTAAAAAAGCCTATTGTCACCAGCTTTTAAAGCAATGTCAACTTTGTGAATATGTTTACTCCTTCTGCCAAAGTTTCTAGGTCAAATGGACCACGACCCTCATCTGCAACAGATACACAAAAGGAAGAATGAGACTTTGTAAACAAAAACAAACAAAAAATCACAAAAAGCTATCATGAACTAGCCAGCTGTACCAAGAGGACCAAAATGCTTCAGTAATTAAATAGAAGACTTTGCTACTTTTATTTTTTCTTCAAATGTGAGTGGCATAATGAAGTAGTTTTTCTAAACTGTAAAAATACAAACTTTTGAGGTAATGAGTAGTCTTGAGTGAATTTTACATTTTATGACGCAGGTTTCAAGCTGACATTTGTAACTGATGATGTGTTGACCACAGGTGGTTTTTTTTCCAGACTAAAGAATATGTTCATATACTTTTAATGTAAATCTGTTTATATTTATTTGAAATGAAACAAATGCCCAGGAAAAACAACTATGGCTTGTTCTCCTAGTTAGCATTTGTGCATACTATTTGGCATGATGCAAAATGAAATGTGAATCTAGGCAAGACTGATGGCCTGAGTAGAAAAGGGAAGGGCTGATGCACTTTGGGAGAGTGCCCATCATCTTGCATGGAATGCAAAGATTAAGTCCACAGGCTCTATATGTAAAAAGCAGAAAGCAAAACACCTTCTCTCGTTTAAGAGCATAAGAAAGGGATCCAAGCCCTTGCTAGGCACGAGAGAGAACACTGTACAGCTACAGCAAATGGGGGAAAAGGTAGTATAGCATGGAGTCAGGATGTTAAAGTTCCCGTGATTCACGCTCAGGCTGTCTGCAAGCCTACATCAGTGCTGGGATGAGGGGATGAGCTTCCTCAGTGCACGCTTTCGGCAGGGTAAATGAAAAGTATGGATTTTTATTTTAGTTGCAGTTTTTAGCCATGTTCCACTGAATTGTTAAAAATGTATTGGCAGATTCCAATTCTTTAATTAGGAAAAATATTTATATATTAAGTTTATTTTGGGTTGCTAAAAGTAGATATCGTTTCCTTGATCATTAGGTAAAATTAAATATTGTCTCCTTGAACATTAAAAAATTTCTGAAGTTCATCACAAGAAATCATAAGGGTTAGTGTCTCTAAAGGTGAACATTTATTTTCCCTCAAGACTGTATTTTCTGCAGTAGAATGACAGAGCATCTGAAACCCTGGTTTTCTGCTCAGAAATTGCACAGAATAACATTTTTATGACTGATTTTTCTCAACATTTTTGCTTTTAAAAGTTGCAGAATAGCAATAACCACCTTACTTTAAGCACTGGAAATAAGAGGAGAGAGATCAGTTGTTAAAGTTTTCAGTGGCGTCTGTTCAGAAATGAATAGAAATCCCAAATTTTGCTTAATGTGGAATGATGGCATTGAAAACAAATCAGCCAATGGGAAATGCCTGCCACCTGTCTAACAGCAGGATCAGCTTTTTAATTTTATTTTAACCAGACATGTAAGTAGGCTCCTTGGCAGGATTAGTTATAAGTCTCACCCTGAAATACACAAAGTTATGCTATCCTACATGATTGATGCTTCATTAGGAAAAAAAAAAAAAACCAAAACAACAAAGAAAACAAACCACAAACAACAGTCCTGTTTACAAAAAGGATATTGTATTATTTTAAGCAGGCATTTAAAATATGTCAGTATTTTTACTTGCTACCATACAGAGTTACTGAAAATATTTCTGTATATTTGCAATATCTTATAACTCTGGTAATTGTGTAGTCCAACAACTGCTGCATCTTAATGATGTATACAACATTATAGAAGCATAGGTGGTTACTGAATTACTTGGATCCATCTAGGAACCGAATCTAAACTTTACTGATTCAACTTCTCTGTAAACTAACAATGATGTAAGTATGCCATATTTCAAAAATCATAGAAACATATGATTTGTTAGCATCTTAAGGGCATTGTGAAAGTCATCTTTTGAGTATGCTGTATTTAGGAGGAAACTGTCGTAAGCAAGACACTTGGAAGTACTCGGTATTGGCCTATCCCACATCTCACCTGAGTTACCAGAATCCCTTTTTTTGTATGCTAGTACATTAATCTGTACCATAATTTATCACATGTAGAAATTAATTTAGGGCAGGTATGTAAGCATGGGAATAATTTTACTCTTGTAAATAATCACCTTGCCTTTCTGTGGGCTTTTTACAAGAGTAGAGTTAATCATACCTAATTGTTGCACTTAACCCCGGATCCTGCAATTTACAGTGCGTGGACGACTTCTGTGTCTGCACCAAGCAAAGGGTATTTGGGGAGGGGCAGCTGTCTGCCCAGGTGTATTAGCAGGGTTGTTTCTTCCTGTATTTTAACCACAGCTGCAGGTGGAATCCATAGCAGGATGGGTTCCTCTCATAAATGAGATGAGTGTCTCTCATTAATACTGAGTTACAACCTCCGGACTGCCTGAAATTGCTGTGAAATAGCTCAGGGGATTTCTGTTCATCGCTACTAAAAGGGCACCATAATGTGTTTGGTACTTTTATGCAGTAAACAACTGCCAGATGATTGAATTAGAACAAACACATGAAATGAATTGTTTATCCATTGTACTGTTGAGAAACTTGGTTATGTATCTTGAGGATGATTTTAAAAAAAAAATTGTGATTTTTATTCTTAGTCATGTAAGAAATATTAGAGTGCCTTTTTATATTTGTGTATTATGGAAATGTTTTGTGAAACTTGTCTTTTTTTTTTTTCATTTGAGTGTTATAAAAGCAATATATTACCAGTAAATTTTCATTTCAGACCTTCTTTGAATGTATAAAGCATTTCTTCTTCTTTTCATATGTTCTACCTGCATTGAAATGAAAATTAATATGCTAAATTTCTATATGAATAATGTATAATTTTTGCAGTGCTGAAAATGCTTTCTTATTACACAAAAAGTAAACCTTAGGTCAGTGTTATAGGAAAGGGCGTTTTAAACTAGTGACAATCTGAGTGTGTGTATAAAATGTAATTTTATGCGTTTCTTATGCAGTGATCTACATATTAAAGCCAATATCTTACGTTTTGTAGGTTTTGTCTTATATTTTCTGCTTTAGCATGTGCAATATATCTTTACAAACCATGGTGATACGAATCTGGTGCCAGTGTTATATTTTGCATAACATTTGTAATAAACAATATAAAATATTGTTTGATGGTTTCAGTGGGGTTTTGTCGGTATTGTTTGCTTTTGTAAATTGAAGTTTAAGGACTTGTGTAAATGTCACATATGAAATGAGGAAAAAGACTTAATTCACTGAATGACTTGGAATTCAACCTGAATCTTCTCAAGCACAGTTTAGTAACTTTTTCAACTACTGAATGCTGTATTAATGTAATGAAGAACCCTAACTGTAAACTACTCTTGCAATGCATTCAGATGGTTATTTTTACAAATAAAAATGGTACAAATACTGTTGGAAAGCTGAGTATATTTTGTTTCATTTCAAAGATGAGGAAAGGCTTAAGTATTTAGCAGTGATGATGGAAAATGCAACTACATTTATTTCTACTTTGTAATAGCCTCATATGTAATTACCCCTTGTTTTAGTAAATTCGTGTTACTATTGCTTCCTCTGTAGACTGGGGGCTAGAGGGATTGACTTTTTTTTTTTTTTTGGTCAATCATTACTTTACTGTTAAGTTTTCACTGATGAGCAACACCAGGGATCACGGGTGTGTCACGTATCAGGGTGCGGCAGCAGTCCCACAGAGACTAAGACCCAGAGAGGAAAAGTCCCTAAAGATAGGAAGTTGTTAAAAGTACTTAATTAAAGCAAAAACCAAAACCCACAAACCGCTCCCCTCCCCCCTCCCGAACCCCAAACTAACACCAACCATCATCAACAACGTCTTTTACGTGTTGAGTGCTTGAAGCTTTAGGGATGTTTTGACTAAACTGCTAACAGGCCAGGAACCTTAAAAGCGCCTGAACTGTGGGGTTTGTAGGTTTAATTTCGGCAAAGTGAACTGCAGCAAGGCTCCGGCGCGGCTCCTGTCGGCACCCCCGGCCCCGGCCGCCAGCGGGGGTCTGGGAGGTAAATCTTCGCCCCCAGACACCCAGGGGGCATTTTTGGAGCCCGCAAACGCCGGTGAGCCACCGCCGCCTGCTGACTGGAGCGAGGGGAAGGAGCCCACCCTCCCTTGCCTCAGCCAGGCGCGGCGCCGCTGCCGTGACTCGACCTCCCTATCATGGCGGACAGGCGTTCCCCGCGCAAACTACCGGCTAGGGGAAGACCGTGGGGAGGTTCTTGACCTCCCCGTAATGGCTCCCAGGCCCACGACATGGCGGACGGACCCTCCTCAGCCAGAGGAAGCGGCGGCCAGCCAAGCGCCGGGACCTTCCCAAGATGGCGGCCGCCCCTCCCGCTGCCGGCGGCGGCCAGGTTGTGGCGCCAGCCCTCCCGCCCCGCCTCCCGGGCGGTGTCGCTTCCCGCCCCGCTCCGCCTGTGTTCGCGGAGAGCCTGCGGGGGAACCGGGGCTCTGCTCCAGTGGCGCGATGGGGCGGGCGGGCCGCCGGCTGCCCGCCTTGGTGGCGCTTTTCTACGGGGTGCTGGCAGCGCTGGCGCTACTCGGAGTGCGAGACGTGCTGTTCCTCTACGAAGAGAACCGGTGCAGCATGACCTACATGTACGAGTATCCCGAGTACCTGGTGAGTGCGGCGGCGGGAGGCGCTGAGGGAGCGGGCGGCGGTGTAACAGGTGGGAGCCCGCCGGTCTCGGGGCGGCCCCGCGCCGCTCGGCGCCCGCTAGGGCGTCGCCGCCCGCCCCGCCTCGCCTCGCCCCGCCTCGCCTCAGCCGGGAGCCGGGAGCCGCTCTCCTGAGGCGCAGCCCGCCGGGGAATTCCGCCCCTTCCTTGCCACAGGGGAAGGGAAACGGCCCCGGAGGCATCAGCCGCGGGAGAACCGCCGCACGGGCGGCTCCCACCTGCTCCCGTAACTCTGGGGTCAGCTAATTTGGCTGAGGCGGCCTTTGTAGAATAGCAAGCTGTAAACGGGGCGGGGGGGGGGGGGGGGGGGGGGGGGAATAGTTTTGTCTTGGCATGTTTGGTAAAATGTGCTGCTTTGGCTGCGCCGTGTAACGGTGCACCTTGGATAGCTACAGAAGGGAAAAGCTGTCTATCAGTAAAGTAGTGAGGTGTTTCGTACTGCTGCCTGTGCAAAAGAAAACGAGTAGGAAAGTTTTCCATTTGCTAACTTGTAAGTGCCTGTAGTTACCTGTAGTCCTGGTAAAACCGGTCCAAAGCTCATCCAAGCTTTTGCAAAGGAAGAGTTGGGCCAGGTCCTCTTGACAGCACTCGCAGCACTGTTAATGCCCAGGGGTTAAGTCTTGTACTTCTGAATCCTTTTGTGACTTTATAAAGTGTGAAGCAACTAATGTGTTAAAAAAAAGTGAACAACTAGAGATTCAAATATGAGTGTGTTTCTCAGGCTAGCAAACAGCAGGGCAAAGTCTTTGCCGGTGAGCACTTTGTAGGTGGTGTATCCCAACATGTATGGGAGAACTTGTAAATCTGTCTGAAGTCCCTCATGGTTTGCTAACGAAGCCATTTAGAAACCTCTTTGAAAATCTTGGAACAGTTTGAGAGAGTGGACTGCTGGTGGAACTGTTGTTTTCCAGACACGGTATTATGGATTAATAGCAGGAGGATTTAAATATGTGATTGTATGTAGATTCACTGATAATGCTGCATGCAGTTGTTAAAAAACAATTTTTCTTTTTAAAAGAAATACTTACTACAGGATTTTCTGTCCTATTAAAAGCATCCCAAAGCATAATTTATTTGTTCCTAAATATTCATTTAGTATTGTCTAGGATATAATCTGTGTTGGACAAAAAAATGAAGTGCTTTGAAGTAGGTGGCAAGCTGTCTTGCGTAGTAAAGAAAAAACCTTAGTACCTAAATTGGTAATGAAGCAGAAAGTTAATTTTTTAATATATTAACCTTCATTTGCTAACCTTGACATAGTCGTGTTAGCCTACAAATGAGAACATGTGTGATGTTATTGGTGGTTGCCTGAAATTCTCATCTGCCACCACACATCTTTTGTATTTATGCATTATGTCAGGGCTTAAATTCTAAGCACCTTTAGGCAAGTGTTGTGCTGGTAAGAGATGCAAGGCTTAAGGGTAAGCAGTAGCTCCATGCAGGAGATGCAAATTGCAGCTGGCTGTATTGCCTCTCAGAATTTCTATGCCCTGAATAATCAATTTTACTGTATAGAAAACAGTACTTTTATGGGGAGAGAAATTATGAATTTGCCTGGGTTTGGTAAGGCATTATGCTTTTCGAGCACCTCTTTATTGTTGGAGGGGTTGTTTGTTTCATTTTTAATGTCTTTGTAATGTTGGCATTCGTAGGAAACCACAAGGTAGTAATTTCAGGCGAGAGGTACCTGTTTGGATTGGATATCACATTACAAAACAAATAACTATTTGAGCAATTAAACATTAGAAGTTTCATTTCTTTTGCATCTAACACTGTGGGTTAGCTCACAGTCAAGCTATACTAAGTAATGGAATCAGTTTGGATTTTTTTTTTTTTTAATACTTAACTATCTTTTGTTGCATGAGTTGTAGAATAATTGCAGTATTTGAATTTAACCTACCCTTGTCCTGTTCAGCTAAGCTTAGTAAGAAATTTGGAAGTTAGTAATGAGGACCTTTTCATGTAAACCTGATTTCTTTGGGAATCAGGGTGAAAAATTAAACCTACATTGTCATTGTAAAAAGTTACTGCAGCTCATTACAACCAATTATATAACCAATGTCTTGGAAATTCAGAATTTAAAACCACTGTCATGGAACGTCAATGTCTGTCGATTTTCCTTTGGAGTTACATGTTGCCATTTTGTTATAATATTTGAGCACTGTGATTTATCAAAAAAACCCAGTATTTTGGTAGTACAGTTCTCATGAATTGTGTAGTTTTTTGCTTTTGATATATACCCAAAGAAGGCCAGCTCATTAATTTTATGTTCTGTAATGTTTTTGAAAAGACAATGAACCAGGATATCGTGGAAGAAGAGCTGATTTGATCTGTCAGGAAGTCATATAGACAGCTTGATGGCACTTCTAGTTTAGTAGTGGAAACTGATTACCTATTTTTTCACCGAATTTGGAAAGCCTTTGGAAAGGAGCAGTAGGAAGGAATGAGAAAGGGACAGTGAAGTTGGAAAGCTGAGATGATGGAGAAAAAAGAAAGAATATTGAAAAGATTAGCTGAAGTCATAAGCCCTGAACAAAGCTTAACCATTTTTGTTCCTAGTGAAAGAATTAAACACACACTCTCCTTCTGTGTATTTTGTTATAAATATATTGTATTTTTATAACATAATATAGTCTATATATTATAGAATATACATTTTAAGTATATATTTCAAACATAAGAAGAGGTTGCAAATAACCAACATGGCAAACAATTTGAAGGCTAGGGGAGAAAGGGAATAGTCTTTAGCTGAGGAGAGACAGAGGAAAACAGGGAAAGGGAAAGAGTGTGTATAGGCAGGCCAGGGAATTAAAGCTAAATCACCTTTACTGTAGATGCAGTTGAGAAACAACTGAAATACCTGAAATAGAGATGCTTCTATTTCAAGAAAGCAATTAAGAGAGACTTCAGTAAAGATTTCTGATACAAAACTCAGTTTAGTTTTGACCTTATTCCTAAAATAAAGTGCTTCCTTTAAATATAAATTGCACCTTAATAAATCGATTTTTTAATGATTTGTCTCTGAATTGTTATAGCATAAGTAAACAAATGCTAGAACAAGTGTATTTGCATTCATAGAGATTTTTAAAATCTGTATATTAGAAGCTCAGAATTATAAACCAACCTCCATATAGGAGTTAATTAAATCTTTTCTTGCTTACTACTTATTTTGTTTAAAGCAGTGTCATGTGGCTCTAAGAGTCATAACTTACTAGTCTAACACTTAATAATCACCAAGCCCTCAGGTTCAAAGAGATTTTGTTCTCTGCTCTTTAGAAATTCATAATCCTGTGAATAAGTTATGTGACAGATTAGGTGGTTAGTTGTTTGCTTCTTTAAGATGACATTTGACTATGTAATTGGATCCTCAGTTTACAAAACCAGGTTGTATGTCACTAGGCCACAAAACTGATTCTGAAAACAACACAAAAAAGCCCCCTGAAGTATCATGGGTTTATTTTTTCTGACGAGCCATATTAAGGTGGTTACTACTATTTAAATTCCCATTGCAGGTTACATGCCTGTAAAAACCACCTGGGAGAATTCATGCTCCATCTGTAACTTACCCTGACAATAATAGTTGTCATCTGACAGTCACCTACATATCCCTGCTCTCAAGATTAAGCTTTGTTTTCAGGTGCAGTAGCACATCCTTGTTCAGAGCTATATGGTATTGGAAAGGATTCCAGAGCCATTCTGGTACATTAGGAATAGTTAGGATCACTCACGTGCCTCAGTTTCTGGTCTCAAATTCTTATGTCCCGGGAGAGGTGTTTTGACAGGCCTTTTCTTCTCCTTTCCTTTTCTCCCCTGTAGTATAAGGCTTGATTTACTTTACAAATGTGCAACTTGAAAAGATAGGTAATTGCATCCATTTGCAGTTTGTTTCAAAGTCGCTTAATGGCTGTTTACAAGTAAGTTACAAGTTTAGCTGTTACAAGTCAGTAACTGTAGCCACTCACTATGCACAGTAATACCCACTTACACAAAATATGTGATACTTTATTTTTAACTTTTTCAGTGAAACCCAGATTTTCATTCTGTATTTTTTAGACTGTAATTTAAAACAATATATAAAACATATGCCAGATCATTTAAATGACTGAACAGCCACTATATTTTCTTGTTTGCAACAATATAAACCAGGTATTTGCCTTCTTTTTAACTTTTGCAACAGAAAATAAAGTTACCCAAGAAAACAGCTAGACGATACCCAGCGTATGAGCTCTATCTCTATGGGGAAGGGAACTACGCTGAAGAAAACAAAAATCTCCTACTGACAGGAATTCCGGTTCTCTTTCTTCCTGGGAACGCTGGCAGTTACAAACAAGGTAAGTGTTTAGGTAAGTTATAAGTATGTTACAAAGAGCTTTCATATTTATGCCTTAGTTAGTGGTGAGAGGCTCTCTGTTTGAGATATTATCAATGAGAGTCATAACGGTTGATTGTATTATCATGTAGATATCCTTGTTAGTCCATGGTTAATTTCAAGCAGTCAAAATACAGTATTTTTGTTTGAAACTGAACAGTTGAGCTGTAATATTTTTCTAGAGTGAGATTTTAAATTTTGAAAACCAGAAACAGTACCGCTTATGTTGTACTGTGGCAGTACTGCACCCTTCCTGTATTTTTGATTGCAAACATCTAGTTGGTTTTGATTTGAACAATGTTTAGTACAGTTATGCCAAATAAAACAAGACCTGAATTTGATTAGAAGAAACTGAACAAGCTACCATCTGTGATGTGAAATAATTACGTGCTATAGAAATAAGCATCATCTTGTGGCGTGCCCTGGAGTTTCGTTATTTCCTACTTCTTTATGTAGTGGTGTTTTTTCCTTAGCATCATCTTCCTACTTTCCACATAGTCTGCTTTTGTTTTCCAGGTGATTTGCTTTTACACTTCTAGGCTCCAAATTACAAGAAGTACTTGTTTTAAAGCATTTTAATTTTTCTTCGACAATACCAAAGTTAGTAGTTTGATGAACATGAAGTATTGTGTTTAAGTGTTTATTCAAGTATCTGGTATCCTTTCCAGGCTGGGTTTGTCAGACTATTATTTTTGTTCTCTAAAATGTGCTTTAAAACAGTTAGTAACACTCTTAAAATTTCAGCAAAATTGATATGTATGGGTAAAATCACCACAGTCTAAACCCTGATGTCTTACTGTGATGATTTTTCCTTATATTTACACTAAACTTGATGATTATCAGATTTCAGAGAACCTTTACAAAGTTACTTTCTTTGAGAACATACTTGCTTAGCTTATAATAAAGTAAAATATTTTACCAACTCATAGTTTCATAAAAACCATACAGACTTGCAGGCACAATAGCATCCAAAGAAAATTATGAACATAATGATGATGAGAGATGCCATATGGACTTTTGTAATTGTGCATAAGGTATTGCAAATCTGTGAATTAATGCTGTCTCTGAAAACAAGGCAGTACATCACTATGCAAGAAATAGACTGGTACTTTCAGAGCATGTTAGCAATCAAAAGGAAGTATCTGAAGAAAAACTTAAACTAGGTGAGTTGAAGCACTACATGCAGTGGATATAATGTGCTACTTAAATATTTAAACATTTACTGATCTTCTTATTTGAGAAGTTGATTTAGGGAGACTGGCAATAAACCATATGTGCTTTTTTTCAAAATCTTTGTTAAAATAAATTGTCCTGTCTTAATCAATGGCTCAGAATGGTTTTTGATTTATTATGGAATTTATGAAAATTCATATGTTGTTCAGAATTTATTGTGGGATAACATGCTTCAATTCTGATACCTAGATGAGCAGAGGAGGTATTGCTGTTGTTATTTTCATACTTGTTTAAAATATATTTGCTGAGCAATGAAGACAGAAGTGCTGCTGCTGCCTTTCCTGGGATTGTTATTTTCATAGAATCATTTAGGTTGGAAAGAACCTTTAAGATAATCAAGTCCGATAGTAAACCCGACACTGCCAAGTCCACCACTAAACCATGTCACTAAGCACCCCATCTACACAGCTTTGAAATACCTCCAGGGATGGTCACTTCCCTGGGCAGCCTGTTCCAGTGCTTGACAACCTTTTTGGTGAAGAAATTTTTCCTAATATCCAATCTAGCCCTCCCCTGGTGTGACTTGAGGCCATTTCCTCTGGTCTTGTTACTTGGGAGAAGAGACCGATACCCACCTCGCTACAACCTTTTAGGAGGTTTTGATGTGTTACAGCACTTTTGAAACTTGTTAATTCATCATCTTACATGGGCACTAAACCGAACCTTTTAAAATGTACAAAATTCAGACTTTGAGTAAAAGATGGTGGTGTGGTTTAATTGTTGAGAAATAGCCTGATATTGGGAAAACTGAGATCCTGAGTTCTATTTAGGAATCTGTCACACGCTTTCCTTGTGATCTTTGACAATATTCTTGTTTCTTTTACTATGACCTCCAAGATAAAAAGTTGTGATAAGATACTTGACCTTTTAAATACTTTTTAGGTCTTGTCAAACCATTTTGAAGGTGTTCTTATTGCTTATTAGCTTTTGATAGAATTGGAGAAATGATTAACTCCAAATTAGATTTATAATTTTCGTCATACTGATAATATCTGTCTGGGTGTTTGAGCATATGAAGTATTTAATAAATATTATTTTCCCATTTCATGAGCTTTGCTGAAATTTGTTTGATATGTTAATTTCTATAGCAAACTTTTCTGAGGAGGAGGATTCTGCAGGCTGCAGGTCTTTGAAAATGTTGCACTCTAGAGTTTTGATTCTGTATGCCGGATTTGGGCAGACCTTTCTGGCAGTCACTAGTTATTTTATATACTCACTTTTGGGACTTTCCTTTTCATATTCTTCCTTCCCTATCATGCTTTTTTATTTGCAGCTGTTACTGTTTCCATCTTGGCATGCCTCCATAGAAACTCAGGGACAATTCTGTGCTCAGAAGGCTGCATTAAATAACAGCTGGGGTTAGATGGAGAAGACAGGTCATAAACAAGACCTTGTAAACAGGAGATTTTCTCCCTCAAGGTTTTAGGCGGAAAAGTGTCCTTTAGGATTTCATTTTCCAGTCCCCCATACTTATCTTGGTGCTATTTGGGAATGTTGTCCTACAGTTGATGGTCTTCAAATGAATTTTAGGAAAGCCTACCAGTAGCAATGCCTCCAGAATTGAAGTCAAGAGTGCTTGTTTTGCCACCTTGTCCTAGTGGTGGTAAGGAGGTGCAAATGAGATGAGAAAAGCGGCTCTCCGGTGGAGGAATGTAATCCTTGATCTTGAATAAATTTGTTTTTGACATAAAATATCTCTGTAGTCAGTGGTAAGCTAGGTCATATGGTTAACTGCTTTAAGCATAGGATGCAGCTCTTGGTAACTCATTCTAAACTTCCTTTTTATCTAATCAGGTTTGTTCTTTTACACATTGTTCTGTAAGCTCTTATGATATGTTTACTAATATTTTTTTTTTACCAGAGGGATTCCTATAAAAATAGGAAATAATTATTTCTTTTCTCATTTTACAATTCAGTTCTGACAGCAACTGTCTGAAACTGTTAGCAGTTGCAATCGCGAATAAAACTTATCTACACACAGCAGATAAGCAGGCACTTCTTTATTCCAGCGCTGGGGAACACGGGGGATAGCTCCAACAAAGAACGTGTTTGCCGACAGATACAAAGCACAACGTATTTATACACTTTTTCCACAGAGTCATGGTTACATAAGATCAACAAAATTCACAAAGTTTAGTTTGACCTTAATAATGATTGGGTTTCAGCTACCTCACCTTTCCTGTATTCCTATTCTACAGAAATCATTGGTCATCTCTACTGATTGATTTGAATAGAATGAGGGGAGGGTGATGATTAGCATATTCATGTTATTTCCTGGAAATCATTATCATATGCAAACGTATCTAATGCACGCGTGGTTATGTTGGACGGGGATCCTCTGGTGGTCGTTGATAGTCTTCATCACTGTGTCCACTGATTGAACTCCATCCTTGCGCATGCTCATTTTATCTTTGGCTGATCTTCCCAACCAAACCCAGTTTCTTCTGGTACCTATTGTTTCAAATCAAGATCCATAACCAGTACCCATTTTTTTGATTCAGAGTCCATAACGATTTCCATAGTAATCGAGGCAAACACAATGCTAGTTGCTCCTAAGATCTTAACATATCATATGTTCTCATAGCTACTATAACTTCATTTTAAATCAAAGTCATATTTTAAACTAAAATCAAAATAATATTATAGGATTCAAGCTATTTTGTTAAGGTAACTGCAACAATACTTTTGCTCTAATTATTTATATCTTCAAATTTGTTTTTGTAAAACAAGTGTGACCGCATATTAGAAATGAGATTATTTGCTTTGGGATGTCTTTTTCATCCTTTTTTTACTTTTACAGATGACTTGAGATGAACAATGGATTTATGATAACATTTGTTTCTTAATAGATTATATATTTATGTGTTTGTCTACTAATGACAGTGCTAAGCATTGACTATTAGACTGTTCTAATTTATGTGGTTTCTTTTCCTAGTACGTTCTCTGGGCTCCATTGCACTTAGAAAAGCAGAAGATGTTGACTTCAAGTATCATTTTAATTTCTTCAGTGTCAACTTTAATGAAGAGTTGGTTGCGTTGTATGGTGGTAGTCTGCAACGACAGACCAAGTTTGTGCATGAATGCATAAAAGTAATTCTTAAGTTATACAGGGTAAGTAGCGACATATGCTGAATAATGTACCTGCATTTGGGAATGGAATTCTGGGCTGTCTTTTCTGCTGGAAAACTGAAGAATGATTAATAAGGGAGGGAGGCTTTATAATGGGCGTAGATAATTGAATGTGATAAGAGTGCAATAGAGAATTGCTGCTCTTTAATAGATTTTTGTAATGCTTGTGACAATCCCAGAGCTTTGGTTAGGCTATATATTGTGTTTCTAAATAAATACTTTCATGCACAATGTATGCTTTTTTTGTAGTAAAGTAGTAAACTCACTAGCTTGTTAAAATATTGATAAAGCATCACCTTACATCCAGTTTTCTCTAGGAAAGTTCTTTGATATCTTATGTCCATAAGAGTCTCAGAAATTAAAATAAGATGAAGTTTCTTGTGCTTACAAAGGCTATATAATATTTCCTTTTGAGCTGGAAACTTCATGTTAAGCACATTTTTTTGGGATAGCAACTACATTTTTATTCATTTTGTAAACTTGTCAAGTTGATGCTAGTTAATATTATCCTTGGGAAGACATAAGTTAATTTGGGAGGAAAAAAAAAAAGTACAACTGATAATCATAGTCCAATGTCAAACCTATTTCTGATGTGTCTAATTGCTCTTTGCTCTTTCCTTAAGAATAGAGAGTTTGGACCAACCAGTGTTGCAATAGTAGGTCATTCCATGGGTGGTCTTGTTGCCAGAGCATTGCTTACTCTGAAGAATTTTAAGCCTGAACTTATAAACCTCCTCATTACACAAGCCACACCTCATGTCGCACCTGTAATGCCTTTAGACAAATATCTTACTGGTAAGTGTTGCATGTTATCTAATATACATTGTATTTCTTTATTGATCCTCTCAGGCATTAATAGGTGAGATCTTGCTGATTTGCAAGAAAGATATGATGTTTTGTTTACTGTAATTAATCTATTCCTTTATTACTCAGGTGATTGCTTGAGAGCACTAGGATACTGAGAGAAAGTGTTACATAAAATAGATTATGTGCACTTGAGTTTTTGTACAGGGCCTGGGGCTCTCAATACTTCGTAATTTTAGTAAATTGCAGAGCATGTTACTAAATTTGTAAGCTCTCCAGCAAATGACATTTTTTCTTTCTTTTTCTTAAAACTTGTCCTCTGTAATGGCTTTCTTTATCAAATTAATTGCCTAAATTGCATTATTTTTGTAAAAGTTGTTGAATTTAATGTTTGTCACGCCTAAAGGTTAGGGAGGTGAGAATGTTAAATATAGGTATCATTATTTCATATATTTGCACAAAAGATAGATCGTATTTTCTGCTCACTTTAACTGTGGCATAAAAAATAAAGTATAATCATTATGCATGTACTATATACTCCTCAGAAAAGCTAGATTTGACTAAACTATACTGATGAAATATGTACTCAGTGATAATTGTGCTGCTACATGTAGATATTGAGGGAACTGGTAAAGATAAGGGAATAGACATTTATTGTCATTATTCTCTGTGGCATCCGAGAGGAATGGATTATCTTTAGGTGCTGAATTTGATTTATTGTGCCTGCATTAATTCTCCCTCCTACAACTGATTGCAATACCAGTGCTTCTTCCTTGCTCTTTCTGGACTGTGGCTGTCCTTCAAACAAATTTATGGTTTTCCACTTTAGCAATATATGTGCTCAGCTGATACAGAAAGTGTAAGTGTATGTGTCTTTCCCAACTGCTACCTCCTTGGGGTTAAAAAATAGTTTTCCTTCCCTATATTAATCAAAAGTGATAATGGGAGCTTAACTGTCTCTAGAGGGGCTTGAAGAAGCTTTTAGTTAAATGTTTCTTTATCTTTATTTGTGTATCAAATAGACTTATGGGGAAATTGTGATTGATTTTTAATATATCTTACAGATTTTTATACCGCTGTCAACAATCATTGGATTCTAAAGGCCCAAGATTTAAGAAATTTAACTACCCTTTCTGTGGCGGGAGGATTCAGAGATTACCAAGTTCGTTCAGGACTGGCGTTTCTACCAAGATTGAGTCAACATGACAGTACCTTATCTGTTGTGGTAAAAAGGCAAACTATTTTCTTGGTTTTGTATGGAGCTGTGTTAGATGGCTATTTATGTAATGCATGTTTCAGTGTCCACTTATAGTCTATATGTGCAGCATAGTATAACTATGAAAATACTACATGTGAAAAGACAAAGTAGATGGTGTACAATTATAAAATCATAGCTGATGTAGTATAAATGAGTGTCCACTGGAAGATGTATGTGTTGGGGTTGATTTGAGTCGTGTACCACTTGGTACTTTTTCTTCTCACCACCTTCTTGCACATTTTCAGTTCCAGAACTCAGGTTTTATTTTTCTGTCTTTTCACAAGACGTGTATATAGAGACTGAGAGATGTGCAGTATACAAGTAGACCGCTTGTTTGATTATAGAAAGAGAGCTCTGGCTTGGAGCCTTCTTTCTGTATTTATTGTTTTTCAAATAATTTCAGAATAAAGGACTGAATGATCAAATCCAGTATTCTGTTTTTGCAGGCATCTATCTCCTTCCAAAATTAATCAAGAGATACTATAAAGTAGTTAGGTTTGTCATTCCATCCCTCTTCTATCAACATGTTCCCTACAGGGAAGAAGCTGGAAAACATTCCCCAGTAGGGAGAAAATTGGTGATTTCCACCTTCCATTTACTGTGAAAACCGGTTTTTAAATGTGTTTGTTCTGACATCAACTTGAAATGTTACCTGAAATAGTTGTCAATTCCTTGGTGTTTACCTCTGGGTCCGTTGTATAGAAAGCTGTCTATAAATAGTCCCAAGTTTGATTTTGCTAGGCTAAGAAGATTAACTGCATTCCCTTTGTCCTAGTAACCGTTCTCTGCATCTGCTCTACTTTCATTTCTCTTTAGTGTTGGTGACCAGAATTTTGCATGAGATCTCATGTGTAGTGGTACCAGTTCTTTCTCGTGTTTTTGGTTTGTTTGTTTTGTTTTTGTTTGTGGGTTTTGGGGGTTTGTTTTTTTCTTCCCAACTGTAATGCATTAATAGTTCATAGCTTGCTTGAGCTCATCACCTGGTTGTACAACTTGATTCCATTTATGGAAGGCATTTTTGGTATTATTAGTCCCCAAAATACAATACACTTGTACAAATGAATAGCTTCAAACTGTCCAGTTCTTTCTGCATGGTGTTCTGATGCTTCTTTCTGCTGAGGATGCTCTCAATTTTTCAGCAGCAGCTTTCATTGGCACGCTTCTATTCTTGTGTGCCAGGATCACTTCCTAAAATAGTAAGATTAGTCATAGAAACAGTCTTTGAAGAAATTTTTGGTAAGTTTCCTCCACACCATTATTTGCCCTTTCACCATTAGTCATTACTATCTAACATGTAAAACAAAATGACCAAGTTATCTAAGTCCTGTTTTACAAGCGCTTCAGCACTTGTGGTGGTGGAACTTTCAAACATCGGGATACACGTTTAGCAAAAGCCACTTGGTTAGTCAACACTAGGGCATCTGCCAATCAAGCTGACCCTGCCCAGTCAAACCTTCTATGTACTGTAGTTGGGGACTGTACTGTACTATGTACTGTAGTTTACACTAACAATATGCAAGGGAAGACAGTCTGGGTTATTCCTGCCTCGGGTAAAGGTAAACCCATTCCTGGGACTACTTTTGCCCAAGGACACTGGGTGCACTTGGTGGGTAATGCAGAAAGATGGGGAATTCCAATGTGTGCTTCAAGGCGATTTGATTTTTGGGGTGAAAATAGCCACTGAATTGAATTGCATGATGTCAGTTGCTAAATAATCCTATCGTTGCTATGGTTGACATATTATACTAATGGTATCATATTAAGAATCACACAAGTGCTGCAGCACTTGTAAGATTTTTGACTGAAGAAGTCATTCTATTGTACCCTAGTCCCTGAAACTCCTAAGATAAGCACTATTCAATAATTGTACAAATATGTTTAAATAAGGAGAGGAAAGGCTTGCTTAGAATTTTAAAATGTTGAATACTAACAAAATCTTAACTTTTTTCCTTCCCCAGAGCTCAGCTGTGCCTAGAGTTTGGGCCTCAACAGACCATCTCTCCATAGTGTGGTAAGCTAATGGAACAAATATTGACTGACTATATGTTCCTCTGTTTTCTACTATTATCACATTATACAATAATTTAACTTCAGCATAATATTCTTATGGTGTCTCTTCTGACCACTTGAATTCCCCTGGGTATTTACTTTCTAGATTTAATTTTACTTATTCTGTCTTCTAGGTGTAAAGAATTGATCCTGGCTACCATTAGAGCTTTTTTCGATCTTGTAGATGAAAACACAAGGCAGGTTTGTATATGTGATCTACTGTATATTTCTCCATCACACTTTCTTCTTCCATCCCAGAATGCTTGATCAGGGCAGGTATCATCCTATTATACAGAAAACTAATTTTGATTATTGTAAGTCATGCTGAGAAAATTGTTGCCATCCTGTACCAGGCACTGAAAAATCCTGTGCCTTTGTTGTTTGGCCAGCATGTCAGAAATAATTAGATGTTAACTCAGTTTCTATTACTAACTGCTCGATGCTTTAAAACTGGGGTGTGGACTGAACTTTTCTTGCATAATGCACACTTCCAGAGGGTATTGTCATCATAGTAGCCAGCATGTAGTTGTGGTGTTCTCTTGCAAATAGCACTTACAAAAATAGAATGCAAGTAAAATACTAGCAGCTACCATTATTTATTGCTTTTCTAAATAAATATCCTGCATCTTACTTTTTAAATACTGTTGGAGAAATCTCCCATGGTATTCTGTTCTCTTTCTGAAATGCTATGCAGCAATAAGCATGAGTTGGAATTAAGGTCCAAGAGGTTGAAAATAAGTAAGAGCAGAGCCTCAGATATAAAAGAGGAAGGCTTCCAAGTATTCTTGAGACTGTTTGGGGCAGGCTTCTTATGTTTACTCTAACATGTGATATAGAATGACAAAAAGGGGGTACCATTGTTTTGAAGTTGACCGGCACTGTGCTGGAGGGCGCAACTTTTCATAAATCAGTTGTAATGGCCACAATTTTGAGAAGCTGAATAGACAAAATTTAATCCTGGAAATTTGATCTGGGGAAAAAAAAACCAAAACAAAAACAAAACCAAAAAACAACAACCAAAAAAAAAAAAAAACCAAAAAACCCAACCCAAACTAAAAGTGAATCCCAGTGTAGCTCAACAGCTATTTGTATGCATAAAATATAAAGATGAGATGTAGTAAGCTGGATTTGTGAATTCAGACTAGTAAATATAAACTTAGTTTTTCCTAAACTCTGGCATAAGTGCGTTATTTCAGGAAGAATGCATGTGTGTCTAGGAAGTTTAATGGTTTCCTTGTGTTAAGAGTAGGAAAGGCTATAAAACTAAAGGTTTTAGTTAAGCTTTATAACATGTGCAGACTTTCTGTATTGCAGTGATTGACTATCAATGGCACTTTATTTGTTCAGATTATTGAATTTAGATAGAATCAGTGTACATTTTCTTCTAACAATCTCTCCTGCCTTTCATATCCCAAACTGTATTGCTAACTATGAACATGTGATGACAGTAAATCACAAAAAATGGTAAAATAAAATTTGACGATGTGTTCTTTTTTTTTAGATAACTGACGATCCAAAGAAGAGAATGTCTGTATTGAATCACCACTTTGTGAGACATCCTGCAAAAATATTTGAGGAAAATCCTGAAGCTTTTACAGGACTCACAGGTGTGCAGCAGTTTTCCTTTGAACAGGATTCAGTGATACTCCTTGGTTAATAGTTAATCTTCTCACTAACAAACTTCTGGAATACATACTGCCCTTCTTCAGACATGGCTAAAATTATATAGGGGTTATAGACCTAAACTATCAGCTTTCATGTGGTTTCAGCACTAAATAGATTAAAAAGGATAGGAATAAATATCTGTCATTTTTATATGGCTTAGGTTCTGGGGGACAAGCAGGAGTCATACTTACACCAAGGTGTCCACTAGACAATCTCAGAAATTGAGAATAGCTGGATGTCAAAAGTACAGTCTAATCTATGCTTACACGCCATGCTTGCAAGAGGGATAGTATTGGTGTTGTAGAGCCATTGTGCTAGTTTTGTGCTACTTATGGAAATCCTGAAATCCTCCACATTCAGATCTGCTTCATCGGTGACTTCCTTTTTTTTTAATGACGTGGACTGCACACTAATGGTTTGCTTGTAACTGCTAAAAATGTGTAGTTTACAGCCATTTGCAGATAAGAGATAAGACCTTGGCAATAAGTAAAAGACAAGATTTTGGAGATAAATGTAATAGTTGCTGCAGTGTGGCATATAAAAATGTATATATTTTTAGGAGCTTTTAGATGGATTACAGTCAAAGCCTCAAAATGGACTTACACAGTTTACAATGTAAGTAACATTTTTTTTTTCTCATTGTGTTTTTATGTTTAATTTTTTTACTCTAATGAGCTTTTTTTTTTTTCTTTTAAGGATTCTGATGGAAAATACTTCACGTTTCCTCTTTCAAGCCACAGAAAATTGTACAGTCATGTTTACTGTGAAAACAGTATGTTGGTGAGAAAATACTTCTGTAATGTCTGGAGTTTGTTTATAAAACTGTATTTTGTAAATTCAGATTAGCTGCAGTTTTAAGACTGTTTAATGAACATTTGTTGAAATTACTGACATCCATTTATATTCGTAACCTAATATATTGTGTTAGATGTACTTCCTGTTTTAGCATGTTGCACTTAGTGTTCAAGATCTGAAACCTTCAATGCCACCTGAACCTCAAAGCTTTTATTTTTGACTCTTATGGTTAGCCCCAGATTACTTCCTCTTTTAATTTAGTGCCGTTCTTTACTGATGGTTTTGAATGAAGAAGCTATTTTTAGTGCTGCCAGGATTCAGCCATACTTCTAATCTGGGAAAGCTGTTTATAGGTTTACTTTCTCATAATAAAATTTAAGTGAGCCTGAAAGGCTACAGAGATCTTCCACTAAGCAGTGGAAGAGAATGGAAGCCAGATGAGAAAATGGCACCTTCTCAGTTGTCTCCTCTGTTGAGAGGAGAGACAATAGTGTGCAGTTCTTACATTTTTAGCTCAGAAGACATAAATTCAGCCAAAATGTTTTTGAAATATTTTTAGAAATATTTTTTTAAATGAATGAATATAATCTCTTGCCAAACTGGAGATGGATAAACATGCTTTTCAGAATTACATGGGTAATTTAGATTAGTGGTAAGAAAACTTGCCAAATAAGAAAACTGAGATGCTTACCCATTCCATCCTGCCTGTCACTGTTGCCACTGCTCCCCTTACCAAAGAAGACATTCGTACCATCATTGTGAAAAAAGATTGTATATTCTTGGTGGTTTTCTAATCATCATTCCCAGTAGCACCTTCAGTATTTTTATATAATTGTTGTGATCTTAGTTGTGCTTTAATAGGATAACATTTGCCCTTGTTATAATATCTTAAAGACAGGAGTAGTACTGCTTGAGGAGGAGGAGGTGCAGAACAATATCTGTGATACTTGCATCATGGTGCTATTGCTTCAGAACACGTAAATTCTCAAGGCAGGGAGCAGTATAATATTAAAAATCTAAAGTAGTCCTCAACTACTTAGGATAGTACCTTGAGATGTTTCTTTTAGTTAGAAAAGATTAAACTCTTAATTTTTTTTAAAGAGAAATGATGAAAGGTTGTTTACTTAAGCTTGTATTTGTTTTTAGAAAATTATTGATTCATAACTAGAAATGGTGGCAAATGGAAGTTATTTAAAATGGTTCCTAGAAACCCCCACCTTTCACTCTTATGCTTCATCTTTCCATCCTTGTAACTGTAATTCCAAGATTACAATATCAGACTTTTAATGGAGTATATCATTTAGTGTTAACACAGAAGTCTGACTTAATTATGAAATGAAGAAAAAAAGTTGGTGGATAATTTTAATTATAAATAAATGAGGAAGTCTGAGAGAGACTGTTTTTATCATCATCTTCACTTTTGCACTTCAGCATTTGACATCCTTGTGAGAGTTTGGTCACTATAGTGATAGCTGCTGCATACACACTTAATAGAAAAGAAGTGAGATGAAGATGCAAGTTTGTTCTTCTTTTTAGTAAGTTAATTACACCAATGTTCTCCTGTCAGAGGATTTTTAGAACAGTTATTGACATCTGGTGCACTGAAACAGCAAATAAAAATTTTGGAGAAGATTATCAGCATTAACTCCTGCATTGTTTGGAGTAAAGAATTGCTATGTTTAATATATTTATACATACAGTCACACATAGGTAATGCACTATTTAATGGTATTGACTTTACAGGACACAAGTAGCTGGATTTATGGCTGTATGAACAGTAATTCGTTGATGTGGTGAGTATAAACAGTTCCTGTTCTGTATTCAAATGGATATTATGAGACTATATTTGAATTTAAAGCAGATAAAATATCCTCCTCCATAGGAAGGAAGAGATTGGGAAGAAAAGTAAAATTCTTACTGTATCACTAAGAAAACATGAAAGAATAGGTTTTCTCAAAATTACTGCATGAATACAGGATAAAACAGGTGAACTTTTTCTTCTTTAAGCTATATTTTTGTCCTTCATAGCAGTGAAAATTTGGTCCTGTTACTCTCTTGTGGACACTACATGCTGTGCTGGATTCCTAAATTGTGTGTTTTGTAGCATCTCTTTAGAATCCTATGGCAAAAGACATCAAATGTCACTCAAAGCCCTCAGAAGAGTGGACTGAAGCATCTCTCATTTTTTCTCTTATTCCAAAATTGCTGTCATCATATGAAAAATATTTAGAAATGTGGGTGATTTAGTGATTATTTGAATCAGGTCATTACAATCATTACAAAATGGATTTAAAAACACTAGTTTAGCTTACATTTGCAAAGTAAGCTCAGAGTAAATGCAGTCTACCCTTCAGATTAGGGTAAGCTTCCAGGTGGAATTGAGCTAGCATAGTATTTCTCTTTTAAGGGATCCGTGCTGAGGAGTATAGCCACAGAATCTTGCCTTCCACTGATAGCCAGATGTCATAATTACTTTTTCGTGATCCAAGAAGTTGGCTGTTACTCCTTTGTATAACTTGATCATCATCAAGTTCAAATCAGCCTTATTCAGGACTGCTACCTAAAACCTCATTTAATAATAGTGGTTTTGCTGTGGACTGTGCCCTGAGGTCATGTAACACTAGTTAGAGAAACAGAATTATCCTGGTATTCTAAAACCCGTAATTTAAAATGACTGAATGACGATGTTGCAGTTCAGTGCGTTAAGTATACACCATTTTAAAACTGCTGCAAGCTCTTCAGCAGCTAACAAAACTTTTGGTTTATGTGGTATATTTTAGATGTTCTCCTAGGAACAACTGGTAATGTTGATGTTTCAAATATGCTAATAAAACTGGACATTAATTCAATGCCAGTGGTGTTTTAGCTCTTTAAGAATTTTCATTATGTGTCTGAAGTTGCATGGCTAATAACTGCTGAATGATTTGTCTATGACAAAGCTAGAGACTTGATTAACCTATTTTTGAAAAACCAAGATTAGCAGTATCTGAAATTATTACAGTTTGATAAATTACTATGGTAGCTAACTACAATAGACCCAAACTTGTTCTCAATTTAAAATCATGTGAATCCAGAGAGAGAGAGAGAGAGAGAGAGAAAAGCTGGTTGTTTAATCCACTGTCATAATGTAGTGTCTGCATAATGAATATGCTCATCCTTTAATGTACGTGTTTGTACATGTAATGTACAATTTTTGCAGCCTGGAAGCTGTTGATTTATCCTGGAGAACTGAGTTACTTCCAACCACCAAGGTAAGTATTGTATGTAACTTTTAGGAGGGAGAGGTGCTTTGTGGGGTAGTTGCATGTCATGGGAGAAGGATTTATTCTGTTTACAGCATTGGAGCATGCAGTTGTGTTCCAGAGGAGGGGGTACAAGAGGTGGACATCTGGGAACTGGCAGGGGGCAGGCTAAGGGATATGTTCAGTCATGGTTTTTCTTTTTCTTTTTTTTTTTTTTTCCTTTGTGTTTTTTTCCTCCTTTTTTTTTTATTTTAAGGTTGTAATACTGAAACTTCAGGACTATCCTTCTTTGTCGCACGTTGTCATTCAGGTACCACCCACAGTTGGCAAAAAGGTAAAAGAAAAAATAAAAAATGCAGAAATTACTTGCTTAGTGTTTTTATAGCTTTCAGATGCTGTGACAGAAGGAAAAGGAAGTATATTAAGTATGTGCTAAGTTAATCTAAGAAACCATAGAGCTACACTCCAGTGTGGTTTGAAGATAACTGTTATCTTTTGAAAGCCCAAATATTTTTCATTTCTTTAAATAACAAGCGCAAGGCATGAATAGTACTTGAAACATACAAAGCAACAGTTGTCAAACCAGTTCTTAGATTTCTTGTCAGAGATTCTAGTGTTGTTCTTCCTTGTTTTTCTTCATATTCTGAGTGCATTCTTGAATATTTATCTTTTTGAACAGTCAGTTCTCTAATCCAAGGTAGCAGTGATGCTGTAGGTAACTGAAGGTACCACGTACAGATTCTGGGGAGCATGATACAGATACTTCTGCAGGCTCTGAGACCACAAATAAGGTGGTAGACTGAGTTACAGAATCACAGACTGGTTTGGGTTGGAAGGGGCCTTAAAGCCCATCCAGTTCCAACCCCCTGCCCTGGGCAGGGCCCCCTTCCCCCAGCCCAGGGTGCTCCCAGCCCCGTCCAGCCTGGCCTTGAACCCTTCCAGGGAGGGGGCAGCCACAGCTGCTCTGGGCACCCTGGGCCAGCGCCTCACCTTCTTTACAGTGAAGAATTTCTTCCTTACATCTAATTTAAATCTCCCCTTATCCAGTTTAAAACTGTTACCCCTCATCCTATCCCTACCCTCCCTGATAAAGAGTCCCTCCCCAGCTTTCCTGTAGCCCCCTTTAAGCACTGGGAGGCCGCTATAAGGTCTCCCCGGAGCCTTCTTTTCTCCAGGCTGAACACCCCCAACTCTCTCAGCCTGGCCTCACAAGGGAGGTGCTCCAGCCCCCTGATCATCTTCATGGCCATGTTTGGACCCACTTGAGCAGGTCCACGTCCCTTCTGATGTTGAGGGCACCAGAGCTGGACACAGCACTGCAGGTGGGGTCTCACAAGAGCAGAGGGGGAAAAAAACAAAAACAAAAAGCAAACATGTATCTGAGAAGGAGGAATGTGAACTGGATTCTAGTATTTCTCAGCTGCTTGAATATCCTTTTGAAGGCTGTTGCAAATGGGTGGGAGCTAGTGTAACCTGGAAGTCTTAAGCTACCCAAGCTTGTGCTGCTGTGTACAGGAACAAACCACCTGCCAGTCCCTATCAGCAGAGCATGGAGAGGTGGCTTTTCAGTATTTGCATCTTGGGCTCTGCCTGAGACTGCGAATAGAATTTGCCAAGTGCAAAGGCTTTATAGTCATGTACTTGGATTAAATTGATATTTAATATCCTGAATTGCAGTATACGTTGGACTGTGAATTCTTCAAAGAGGATTCCAGAAAAGTACAGCTTCCTGTAACACATCTTTTTTCATTTGGTAAGTATAGCATATTACTTTGGGAGAAAATGTAAAACTAGTATTACTAACATTTGGATAATAAATTTGCCTAAAAATTCCAATGGTTGGGAGTTTTTTGGGGGGTTGTTTTTACTAAAGTTAATATTGCTTTTGTTAGTAATGGACAAATAAATAAGAAATGTGGATTATTTGGACTAAAGGGTGTCGAAGCACATAAGTCTTCTGGAAAAAGAAAGTCTGAGGATGTAGTGAGTTCTTAAATAGTTTTATCTAATATGTGAAAATAATACATCCTTTACAGGGCTTTCTTCAAGCAAAATTATGTTAAATTCAACTGGCTTACTTTACAGTGTACAGCTCCAGCACTTTAACCAGGTAAGAATACTACTAAAGTTTTTAAGCTAATGGAACCACTGTTTGGAGAATGTAATTGACTTTTTTTTTTTTAATGTTCTAGATATATCAAGCTTTCAATATTTATATAGAGAGCCACTGCCAGTCACTCAAAGGTAAATATGTCTTCTAAGGTACAAATTTATAAAACAAAACTTGTTGAAAATTCTCAAGACTGAAACTGGTGGAAACAAAAGTCCCCTCATGCAATGGGGTTTAGGTAGTGCTGTTATGATCTGCTCAAATGTCTCTGCTAATATGTCTCACTTTCCACTTTTTGTTATGAAGGATGCTCAAAGAAAATGTGGAATTAGTCCTCATATGTTTGTTTTTCTTCCCAACAAAGGGAGGTTGAAGTCTTAGCAGGATTCTGCATTATGTTGGAAGTGTTTCTCAGGAATAGCACATTTGGCTGGGATAATTATTTGCTAATTATGGGACTCAAATTTGAATGTTGACCTACATAAGCTTAAACAGAATGGGATGCTAAAGAACTCTGTTTAAAAAAAAAAAACAAGAAAAAGGTGGTAGATTTATTAGCTTGAGGTTACAGCTTTGTATTGAAAAGTTTTTTCATAACTGTCCTGGCTTTAAACATTGATGTCTTGCTGTTTTGTTCTGTAACAGCATGAGTTAAAAAATGTTATTTTTGTTCAGTGCTAACAGCACTGATCTGCATTGTAATGTCAATTGCAATGTAACTGCAAGCCCAGTGATTCTGTATAGCGACCTATATGCCACCTTTGTCTTACTTGCATTTTAGTTTTTGGAGACAGTTGCCACATCTTGTTCGTAATTAATTTTATATTTTTTTAATTCTCTTCCATTTCAGAAAGAAAACCTAGTGTTTACAGACTTCACATACCCTGGTCACATGAAGACTCAGTAGTTGTATCCAAGTAAGGACTTTAGTAATTATAACATACTTCTTGATATATTTTTGAAGAATGTTCGCATCCTGTTATGGTAATCTTTCTGATATAACTTCACTCTTAAGTGTTTGGTGTCTGCATCTTTTCCTCATTTACCTTTCTGCAATTGTTGACAAAGCTGTTTTGACTTTTCCTCAGAATATCTACTAACTGTTTGTTTAATAGTTCTCACTAATTTTCATGAAAAGGAAGTCAGATTTGCTGGTCTGAAATTCTCAGCATAATCTTTGACCCCATCACGAGTGGGGAGTAGAGGCTGCTCTGGATGCTGGCTCTTTCCTGTAATGCAGGGTTTGGATCACATAGCAGCCTGAATTGCTTCAGCAGTGTAGTCCCAACAAAATGAAATGATACAGCTTGAAATGTATGTCACTCATGAATTGCAGTTGAACAACATGACTTTATTTTAGATGGTTGGAAAACTGTCTTCCTTGTTTATATTAGAGGTCTTAAGGATACCTCCCTATTTTCCCCTCTCCCCCTGCATTTTCTAACAACATAATATTTGCAGGAAGCTGAATTGTGTTCTTGCAAATCTGTCCTTCCCATTTTTGTCACTCAGTATATTTATGTGCTCTGTGAGGCAGCATGTACACTAATACCAAACCTGCCTGTTTTCATTAGTACCATGCCCCTTGATAGGTCAGAGGACAGTGGATTGACATTGTCATGTAGTTCTTTGTGACAGGATAAACAAGTACATTATACCATTTCACTTATAGCTTGTAGTGACACTTGGTGTGCTAGATCTGCTTTATGTGCACTTGTGGAAGACTAAGGCATGTTTAGCTTTTTTTAATCAGAAGGACAACAATTACCAATTAAGTTGCTGTTTCAGAGTTCCGTCTTCTACTGAGATTTCTGCAAAACTGCATGTTGCTCAGCCTCAAAATGACAGCAGGGTTCCAGAGTTAAATATTTACTCTTCCTCAGACTGTCAGTACGAAGTGAGTAATATGAATTTATTGTATAGCTAGTTTGCATTGCTGTATAATTTTTGCATAATTCAGTCTTTTAAAACATGTAGCTAATTAATCAAAATAAATACTAAGCAAATCTAAAGGTGGGCTGTTTGGCCTTTTTGTAAGTGTCATGCATGCCACAAGTATTTTGCAACAGCTGGAGTGATAGTGAAAGTTTGGCTCTCGTTTCTGAGAAAAACGTTAAAGCATTTGTTTCTTAAAAGTCAGTAGTAAGCTGTTGTACATTTTAGTTTTGGAATTGCTGCATTCTAATGCTTAAGGTGGCTTCTTAAAAATAAGTGTTCTGTACTTACCATTGTAAAAATAATAAAATATTTGTGTTTTTATTAAGGTAATTCTGAAGACATCGCTTTTACAGATTCTTGGGCAAGTAAGAAAACCTTCTAGTACTAGGTTGTGTTTGATGTCAGTAGCATCTATAGAAGTTTTCCCTTCCGGCACTTTGCATTCCTTCTCAATGCCAGGAGGAACACTATTCAATGATTATTTAAAACCTTGTCATTTGGCAAGGCATCCCAGCCAGATAAATGTCAGGCCTCAGTTTTCAGAAGCACTCTAGCTCTAAAGAGCTAATGTAAATGTTGAGCACCTGGCTTTGTGATTAGGCAAATACTGGTTAAGGGATGACACTGTAAGTCACTTTAACTTTCTTGCCAGATGAGTCAGTAGTGTTAAAATTTTAAAATACATTGAGCATCAACTAAAAGTTAGGGGAAAAAAGTCTGAGTAGATCCATGTGCTCTTTTGCAACAAATTTTCTTTGGTTATCAATGAAGAATACATTTCAACATTGGTATCAGTGAAAACAGACTAGCCATCTGCAGTTTTCTGAAAGGTACTTCATTTGCAAGCACCTAAGGGTAGTGCTGCAATATTAGTGGCAAATTTCTCTATTTGAATGTATGCATTTACATCAAAGAATTTTCATTTTGTTATCATTTTAGAATAGTTTATGTGCTGTTTGTATATTAATCTTGACTGGGGACAGTGGAAGCCAATTAAAACATACATGAAATTGCTTCCAAAAATTCCTTGCTCAAAAGCATATACAACTACATGCAGGTTTTGCTTGGGAAGTGGCCTTTTACTTTTAACTTATTTTACTGAGACACCATTAATGTGCTACTGCATGATTTTAATATTTGTCTTGACTGGAAAAAAAAAATCATTCATTTATAATCTGGTTATTTATCAAAACATGTTTGATTATCTGTCTGAGAGATCTTAGTATTTTCCATATATAACGTTAATTGCTAATGGTGGTTATCAAATACTTATTCATCAAAACAAGAAAACGTTTGAATCTTATGAAAGATTTTTTAATCACGTTATGATGCTGGCTTCATGATAATATTTATGTATGTGTGTGATTTTAGTATATTTTAATATCTATAAATTAAAAGTTATCCTCTTATCCTTGTCTTTCAGATAATAAGGTTCCATGCCAGTGCTCTTCCTGTCTATGTTGTTTCTAATATTCTTCTTACTTATGGAGGACAATTAAGCACATTGATATCAGCAGGTAGCTTTTAGAAAAGTAATTTTCTTCTGTCACAAGTGTTTTTAGAGAAATTACTTATCAGATTTACTGTTGAAAGACTAACTAGTTGTCACGATTTCTTTTATGCTAAGTATCATTGAACTTGTAAGTACTTGGCTCTTTGCTCTTCAGTTTTGTTTTTTGTTTGTTGGTAGTTCTCTAAGGTTGTGTTGTAGCTTATTTTACTCTGAAGTCCCTTCTTTGCAAATGATTGGTGTTGCACAATATTTTAGAATTATTAGAAGTCTACTTAAAAATACATGTTAAAGTTTAAAATATATTGTTAATATGCACAAAACACTTTATTTCTTCCATGAATGAGATTTGCAGACTAACTTTTAGATATGTCTTCAGACAAAATGTATTTTTAGTTAAATTCAGGTGGTGTTTGTAACAAACTCCATAATGTCCCTAGAAGCTCTTGTGACATATTACCTGAATATGAGTGATCCAGTGAATAAGGGCCTTGATGATGAACTATACACTGTTATAAGACATGTTTATCTTGTTTTAAAGTAAACTTTCACACCTTTGTCTGAATTTACTTTTTGTTGTGGATCTTCTTTGTTAAAGTTCATGACAAAATAATAACTATAGATGCTTTCTGTTCTTGGTTCTAGGCCAGTGTTCAGACTTTTCCCTTGAACTAGTTAGGACAGCTAAACCCTACAAAGTAGAACCTCTTATAAGCATTGTTGTGTTTCTGCAGGGGTGAGTTTGCATAACTTATTTCTTTAAAGCAGTTTCCAAAACAGAAGTTTCAGTAAAACTATTGGTGGGGAGGAATAGTATTTTATCTGTAGTCATTGTGAACACCTGGCTGTGATTTTGGTTGAAAGGCTGTAGTAGGAGGAATAGTTGATACATATTTTACTGTAATGGCAATTGGGAATAAGTGATACTCCTTTCATGTTTCTGGCAGGTTTAACTGGTTTCAAGAGATATGGGAATCACTGTCACTACCAGAGTTGGAGGCTGCTGTACTGAGGAGTCAGGATGCGTGGTTCCCCCTTGTGTCCCTGATTCTGTTTCTTTTGGGGACAGGCATTGCCTACTGGAGTGGAGTGTTTTTCTCTACAGCTCTGAGACTCTTTTCTTCATTATGGTTAACTCTGTTTAGGTAAAACAACATTATGCTCTGTTAGATGACCGACTGTCAATTTTTTGTTTTCTTCAGTGTGAGTGCTTGGGCAGATTAAATTCTGCAACATAGTTCATACATGGTTTTAGCCATCTGGGTTTTTTAGTGTTAAGTACTAACGAAGAACAAGGAGGATTGCCTCATATTCCTTATTCCACGTCTCCAAAAGGGAACATAAATGATTTTCTTGTTTCCTTCACCAGCTCTTATGAAGGTTTGCAATTTGTTTTTGAGGAAAGCTTGCTGGGGAAAAGAAAGTAACTGAACTATTCCCTTTTCAGCAGCTCAAAAAGATAAATGTATATATCTAGGAAAGGGACTATGAGCATTGCAATCCATTCCTCATTGTTCATATTGGATAGACTGCATTAAAGAATGCAAACAGGTTTGTAAAACAAAAACTTCTTGGGTGTTAATTTCACACTACAAGACAGATTGATTAATTATATAGATCTAAGAACACTGGAATGTTTTGCTTCAAAAGTATTCAAATATGAAAGGGGGCTTAAAAAAAGCAAGGAAGATAAAAAGATTTTGAAAGAATAAATTAATAAATTGAATAACTTGCTTAGTTATGTTAATGATTTGACTTTTTTTTCTCTAATAACAATCCTCAGCTAGATTTGAGCCAACTCTGTCTCCAGAAAGTTGGTTGGGATGCTTTGTACTCGGAAAATATCCACTAAATTAACTCTTTTTCTTCCTTTCATCATAAGTGCTTCTAGTCTTATTCTACCAAATAATAGATGTTGTGTCAGCTATTTCTTCCCAGATATCGTGTATATAAATTACATCAAATGCTCAGAAACTTCAGTATTAAGTGATGAAGTGGCAAACTTCTAAGTTTTAAAACTACTCTTACTAAATTTTTAAGAAGTTTTAGGTTGATTCATACCCTTTTCATTAAAGCTCTTTATTTCTTGCAAACCCTGAGATGTCTTGGGCAGAGGCAGGAAAATAAGATTTTGTGTGCCTGCCTGTCAGTCGGGTAGTTTATTTTGAAATTCTAGTGCCTTACACAGTTCTGATACCTTACATAGGTTTTGATATAGTCCTACTTTCTTGAGGAAAAAAAAAATAGTGTTCACTTGACGTTTGCTCAGTGTTCTGAAATAATCTGATATAGTTAGCAGCAAAGAATTTGTCACTAGCTGTCTGTGGAATTCTTCGTTCCTGTCAACTAACCATCTTTTTGTGGTTATTTTCAGTATTTGTTGCGAAGGCTTTTAAAATTCTATTTTCCAAATAATGCTTTTTCTGTTTTCAATGTCTATTTTAATACTGGAATGACCTGTGAATATCCAAGAAGTACAGACTTTTTCATAGTTCTATTGCACTTCCTCCCTACCCCATTCCCCTTGTTATCTCACCTTTTCAACTCATCTCTGTCATTTCAGATTCATACCTGTCTCTTAGTTGTAGCAGCTGGACTCCAGAAACATAAAATAAACTTTTCTGCATTTCTCAGACTGAGCAAGCAGAAATTACTGTCTGAGAAGAATGTTTGTCACAGAATTAATCTCTTGGAGACTCATATGCTGCTGTACAATCATTAAACACTGCAGCTCATTGATGGTTGTAGTAAGAGTCACTTTCATGATGCAGCTGTGCAGTCATAATAATAAGATACTCATTCTCTGAACAGAAGAACTTAGTGACTGTTGCAGATATACAGTTAGCAATATATAATGCTTTATGTTCCCCAAATGAAGTAAAAATAATAGATTAGTTACATTCTGGAAGGTGTAAGATTGTTTTGATAAGAAAGTTTGGTTTCTTTGGTGTGGGTTTTGTTTGTTTTTTTTTTGTTTTGTTTGTTTGTTTTTTGTAAAGTAGCTTATGTAGCAGTTGGTCTGTATGTTCAGATTTGTCTGACTTTTGTTTTTCCAGTGTTTAATCAATAAGCAAGAGCAATTTATTCTTTTCAGTTATGCACAAAACAGAATTATTGATATATATTGATATATATGAATCTTTGTAGCTTTGTTGTTACAAGAATGTAACAGCAGTTTTGTCTTTTTTTTTGTTTGTTTTTAGACCTACTGTACTTCAAAAACATAACAGGTTGATTACACCCAGAAGATTCTGTGTGATGTTATTCCTTGCTTTGGTTAGCTGGACCACTTGTGGTGCATTTGCTGTATTCATTATTTATCTTCAATACTTGTTCAAGGTACTGAAAGGCTCAACATTATAACTGAATTCAAAATTTTGTATGCTTTGGATTAACCTTATGTTAAAAGCAAAAATATGGATTATCATTTTTCATACTTAAACATTATTGTTTGCATACTTGAAATAGGTCTTTTTTGAACTTAACCAGACTCTCACAATCTTGTAATTATTAGAATTATTTTGGTTTTTTGATAATGCTTTTTCCAAGGAAATGAACAGTCCCATATGTCCACTACAATAATGCATACAATTGTGATTTTTAATTTACAGATAGGTAATCTTATGAAATCAAAGACTGGTAACTTCCTTGAAGGGAAATTTCAGCAGAGGGAGGATTTGGAATGTTCTGTTGAATACTTTTTAAAGACTTTACACAAATCTTTATGGAGTAAAAGGAAGGAGGGTAGATATACTGTAGAATTGGGATAGTCTTACTGTATGTCTAATCAGATCCCTTGGCTAGTGCCACACTGACCCGTATTTAGTCTCTGCCATTCAGTTTCCATGGTCTTCCTTGCATCAGAGTGTCTAACTTATCTGATTCACCCTATGGTTATGTAGCTGCTAAATCAGCTGCTATACTTGGCTGCTAGCAATGTGCTGGAGCGTGCATCTGGGAGCAGGGGCACAAAACAGAGCAGCTTACAGGTGGTCTGAAGGAGGTAGATGGCAGCTGAAAGCACAGCCTGAGGGACGGGTCTATCTCTATTTGAACTCCCTGTGACATAAGGTTACCCTGTGATGTTCCCATGCTGATATTATTCCCCCTTCTGCAGTAAATCTGATGTGAGACTTTTCCTATGTCACCTGTTTATAGGTTTCTGCAGGAAGTGAAGTAGAACTGAATTAGCAGGAGGAGGTGAAGAACATGCAGACTTTTTACTCTGTTCTGTGTCAAGCACAGTGGAAGGGGAGAAAGCACAGCAGCTTAAGTTTTCTCGCTGTGCTTGCATGCATAGAGCACTCTGCCTTTTCTATAAGCAGCATCCAGAGGGAGTCTTTGCATTGAGGCTTCATTGTGGCCCTAGAGTTATTTAGCTATAAAAAGGGTCAAAAAATAATTAGGCCAAATTTTTTATTCCTTCTATACTGCAGCTTTTGTGTAAAGAAACATCTGTAAAAATAGCTGGACTGTTTGTCTTACAGGTTATAAAACTACATGTGAATGTAAGAGCAGAAGAAAACATGCTTAATGGGGTAAGTCTCATTTCCTGTTTCTGGTCAAAATTGTGACCAAAAATTGTTTGGGAAACGTATGCATTATGAGTTGTTATTGTCTTGCCTTTGGTCATATTAGGTTGTGCTGTGATGCCTGAATAGTTGTAGTTTACTTACTGTGTGCATGATGTGGAAAAAAAAGCCAGGACATGAGTAATCTGTTCCATCACGTATGACTACTGTATTCACTGTTCAAGATCACTGCAGTGTGAACTTGTCTGAAGTTCATTTAAGAAGAAAATGTAGTCTCTGAATACATACAGAACAATAGTTTTGTCTAAATTTTGGTATTTGATTATGCATGCCTTATCTTAAAAAAATAATTTTAATTTCTAGATAATAGTCTATATACAGGTAAATATTCTTTTCCAGGGAGGTAGTTTGTGGAGTTTAGTGGTTTTTTTTTTGATCAGGACATGATAAATATGACTTCTTAGATGGATATGGACTGAGACCACAGTAAATTAGGAGCTGTTTTTAAAGGAGTAAAGAAGCATCACTGTTTTTCAGGCATTGTGAACTTTGTTTGTTTTTTCAGTTACTTTAAGGTATAGGATCCAAGATGTACGCAAGTGTGGATTGAGGCATGTAATTGTTTTTTTCAAACCTAGTTTAAAAAGCAGTCTGCCAGAAAAAGTTGTTGACAGTATTCTTTGGGTTTCTTTGAGTGTTTTTTGTTTGTTTAGTTTTAAATTCTTTCTTCTTCTTTCATTTCCATATAATTTGTGTGTCTTGTCTGTGTGTGTGTGTTTCATTTGTGTGTTTTTTTTTTTTTTTCCTGTCATTGGAAGTTAGCATCTGCCAACTCATAATTCATCTTTGTTATTTATTCCTACAGCTAATGTTTTACTCCCAGTTGCATTAACTCCTCTATTTTTTTCAATGAATGAGCATCTGTGACTTTCACCTGCGTGCTTTATTACTCCTTTTATTTTGTTCTTCCTCCTTCCAGGAACTCAATTTCTCATCACTGCACTGGTGTCAGGGCATCTCCACTCCCCATTCTTTTCTTACAAAGACATATAAACTACCAGTGTAAGACAAATTTCTGGTTAAATCTAGACGCTTTAAAACTGAACTATTGAACTTTGCTTTTGACAGCTTTTTGAGAGATAAATTGCAAGTTTTCTTTTTAAATTGAAGCTGGTATGATGCTGTTGTGACAGTTTTTTGCTCCTCTTCCCCCAGCATGGGTTCTTACAAGCCTGTGCATGTTTTTATGACTTCTGCCTTTTGTTTTCAGGATTCAGACTGCTCAAAAGAAACTTCACAGAACTCCAGTATATACACAGTCAAAAACCAGAGTTCAACGGACAGTACCTCAAAAGCAACACAATCTCTTTGCGACAGTACAACAATTGCTGAAGCCATTAACAGTCTTAAGATGCATGTTACAATTCTCAATTTATTCACATGGATTGTGCTGCTCAATTTGCCATCTTTAATTTATTGGTTAAAAAATATCAGGTAACTTCTTAAATTGCCAGTAAGGTGGAAGAAAAGAACATAAACCTTTGAAGATAGTAAAAATTGGAAATGTTTGATTCTACATTATTAGCTTCCTTCTGTTAATTATAACCTGGTTTTGTATGTAATCTGGTGTATGTTATGATATAAGCAGATGTTAAGTGGATCAGTGATATGCTGAAGGAAGTAATGGTTCAGAAAGGGTTTAAAGTCAGGCTGTGATGCCATATTTATTTCATGTACGTTATCTGCAAATGCTTGTTCCCAACTTGGATTTTATTTGATAGCCTAGTTTAGAAGTAACATGCTTTTTTAAACTGTTTTTTGTAGGTACGGTGTTCGACTTGATCCTGATCCATGTAGATCTACAGCCATTATCCTTGTATGCATTTTAGAAATTCTCATGAACTCAGGTACATCTGAAGTGAAATCAAGGTACTGTAGCCTAATCCTCAGTTTTTGTTTTCCTGCTTCTTTCTTGCTACTTCCATTTGTGTGGTAAAACTTAATTCATGCTGCACAGACATGTAACTGTTCAGCCTACATAAAGATTCCTAAACTCGTAGGGTTAAATCTTAAAGACTGGGTAAAATGCATGCAAATTACCTGTAGTCCAGGTAAGTGGAGAAAATCACTGGTATTTACCACATGGACTTAAATGGAGTATTTGCTGTCTAAGCAATCAGTTGCGTAAACGCTTCTTTAAATGTGACTTTTTCATTCACAATTCATTGAATCCTTCCAAATGTTACAGAATTCTAATACATTTAGCAATTACTGTCAGAAAGTTACAAGGACAAGTGAATTCTAAACCATTATAATTATGTTCTTGGAATTCCCCCTTATGGGCACACTTGTGGAAACGCAATGTGCTTTCTACTGGATTAAGAAGTTTTGAGCACTTGGTTTTGCTGACAGGTAGAGCATTTCTTGTTCAAATATAAAATTAGTGTCTCATGAAAGACAGTGAATAATAACCAATGTAGTTTATTCTCTTGACCGGTACCTGCTAATTCAAATGATCTAAAACATTAAATCTTTCTTTGTTACAGATAAATTATTTCTAAATTAATATAAGAATATTTTTCAATGACATCTTATTAGTCTTTTTGAATATTTTCTCTTGTCTATGCGTTGGTTGTTATGGTTCATTACACGTATTTGTTCCGTTTTTAAAATTAACAAAACCTTGAAATCTATAAATTATTTTTCAACAGAAAGTGAAATATGGTGTTTGCATACTTTCTGCACGTATGGCTACAAAAATGGCAATTTTTTCTTTATATTCTTACAGTAAACTCTTGAAGATCGCAGCCAAAGTTCCACTCCCTTTGTCTGTTGCAATGTTGGCCTTTGGACGAATGCATTTATACAAAGTACCGCACTTTGTAACCTTTTCTCTTCTTCTACATGTGCTGTGTTGTATTGTGTAACATTCGGGATACATAGGAAGAACAGTGCAGCCTAGAAACTTAACACTGGACATGGGGCGAATTTCAACAAAGAATTGCCTAGATGAATGTCATCAGTAGTTTGTTATGTGGGAAAGAGGACAGAACTGTGAATACTTTATGAAAAGTTTGTGGTTCTGTTCATGTTGCTTAGAAAGTTTTTCATGGTGTTTATTTCCTGACTGTGAAAATTAAGTGAATTAACTGTGTGTGTGTGTGTGTGTGTGTAAGCACGTAAATCGTATTAGTGTAACATCTCAATACTCTGTTTGCCTTGTAGACACTTTGATATTTCACTATACTACTTTGTTGAAACAGACTTTTTTTATTCACTATGCCATGCAGTGCATATGTTCTGAACTTGCATCTCTTGCAGGTCTAAATTATGCTGGTTACAACTCAATACATTTCAAGCACACTGTGATTATCACAAAAACTACACAGCCAAGTATACTTGTAATCATTTTATGCTACATTTAAAAGCTGCCACAGTTGTGTCTAGACAAACTAGAATGTACTGCTTATATAGAACTGTTATTTCTATAAAATCATTTGTTCAATCAGTGTGAGTTGAACATTTGTGATACTATTGAAAGTCTTATACATTTTACTTTTTGTGAGAGTGAGAGAACAATGATATTCTGTGTAGCTTTCTATTCAGGAAGGATATCAGCAGATTCATAGACAATTTGCTGTGATGTTGTTTTAAAACATTGCCAGTTTTCTCTGGAATTTTGTCAATACTGAAATTACTCCTTGGACCTTGTCCATATGTAGAAGCTAGTAAATGTTAAGGTATAGTGTGAGTTTACAGTTCAGTTGCTGTACTGCACTTCTTCCAAGTCGACAAGGCAGGCTTTTTTCCTATTGTAAATGGAGAATAAACCATCTCATAATAAGCATCCATATATGAAATGAATATGGAATAGTTATCACACTGTAAATTCATGCCCTGCCATACAGTGCTAACTTCCTCACATGGACAAACTTGTAGTAATAGTAGGAAATACTAACCATAATTATTAGCTCTGTATAAAGTATTATCTTAGTGCCTAGATGCTACAGTGACTGCCATGTATAATAAAGCCTAAAATAGCTATGTGTAAGGAATTCTGTCCCCTGGGTATATGTTTTGCCAACAGAAGAAGTCTCAGTAGCCATTAGGTTAATATGATGTATTGATCCCATGTAGAGATGAGCCTACTACTTGTTTTGTGTGTTAGCTGCTGTGTTCTGCGCTCTGTCCAAGATACCTGTTATCTTCATATTAGATGAGCTCAGTTATCTTACATGAATAATAAGAGGAAATCTGCTACCTACAGTCAATCAAGTATATTCTTGATATAGTAGTACAGCCAGCCTGACCCATTCGTTTTACCGTATCTCATTAATCTTGCCTAAAGTGCCTCAGTTCTAGCGTGTTGTTAGGATCAATTCATATGCGCAGGCTGGAAAGACTTAATTCACACAGTGACTTTCTGAAATGAAGGACAAATATGAAGTAGGCATCTGTTTTGTCCACTTGTATACTAGTCAGCAGTTCAAGCTACCAGTAAACCATTAAAACTTCTTTAACAGGGTAAGATTATTGTAGTTAACCAAGCTGCTGTCACTGTTATCAGTAACTTATGTGCTGGTATTCTAGTCTTAACCTTTTTAAAAAAAGGTTAGGTTATACATAGTGTTTGTAAATCAGAAAAGTTACTCAAATTATATCATGATACTTTCTAGCCAAATGTATGCTACAGTGTATGTATATAAGATAATTTGTGTGTCTAAATATACTTGTAGCTAAATCCACCAGTTGGTTTAAACTAAAAATTGCTGTTCACACATAGAAGAATAGAGTAGTTTTTCTGCTTTCAAATGATTGTGAATGAAAGACAGTGGTGGCAGAACTGCATCTGGGGTGGTAGTAGCTGTCTATGAAATATGCAGGATCTGATTTCTGTGGAAGATGATTTTCCTTGGCCTTCATGGTCCTTTTGGCTTCCTACTGTATTCTTCTCCTGATTTTGTTTTGCCATCTTAATGGGCTCCTTATGCATGAATCAATTTTTTGGAGCTGTTGGTAGAATAAAATAATAATCAGAATAAGGAGATCAAACAGTCTCTGCATATAGTAGCTTTGATAGCTTCCCAAATCTGCCACAATGTGAAACTTATTAATTCTACCAGCATAGAATAACACCATTTTTATAATTGAATTGTATCTTTAAAGCTGGGAATTGTGTTGATAGTTGTTCTCACTCTTTATGAAATGGGTTACAGAGTTTTGCATAGATTCCTACCTGATTTTCAAGTTGGAGATACAAAGAGATATCGGTATCGTCCGGAGTCTGAGATCGCAGATGACAGAATTTATCACATCTCCCTCAGTGCTCCGTTTTTTTCAGGGATTATTTACTTTCACTGGGGGAAGGAAGGAAAGTCTTACTGCTGCTTTGGATTTACATCATTGTGTCATTTGCTGTATGAAAACTGTTCTTAGAGATGTGTGTCTGGATTTTGTGGTGATTGTGGACTGTGTAAATTCAGTTGTTTGCGTTATTAGGTGTCTAATCCTAACTAGATTTTTCTATATAATCAGTGGAAGGGATAGGATTAGAACAAGTCCAGAGAACAATTGATCCCATTCTGAGGATGAATGATCCTACTTGTCATTCTGAAAAGGACAAGACTTTGTAACAGTCTAAAATTGTTTTTCAGGTAAAATACAATGATTGTTTGCTGTTACTTCTGGAGAAGAGGCTTCTGTTATGTGGATTTCTAGTTCTGCCACTGTTCACAAATATAATCTCAGCAGAAATGTAGGCTAATCCACTATAAAGACTTTTAATTCTGTGTATGAGGAAGTGTAAATATTACTGAAATGTCCTTTATTATGAGCAGGCTACATTTATAAAGCATTTTTTGGCAAATATATTGTAATGTCTCTCAGTACCTTGAACTAAATTAAAACTGCAGTTTATTCTTCAAATTTTGTATTATCTAGACTGGGAGAAGATCGAGACACAAATTAAATTATCTTGTAATGGATTAGACCTCTGCTCTATAAGGGAGGATTTTTATTAACATGCAGACCCAAATTCTGTTGTTCTCTCCTTTTTCAGAAGTTAAGGTATTCATTTTGCAAAAACACCGTTCTTCATCCACATGAACATTCACCACATTTAGATGGAGATTATGCCTCATAATCAAGCATTTAGGTTGAGATTAAGCCACCATTTTTTTGCCCTTGTACCTCAAGATGCATTCAAAATAAGAACTATTTGCCTGGCTCTTTTCTAGTATTTTTTTATAAGATATCAGAAACAGAAAAAAAAAAAACAAAAAAAAAAAAACAAAAACAGGGTAAGAACCTAGATTACCAAATGTCAATAATTTCAGGGACAGCATCTATGTACAGCAGATTCTTTCACGGGTAGGGGAGATTTAATGAGAAGCTTTTAGTGACATCTCCATATCCTGATTTGCTCTTGAAGTCAATAATCTTTTCTGGTTGATATGATCAAACATGTGTTCCTCATAGTTTTATCACGCTACAATCATAGTAGCTCACAGTTCATAAAAGGTCTATATTTGGTAAGGAAAAACTGTTACCTCTTAACTGGAATTAACAAATGTACCTGGAAACTGAATGAATGAATGTTGTCCAAAGGTGGTGTTTTGATTTAAAAGTTGATTGTGGTATGATATGTTTCAGCATCCTGTTAAAAGGGGGATTGTTGTTTTGGTTGGGGTTGGTTGATTGGTTGTTTTGTTTCAAAAACAATTGCAGTAACTGGAATTTAAATTAATATTATTTCTAATATTTAGAGTTCTGCTCTGATTTTGGTTTTGAGTGAGCTGATACATGTAGCAATTCATTCCAAAATATTAAGTTGCCAAGTTTTAAAATAAACAAATGAATAACACAACAAACCCCTAAACAGTGTAATATTAATCTACTGCAGAAGACATATAGACTGCCTGTATGGCTAAGTGAATATTTCAGCTATAACCTAACTGGGCTAACTTTAAGGTCAGCGTTTAAAAAAATAGAATAAAATGTAATGATACTTAAAAAACAAAACAAAACAAAAACTCAACGAAAACCAAAAAGCATTGCTGCATACGTCAGTATTTGATATGAAGTCTAATTTTCCATGTGTTTGCCAGTAACAAGGCTATGAACTTACTGACTTTTTTCTGAAATCTGATACATCTGCTTCTAAGCTTTGACAGGACAGAATAAAGTTGATTATATGTCTGTGAATAAATGTAAACACTTGAGAAGCTTTCATTTGATCAAGTTTATTTCAATACAGTGATAAGTGTGTTTAGACTTTTGTCTTTTTTATACTGCGAAAAAACCCAGCCATTTACTGACCTTCAATACTCTTTGAGTTACAGAAAATGTTTTTGGAAGTGGCTGTATTTTGGAAGTGTTGTAGTATATTCATCCATTTCATGATGAATGTTAGTCACTTAACTTACATCTTTGACTGTTTACATAAGTCTTTTTTTCTGGGAGATAATCAGGCTAGCTTTCATAAGCACTTAGCACTGTACTGTAAAAAGTTTTAAAACTTCCATCACCGTTCCTTCAGGGGAGACATGCTTTTGTCACCAAAGCTACATGCTGTTCTTGTATACCTCTGGGAATGTGTGCCAATGAATGACAATTGAAAACAAATTCATTTTAATGTTAAAGTAAAATAGTTTTTCTATCTTTTTTTTAGAGCTAGAATTTTAAGCTAGTATTCTTAATAGAATCCTTAAAATCTCTAGAAGTTAATTGGAAAACCTTTGACAAATATTGTATTATCTGATGTATATTCTTATTTGTGGAAGAATGTATTCAAAGCCTTTAATCAGCTCATTTATCTTAAAGCTTAAATAAAATCTATAAAGTTCATCTTGTTAATAAACTTTACTGCTTTTAAAAATAAATTTTAAGCATTTAAGGAGAAAACTCTATAGCTCTTACTTAAGCAAATCTGCCCAGCACCTCAATTTTTCAGGTATCTAAGCACATAGCTGCCTCAAATATGTGCTTGTTGCCTTGTAGCATGAAAACCTGAGTCAAAGCTGTGATGTTTTGACATTAATTCCACTTAAGATTTAGGGTGTCATTCTGCATTCTTAAATGCTGACAGATTTTGCTACTCGTGCTGTCATAAACAAATCTTGTAAGCATGGCCTCTCTACAGTTATTAGCAGGTTGTGGTCTAGATGCTGTAGGAATCCGTGTGGTATCAGAGCTGATTTTTGTCTGTAAAAGTTAGGAATGGCACACATGAACTTGTTACTTTGAGGCACGTCATTCCAGTTCCTCCTTCCATACACAGTTATCCTGGCTTTGCAGTGTCCTCCCATTGCAGTACAAAACAGAACTTTCACAGGAATAGCAGGCAGCGTGACTGACCTAGAGAAGACACACAGCACCTGTCCTGTAGGCTGTTGTTCTACTGAAGTTTTGCATGGTGGTTGAAATACCAGCAAAGACTTTTTTTTCCCCCTCCAACTTAAATAATGTCAGGGTATATCTATTAAGTACCAGATGTGCAAGTGTGTTGATGTTTAGTTTTATAAAAAGCTAAGTGCACTATTTTGGGATCAATTCAGGCTTTAATATTTTCTACTTATGTCACTCTGAGTGTGAAAACAGTATTTGAGACTGCAGGACCTGACAACTGAAACATTTTACAGAAGTCTACATGTAGTAGATGTGACACATATAATGAGTGCCAGACCAAAATTGAAATGTGAAATTCCTCACTGTGACTTTAAACTTGTAGTTTCTAGAGCAAAAAAAAATACCATGCCTTAAACCAGTCAATGAATACACTCTAAATGTAGCCTGTGGACTTCTGTAGCCTTATATTCGAATTTTGAAGATGACCAAAATATCTGTGTAGATCATACTGAAACTTGATTTGAGGAAAATACTTTTCAAAAATTATTTTGAACCCCTTTTACTACATCTACAGAAATGAAGATTTATGACAGGTACAGTATATTTGTAGTTTGGAATCACACCAACCAAAGTCATAAAGCATTAGCTGACCTTTATTTCTCAAGTCTTTCTATTGTGACAATAAGAAAAATAGGGAAGGAAAATTAGTCTTGGATATCTGTCTGAACTTGAAAGTCTGTGTGTCAAATTATTTTTAAAAAATTTGTTCTTCAGTTTGTTCAAAATAAAAAAATCTTATGGTTTAAGCAAAATATTGTATTTAAGCCATTGAGTATCAATATCTATGCCAGCGTGAGAAGAAAACTAGATGGGGTTGGTTGGTTGTGTTAAAGCTCCACAAGTTTTGAATAACGAATTTCACTTTTTAGAAAAAATATTCATATATAAAACCCTGAAAGGTCTTCCAGGGGTGGGGGGGAAGTTTACATATTCTGCTCTTCTCAATTCATTAAAAAAAATAGAAAAAGTCAAGATCTTAAAATCTTGTTTTGATATAGTAGAAGGATTTCTTATGTTTATTTTTTTAATATAAAGAGCTTAGGAAAAGCTGCCACCAACTTTTCTTATTTGCCTCTACAGGATTCTTCGTATGTTTTGAACAGAACACCACAAATTCTGTCCACACCCCCCACCCCCTCCCCCAGGCCCCTCCCAATATTAATACTATGTAACACTGAATCTTGAATAAAGATGCCATCTCAAAGCTTATCACTGGACTGGGGATATTTAGGTATGCACACAAAATGACTGCATGTCAGCTGATCACAGTAATTGTTTGAAGCAGTACAAATCAAAGTTATTCACCTTCTTTTCTTGAGAACAAACTGGGACCTGGCTGCCACAATGCTGCTGATGCAGCTCAACAGACAACATGCAAGTTTTGTGTCTTCCATGCTACTTCCTTCTGTATGTTAGTTTTGATCTTTTAAAACTCTCATTCCTGTCACCTAACTCTGTCTTCTTTCCTTTGTGATGATGCTGTTTCGGTAATTGTAGCCATTGTTGATTTCCTAGCTACAGGAATGTTTTAGTATTAAAATCATTGAGAGGACAGAACTACCTTTAAGGCCTTTATATGTGATGATTAGTCTAGAGAAACTGTATAACTTGGCCTAGTAACTTGATGCCCTGCTTACGTTTTAATTGTTTTTCCAAGCACAGAGACAGAATAATGGTGGCCAAAATACCTGTTCTGGGTAATTGTGGGGGAGGGAGGGGCATGTTGTTCATTCAGCTTTAAGAGGACTTAAAACTTTGAAGAACACATATGTAATGTGTGGGAAAAGCTATCCCTTCACAAGCAGCCTCTTGCATATTTTTAACTCTTTCTCTGTTTTCAGTTCTTGTATAGCTAGTGTAACTCTCATGTTGTAGGTGGAGCTAATTCATAACAGTTACAGGTTTCTAGAGATGTTCTTAGGGTCTTATCTATAAATGTTTGAATAATGCTATAAATACTGTGCTTATTAAAATTCAGTTTATAACTGAATTCTGAGATACAGATCACGTAATGTGTGATAAACTTTGGCAAAGTCCTTGTCTTGTGAGATGATGAGGAACCTTGGAGAATGCATATCTTCAGCTGATGTTGAAATTGCTGAAAGCCAAAATCTCAGCATCTTTAAAAACTGTGCTTTTTGATACTGGTACTTTTTTGTTCAAGTTGAGGGCAAGTTGAGTGGGAGCTACTCTGGGAGGTTCATATTTTTTTTTATGGTTTCCTTGTCTGCGGCATATGCTTCACATTTTTTTGTCTCTTTTTTTACTTAAGTGCGCATGACTTAGAGTACACTGTATAGCATATGCTCTGCTAAATAAACACTTCTGTATATTTTTGTATGGTGTTCTAACATGGTTGCATTAGTACAAATGGTTGTAATTCACAAAAAGTGCCACTTACCAGTCATACTCTGTAGAGTGTTGTGAATGTTACCTGTACTTCTGTTGTACAAACACACTAATGAGTGTTGTGATGAACGTTTGCCTTTAGTCTTTGCTCAGGTACTCATGCGGAGCAGTTTGGTGCTTTTCCTTCTAACTTGTAATACTTGGGATTCTATGCAGAAAATAAAAACGGTGAACAAAAGGATTGTGGTTAGAGCACTACTTTAAGTAACAGGCGCTTTTTTCATATTTCAAGTAGAATACAATAAAGATTGTACCTGATGAAGCTTGTCTCAATATCTTAACTTGTGCACCTCAGGCTGTTATACCTGCCTGGCTATCACGGATAGGAAATGAAATAAAATGAAAAATGTTTGGTGAATAATATAGTTTATATAGAGCATCGTACATATAAAACTTGTTCTCAGCTAAACTAGTTTTAAATTTGCCTTTTGTTCTAGAACAAGATGTTAACCTTTTTGAAGTAATTTGTATGAAACAGAACAAGCAATGCGATGAGCATTTTCAGCTTCAGTGCAAATTAATTCAAATATACATGAATATTACTGTGCCATAAGGGCTATATAATTAGTATAACCACTTTCAAAATACTCTATTTGCTAAAGATGTGTGTCTATATATATAATTTGTCAAGAAAACCTAGTGCTTAAGTTTTGGCTGCATTAAAAAGGCAGTGCACTGACATCTGGCTTGGAAAGCATTTGTTAAGCTAGCTACTGTTCTCAAAGGAGGATGCAATTTTGTCCAAACAGTGTAACTTTACTAACAGTATTTTTATATTAATGTGTTATGCTTATATTTGACTTTGACTGAAGGAAAGAGCTATAATGAAATTATCTTAAAAAAAAAAAAAAAACAAACCACACCAAAAAACCCACATTAAAATGAGCACCAAGTCTAAACAGACTGTAGCTCAGTTTCTCAAACAATTTTAGCTCAGGAAGTAACAACATGAGTTTGTAGGGACTTTTTTTTTTTTTTTGAACAGCTCACAGAAAATATATGCTAACTGAATCTCTTACATATCTGCATACTTCATCAGTCAACTAAACTGCCTAAATTCCTACAGTAATAAAACTTATTTCAGATTTACAGATGACTTTTGTATGTTTTAGTAGCTGATGTGCTGCCTTTCCCTCAGTTTTTTATTTCTAAATAAATCACGTTAATTAAAAGAATTGGGGCGGGGGGGGGGAGTGGAATGAAAAGAATGGAATAAAATTGCCTGCTGTTCTGGCTTTTTTTTTTTTTTTTTTTCCTTAAAAAGCTAACTGAGGAGCTAGAATCTAACTCCAAACTGTAAATCAAGCCTTTTCCCCTTCCTGTCATTTCCTCTAGAGGAACATGTTTCTACTTTTGGTTGATTAGGAAGGTAAATTTTGCACAAAAGTAAAGTAGAAATAAGTGTCTACCTAGAAAATCAACAAAATTCCTTTATATTGGGGCCTGCTATTTTACAAGTTCTGTTGCTACTGCTGTTATGCTTCTTGATGAGTCTAGTATCTCAAAGTTGTCTGTTATGAAAAATAATTAATGGGTTTTGAGAGATTTTATTTTTTATATGTGTGTGAATTTTATTTTTTTCTTATTCCAAGTCTGTAGAATAATACACAAGCTGGATAAGCTGACTTGTATTTCTATATGTTACAGCAGTCATGAAAGTTAACACTGCTAGGATTTTGTTAACTGTATTGCTAGTGACATTTGGATATCCACAACTTTGCCTGCCTGGAAGGGTAGAGTTAGGTATTTGTTTTGCTTTCAGAATTTAAACCAAAGAAAGATGTAAAGCCTCTGGTCAGAAATAAATATCTATAATCCAGAGTAAGATAATGGCCAAAAATTTTTAGTTTTAACATGTCTATTTAGAAATATATTTTATGTGATACTAACTAAAGTATCATCTAAATAGTGGAGAGAAGAGTCTAATGAAATTATAAGCAAAAAGTTTGAGCAGCTGTGAGATAAAGAATGCTGTGAAATAAGGCCAGGGTAAATTAGCAGAATCCTCCTTGCAGTCTCTGTCTTAGTTTCTAGTCTGACAGGAGGATATTGACTCCCGATAAAATCACAGCAACACTTCTGTTAAAATGTTATGATTTTGGATCTTGAAACAGACCTTACTTTTCTTTCTCTCCCCAGTATCAAGAAAATGATCCATATTTCATCTTGCTTGAAAACCATTCAACCAGCTGTAATTATCTGCTAGGCGCCATTCTAGAGAGATGGCTAATTACTTTTAATTAAAAGTAATATTTTGATAGAGGTCTACTGTCTCTGCTAGGAATTTTTTTAAACTTACTATATGCCTATCACCAATTTTCTGCAATACGGTTTAGCGAGGAGGAGTTTGCACTGCACTGTTCGATAGCAACAGGTCTTAAGAGTATCAAGGATGAAATTCTCAAGAGTCTTTATGTCATGGATGGAAATGGAATCATTACTGTATTTTTGAACTCCTGCTAACGTCATTGACACCCACCTACAGTCCACTAGAAATATAAGTGCAGAGATCAGTTTGTTCACAGATTACAAGGAGACTAACCAAGAAGGGGCAAGCCACAGCCAAATTCACTGGTAAGCTTTATTTTAAAGAACGTGAAAGGGAGACATTTCTTTTTTTTTTTTTTTTTTTTTTTTTTTTCATTGAAGCAAGTTGTGAAATGGGTCTCTAGTATATTAAACCAGGCTGTAGTATTTTTATTGCACTTACTAATATATATATAGTACACTTTAATGCAATTTTAAAAATTGAGCTATCTGGATCTTAAGCCATATTTTTGCATTCTTCTTGGAGCACATAAAGATCTGATGCTATAACTAATCAGCCAATGAAAACGGCTGTATGTAATAGCAAATGTAAGTATTTTGTGTTCAATGTCATATTAGTCCCTCTCAAAAAGAGAATTCAGTGCCTAAAAATAGCTTTGGTATGGGAAACATTTCTTCAGAATATTTTTTTTCTTCCTAGTACAATAGTACTAGGAAAACAAAAAAAAAATGTTGATAGCACACAGATGTAATCTGCAGTAGGCAGATTTTCTATGCCATGGATAAATTATTTTCAGCACTCCACTGGATTGTCACGCTTACTCTAGTTGTTATTAGTGACAGTTCTGTAGGACTTAAGGAGTCTGATTCGTTGTCCTTTTACAGATAGTCTGTTCATCTCTTCAGCATGTGGAAAGTGGTGCTCCTGGGTCTATATACAGTACTGGCTGTGAGAGGATTGGCAAAGGGTGCACCTTTCCAACCAGAAGAAAAATGGAAACCTCTAGATAACCCTAGAAACAGAGACCTGGTAAGGAAATGCTGCAAGAAAGATAACCTAAGTTTTGTGTGGGTTTTGTTTTCCATCATAATTTCTATCTTCTAAATTTAAAGGTAAGAGGGGCCTGTTAAATGTAGTGTTAGTGACTGTGCACTCTGTGTAGTCAGTAACCACAAGTGGATGAGCATTCTTCAGTCAAGATGTACCCTTTCACTGAAAAGACATTCTCGGTGTGCAGTGGTGCATAAAACTTCATATCTCCATCTAGCAGCTTTATATTTTAAAAATGTTTTTTGATTATACAGCCACTTGTTTTATGAAACAGAGGAGGAATGATTATTATGTTTTTGTCAAATGTGCACTATGTTGATTGTGTGTCATTTTATCTTCTGGAAGTACAAATAATTTTGCATCTGACACATTGTCATGAATAGTGGCTAAAAATCTGAAAGTTAATTACAGCTAAGAAAATACCATTAGGAGAACATTTGCAAGATCTTATAATGAATTTGTGAAAGAAAAAAAAAAAAATCAGTTTCCCGTAATTTTTCCTCACTGTTTTATGAAGCATTAAATCTACTTTTAAGCAATCTAAGGGGCCAGTTCAAATCAATTGCTCATTGTTGCTCTTAGAGAACATTTCTCTTAGATAAATGTGTAACAGAACTGTTCTGTTTGCTCTCAGCAAGGGTTTTGCTGTGCCTGTTTTATAAGGGGTACAGTTTGAATCCTGTGTGGTTCAGTGGAGAGCAGAGATGATCAGTAAACAGTTGGTGGTCTGTCGACACCACATAAGGTGTGCAAGCCATGGACAGAGTGTACGTGTCTGAATTATATTGCCTGTATTGTACAAGTTCATGAACCAAATAGAGGATTTCATTCCACATAGGAACAAATATTACATCTACTTTGTGTCAGTAGAAATAATAAAACTGTTGGGCATGCTCTGTTTTCACATATGCAATGTGTTCAGTTTTTCAGAACGCTCCAGGCTTATTTTTCGGGCAGGGGTCTTGATCTCAGAAAGTTCCCAGCTACTTTCACTGTGAATAATGAAGGACCAAGGCCTGTCATGTTCTACTCAGATCCTATTGCTTCTGCATTTGCAGATTATGAAGAAAGGAAAAATTCTTTTCCAAATTATTTCAAAGGCTGAAAGATGCTGCTGACCAAGGTAAAAGAGGATGTCTTTTCCTCTAATGTTGTTACATGTGACCAAATCAAAGATCTGGATTCCAGTGATTTTCTCTTCTGTCTGAAGTATATAAACAACTTTTTCAGAAGAAATTAAAATTGTAGTACCCTAACTCTTGCCTAAAGTTTGTTTAAAATTGAGATTTAGGAGGTACTTATTACTTCAGTAAAATAACACATGATGCTTGTGCAGACCTATATAGACCATGCTTTTTTTTCTTCTTCTTTTTCACCCCTTTTTCACATGGAGAAGAATTCTGAAAAAGTACAAATAATAGTGAATGCAGGTTTTATTTAAATAATAGATATCAGTAAAATTATAAATTGACACTAACGGTTTCCTCTGATATATGTATATTAAGGAATTAATTTAGACATAAGATACTGCACTAACAGAGCATACATTATCTTTCACATCTTTGTCCATTCATGCTGTTATCCTTATTTCTACTACTAAAATTGAAGGTTGATAAAAGGATTGCAAACTTATTCACGTCTCTCCATAAATATGGAATAAAATTTAAGGGGGTCAAGCTTGCATTATAAGTCCAGCCTCAATTTATAGTAGGTACTTCTCAGCTATCTATGCATAACCATACTCTAACAAATAACATATCTCATTTGGAGAGTCAGTGAATACTGGCAATTCTGAGGAAAGGTAAATAATTGTTTTCTCCTATTTTACAAATAGTTGAAGACTTCAATAAGGTTTGAATCTAAGCATTTTTGTGATTTACTCAGTATCTTAAGAGATCAATTTGTAATCAGTATTCAGCTTAGGATTTCTAGCTCTGTCCTGCTCTCTGCCTGCATAACCACATCTGTTTCTATAATCAAAAGCACAGCTGCCCTCTTCTTATTATGAATCATAAGGAAGACAAAGTTCCAATTTTAATACTAAGTTCTCTTTTTGCCAAGTTTTTGTGTTAGGAAAAAAGAAATGCACCACAGAATTACTGTTGTGCATGACAAATAAATGAAAAGGGACTTTGGAAGGGTTGCTGTAGGTCAACTATAAGTTAGAGCAGCCATGAGAAAATGACTGGTGGAGGTAATTTGTCCTGCATAATTCAGGATGATCATGATAGTTCTTTTCAGCAACCAGAACTGTTTTTGGGAAGTAGCGGTCTGCTCTGCTCTTTTGGCATATTTCAGCCAGTGTTACCAGGTCTGAGCTTGGATCATACCCTGGTTGAATATAAGTATTTATGTATGTCTCACATCCTTTTTTTTTTTTTTCTTTTTTTTTTTTCCTCTTTTTCAGGTATTAACTTTTGAACTTCATGCGGAGTGGTAACCTTTACAGCAAAATATTACTGCTTTGACATTTTAACTGTCACCTGACAATTCAAAATTTTCCTCACTATCACAGTTTTCACCTATGGAATCTGATATCATGCTGTAATTAGCCCATTTGCTGTCTATTGACAAATGTGTGATGTTTGGCTACTACAGTTTGCCCAGCAGAATTGTGTTTGTTTAAATGTGAATAAATGAAGAGTGCAACAGTGCATTTAACTACCACCGTCTTTTGTTCAAAACTGGTAAATAAAGGTTACCTTTCAGTTTATTAAAACTAGACGCCACAAGGTGTTTTATGGCATTTTTTTCAGATACTTTTCTAGCTTCCTGGGGGATACAGTGCGTGGGGCAACACCTGCCGCAGGCGACCCATAGCTGCTTCTACCTCATCCCCCGCCCCTCACACCCACTTCTGACCGTGCCCCAGCCACTAAGGCACCTGCACAATAACGGTATATGTATATGAACTTAAGAAATCTTTCTCATGGTAAAATCACACCCATTTCTGGGGAAATAAAGGAGAATCTGACACCTAGCATGAGGCCGGGAACCGAGGAGCTTTCCTCAAGGCCTCCCGCCGTCCGCCGCTGGCCCCGGCCGGGCAGCCATCGCCGCGGCTCTCCGCAGCAGCCCTGGCTCCGCCGGCAGCCCCCCGGGCGCGGCCTCCCCGCGGGCTGCCCGCCCTCAGGAGCGCCGCTCCCGCGCCCCGAGGTGGCGGCGCCGGGCCGGGCCGCGGCCGGGCGGAACTCCTGCGTGAGGGCGCGGGGCGGGGCGGGCGCCATCACGGGAGGGACCGCGGGGCTGGCGGCGGCGGCCGCTCCCGGCTCGTCCCGTCGCCGCGATGTCGGGCTTCAGCCCGGAGCTGATCGATTACCTGGAGGGGAAGATCTCCTTCGAGGAGTTCGAGCGGCGGCGAGAGGAGCGCAAGAGCCGCGAGAAGGTGAGTCGGCCCCGCCTGACAGCCCCACGGCCCGGCCCGCTCCCTGCGTGACTGCAGCGGGCGGGCGCGGCCCGCCGCAGGAGCAGCGTGGCTGCCTCTCTTTTCTGTGTGTGGGCTTCTGCTCGCTTCTGCCGTGCCCGGCTACGGATTACGTCTACGTATTTGTTAATTTCTGTGCAAAAGCTATAAGAAGCTAACTTAATTCTGTAAGGGTTATTAGGTAATGGTAGAGCAAGTTGTTAAGGGGAGCGTGCACCGTTCAGAAGTGCAGAATGCAGCATTTTGGTTCATGCCAGTGTAGCTTGCGTCCCTGGACTTGGCAAAAACTAGTGGCAGTTACCTTCAGGCACCATAATTAATTTCTTCTTTAGGGTCAAGCAATGAGCAGAAGCAGGTTTTGATATAAAATCAACCAATGTCTGCTGCTACCGCTCCCCCACCATCTGTGTGAGATCTAAGGGAGAGGTCTAGTTTGACTCCTGTTGGTAGTTGTGGCTTCTTGGCAGCCCTAAATACTGCGGTAGACACAGCTTTGTGTCTAAAAGTAATCAGATGGACGTATTATGAGAATTTCTGTATGCTTGATTGGAGTGTTATAGTTAAAGTTAACTTTGCAATCTTTATGTCAAAATGCAAGTGAGTTTCTGTATTTTCTAGTCTTAAGAGAGCGAATTCAGTAGGACTCAGCTGTCGTGGAAGGAAAAGTGATAACCTAGGACAACCTTTTTACTGGGTTAACAAGTGCTATTTTACTATTTCATTTTGTGTTGAAAAAAGTAGGCTTCTAACAGGATTTGTCACGCACTTGTAGCTTTTTTTTTAATACAGTCAGCCATGTCATCTTACCTCACTGTCATGCCAAATAAGCAATGGACTAGTCTCTTCAGTCAAAAGTAATGTCAACAGTCACCATCTGAGTCACTGCACATTGATAATAATATAAATATCTTGAAAGCATGTAAAGCTGGGTTCATTTGAAAATGTAGCGCTTATTCCATCTGTTTTACTACCAGTGCAAAAGCTGGAAACCAGTGGTCTAAATGCTAATTGTCAATATTAGGGGAATTAGGACTGAGTCATGTTGTAAAGCTGATAACTGATATTATTGATGTGCATAGGATGGCGAAAATCCGTCTGCTGAGGAAAACGCTGAGGATGTAGAGGCTCCGTCTTCATCCAGAAAAGCATCTGGGAAATCCCAAAGTCAGGATGAAACTGATGGTAAATGTTAACGTAATGATTTCAGTGAAAAATATATTTAAATGGTCACTGAAAGCATTTGCTCTTTGATAGCTGACTTTATAAATACATGGCTGCTTCTTTTGAACCTCTGGGTGTTGAAGTACATTGGTAGAATGTATATCTTTGTAGGATGTTCCAAATCATAACCAGGATTTTAACTTTGTTCAGTGTTTTTAAAAGGGGCTAGCCAACCGGCCATCATCTTCTGGCAAGCCCTTCATTTTGTCTCTCCTGGCTTCTTAACCACATGGTCTCAATTATTTACTCTCTCTAATGTTACAAATAGTTTGAAGTTTTTAACTTATCTTAAGAAGTCTTCCATCTGTTTTGTTTTGGCTTTTTTCCTCTTCATCTCCTTGCTAGTCTTTTGCTGAAACTAGAATGTTTCATAATATTTGATTCTACTGTTTGAGTGTTGCCTTCTTCCATTGCCATCCAGAGGGAAATAAAATAGCTAAAAAGAGGACTTTGTTTTTCTTGGTGTTTTTTCTCCTTATCAATTATAGTTTGATCTCCTTATCAATTATAGTTTGATCTGTTTAGAGTGCCTACATTTATTTCTCTCTGTATTTTCTGCTGGATATTCCTAGCTACAGATTCCCTGGCTGGCTTTCTTTGTGCAGTGACTGGGATGGTAATATCTCCTTAGGTGCCTTAGCAAAATAAGCTTAACTTCCTTGGGGTTCCTACATAGTGAAAAGACTTGCAGGGAGTAGTAGGAGCAGCACTTCTCTTTTTAGTTTGTGTCAGTGCTTGTTGATCCTGTGCCTCAGGTTCTGGATTTGAGCTTGGGATTTAGAGTTGCCTCAGTCTGTTTCAGGCACCTTCTCTTCAGAAGCTGTACTCCATGCACTGGTCACAGCATATTATTGTGGGATTGCCAATGCTGTGAGACAATAAAGTGCGATTTTTGATCCCTTTGTGCTGGTTACCAGACTCTTCTTTCTACTTTCCCTGCAAATTCTCATAATTCTGTTTGTTTGTTTGTTTGTTTGTTTTTTCTTTTCTTAAATTTCAAAAATAGGCCTTAAATTCTCTCACCTAAAATATGTGTCAGTGGTGCCTTGATTTTGAAAGTGTGCCAAGACCTCATCCTGGAAGGACAGAAGATGAACACTGGAAGTGTGGCTAGAGCCAGATATCTGTGGTTCCTTATGGACCCCTTCTTTTTGCTGATGTCTTTGAAATACTTCTAAGCTGCTCTTTTTTGCTCTGTATTCCACCCAGTCTGTTACATGCTTTTTCATGCGCATCATCTTTACCTGAGAAAAAACATACCCTGATAGATTTGTTGCGAGTGTTACTTCTGATCTTACTACAGAGAACACAGAAGTCTCAATAGCGGTCAGAATCAGGGAAGTATTGCCATTATTTATCACTATTTGGGGAGTTGCTATTAGAATCAAACTATTCAGAGGAAAAAAGTTAGAAAAGGTCGTTGTTAAAATCACTTTTGATACACAAATCTTCAGAGCTAATCTACTACAGTGGATTTTTTAGATTGGGGGGAAGAAAAGTCTTGATTTTTAGATGCTTAATATTCAAGTCAGAATAAAAATAACCAAATATCTCCAAGTCAGAAAAAAAATAACCAAAAAACCCCCATAAACCCAGATATAGTAGGCAGTTCCCTCTTGTATATAGGCAATACGTGGTAGATTTTCAGTCCCAACTTGATACTGTGGTTATTTTTTAATCAAATCTTTACATGTCCAATCTGCTAGCTGAAACTTTTGTACACTACATATTTTGATATTTTGCATAGATACAGGCTTGTAGGTGGTTATAAACCAGGGTTAGCTTAGTAATGAAAAGTTGCAATTAAAAAATGTGAAAATGTTTAAAACTATATGCTTTAAGCGTATTTATTTTGGATTTATAGCATCATATTCTTATTTATTTTAAAGCATTTTGATATTTTTCTGGAGAAATGTGAATAATCTGGATTTTGCATTTACACATGTTAAAAGGTACTTATTGTCATGGATAGAATTGTTACAAGATCTTGTTTTAAATTCTAAAAATTGTTTGCTGCGTTATTGTTTAGTATAATTGTCTGCTCACTTAGCCTCTTCAGCTGAAAAGCTTTATTCCATCCGACCAGTTCAGTGCTTGAAAATTGCTTAATATGCTTCTCTGGTATGGATTGAGAAAAACATTGAATAAACTGTTGGTTTGTTCCATTTGTTTCTCCATGCTTTCATTTCAAATATCCAAAAAATGTCAGAGGCTGGGGTATACTAAGCATTGGTGATGAGTTTAGAACACAGATGGTTATAGAACTCTGCATTCTAAACCCAAAGAGGTTGTTAATAGTTCTTCTGCATTTCTACAGGCCTTTTTCTTATAAAATAGCTGTTTCAAGTGGGCTACTAATTATGAAGAATTCCGTTTTCTCTGCACTTGTCCTGATAAGCAGCATATACTCTTGATGATATAAACCCTTTTTCCTTCTTTCTCAACCAGGAGAAACTTCAGATGGCGTCAGTAAATCTGTTCATCGGGTCTTTGCGTCCATGCTTGGGGAAAATGAAGAGGAGGAGGACGATGAGGAGGAAGAAGAAGAAGAAGAGGAAGAAGAAACTACTGAGCAACCCACAGCTGGAGATGTTTTTGTTTTGGAGATGGTACTTAATCGAGAGACCAAGAAAATGATGAAAGCAAGTATTTAAACTTTAATATAACTTTCCTGTATTTAAACTTTAATGTAACTTCTCTGTATCTCCTGAAGCATAGTGCATCAATGCCAGTTTGTGTGATTTTTTTAGCTACTTGCTGAGAAACGTGCCTGAAAATAATTGTGTGTGGGATACTAATGCTTATGTTGCTGTCAGCACTTTTTGTTTTTTAAAAAATTACTGTAGATTACTGTTTGAAGACTTTTAAAAATAATGAAGTTAATTTTTCCAGTGTCTGGACTGTGTCTGTATTTGCTATCAGAGTTACTCCGTCAGTTATGAAAATTAGCAAATATTTTGGCCAGTCATTTTAATATTGCTAGTAGTTAAATAACTTTTTATTAATTTGTGTTAAGTGGAAGTGTGACTGATGTCTCCTGAATTTGGGCACAACTGAATCCGCAGTAGAAATAATATCCCTTTTACATTTAGGAGAAAAGACCTCGCAGCAAACTTCCTCGTGCCTTGAGGGGTCTCATGGGAGAGGCCAATATCAGGTTTGCTCGAGGAGAACGTGAGGAGGCTATTCTAATGTGCATGGAGATCATTCGACAAGGTATGTTAGAATGCTAAAACTTTTTGGCTTTAAGGATGGGTTGAAAATGCCACGTGCAGCAGGAAAATTCGGTGTGGCTTCACTGATGGTGAAAGTACTCAGTACGAGGAAAGTCACTATATAACTAGTGTGGAATGAAGAATATGTAGTGTGTTTCCTTTATTGTTTTGCTTATAAGAAGATACTAGCACCCTAATTCTGCAGGGGCCTCGGCATTTGCTTAGCTTTGTGCAGTTTGCTTTTATTGTCTTTGTAGAACCAAGGTATAAAGATCAGCATGACTTACAACGTATAATAATGCTGTAAATGTTTTTTGTTAGATTCAGTCAGACTGTTTAATTATTTTAAAAAAGGAATGAGAAGCTTGTCTGGCAAGTGTTTTTCTGAATTTAAAGAGAGCAATATTGATGTTTCATATAATTCTGATACCTGTTGTGCACAGAAAGGCAAGTTATTTGTTTCAAAGGTGATTTTAAAACAATAGTTCTCAATCATTCTTTTTCTCTTTTCGCAGCTCCTCTTGCTCATGAGCCATTTTCCACTCTTGCCATGATCTATGAAGACCAGGGTGATATGGAGAAGTCATTACAGTTTGAACTGATTGCAGCTCACTTAAATCCTAGTGATACCGAGGAATGGGTTAGACTAGCAGAAATGTCCCTGGAACAGGACAATATTAAACAGGCTGTTTTTTGCTACACAAAAGGTAGCGTAGCAACCATTGTAGTAGTTCAAAATAAATTTTAGGTGCTAATGGCAATAATTCTGTTTTCTGATTTAGTTTGCTGCAGTTTGATAAGGTTTTGGTACCTCTGTCTGGACTTTGGGAAAAGATTAATGGATCTTTAATATAGGCTGTCTTTCTTATACAACAACCTTGTGTGTGTGCATTAGCATTCACCTAGTCGGGGAAACGAGTGTGAAATTCATTGTTGCCTTTTCCTAAACTAGGCTACTAATACGCTTTTTCTTGTAGCTCTGAAATATGACCCAACCAATGTGCGTTATCTGTGGGAGAGATCAAGCCTGTATGAACAGCTGGGGGAGCACAAGATGGCTATGGATGGCTACAGGCGTATTTTGAATCTCCTGTCTCCCTCGGACGGAGAGCGCTTTATGCAGTTGGCTAGAGACATGGCAAAGTAAGTTGGAATTTAAAATACTGTGATTGGGATTCCCAGAGTTTCTCAAAAGCTGTTATTAATAAGCTCTGCAGCTGGTTCAAGCTGGGTATGTGGCTGGAAGCAGGGAATGCAGATGTTTTTGCTGGGGGTGACCCCCAAACAAGCATTCATCCCTCAACTGTTGTGATGTTTCCGAAGCCTGACATGTGGCAGTTCTGTGTAGGATCGATCAATGCATCATCTTAGAAGTGTTGCATTCTCTTAGAGTAAGATAGGAAAATGCAAATACTGATTACTGGGGAAATGCCAGTAGTAGACAATTATATACAAATGCAGTACATTTTTAATCTATATAATATCACTAGAAACCTGGAAACTTATTGCCAGCAAATCTGATTGAAACAAAGTATTCAATCTGAAATACAGACCATCTGCAACAGCATATAGTTTATGTGCCATTTATGATTAATTTCTGGAGCAAGTAGAAATCAGACTCCTCCCCTTTTCTGCTAATGAGAGCAGGTCAGGTCATAGAAGCTTGCCTGAGATGGCTTGTGGTTAAAGTGTGTAGCTCTCTTATTGCAGTTTTTATTAAGTCGTTTAACTACTTTATGTCTCAGCTTTCTCACACATAACTTATAGAAAGCTGTTATTGTCCTGTTTCAAAACAACTTGAGCATTTTGATCTTCGTGGTTATGAAATGCACCCAAAAAAATGCCAGGACATCTATTGTAACTGTATTATTGTTTAAAGTTTTTCTGAAACCAGATTAATGTGATATGTTATTGATACCTGGCTCGAGGTGGGGGATATTGTGATGGAAACTCCAGTAATGTCCTAACATATAGGGGAGAAAAAAATGATAATTATTTGAAGTACATAAAAATTATCACTAGTTGTAAGGAAAGAAAAAAGGCCCTCTTTTTCACTGTCTTCTGTTACTTACTCTTGTTAATGAAAATATTTGCTAATAGGCAAAAATAAAAGAAATATGAAAATCCTTTTGCTGGTGTTCAAAGTAAATATTGTCATTTATCTCAAATACTTAGTATCTCTTATCTGTATTTTATAGGAGTTATTATGAAGCCAATGATGTGACCTCTGCTATTGAGATAATAGAAGAAGCCTTTACTAAACACCAGAGCCTCGTTTCCATGGAAGATGTTAACATCGCGGCTGAACTATATATTTCTTCCAAACAGTATGACAAAGCATTGGCGGTATGGAGAATTAAATACATTTTTGTATGATCTTAAGCACCTTTTTGCCAGTCAGGATGGACAGTTATATACATGTAGTGCTGAAATATGGTCATGTTTCTGTAGTGATAGAGCTGATCAGATACAGATTGCTAGCTATTAGTTCTGTAGTAATTAGCATTGAAGTTAAGGGCTTGATTTAATAAGATAGACTTGTATACTGTTCCAGGTTTAAAATTTTGGGATCCTTCCCTCCTTCTCTACAATTGCCATAATCTTAGTAGTCAGAGGAGACCTACCTATGAGCTGGTTTTGTGAGGACTACCAGCAAAGGACATTCTCTAAGTTGAAGGTTAAAAGGGTGACACTAAACGGTTTAATGATTCAAATGCAGACCGTGGTGCTTTATCTGGCATACTTCTGTTACAACTAATTATGTATTAAGCATTAAGCATACATTCCAGAATGACAATACACCTTGAATCTAAGGCATCTGGAACTGAAGAAGATCACTTATTTGTTCCCAATTTGTTCTAGCTGTTTTTAACCCTCACTTTTGAGGCATATTTCTGAGTTGATTTGATCTGGCTTTGAGAGGAAAGACTTTAGTATCTGGCAATTTTATACTTTCCAAGACAGGTTGAAGAGACACTATGAGGTAGGACTTCCTCCTTGTGAACATTCTTATTTGCTGATATTAAATTACCTCCTTTTTATTTAATCTGCTTAAGATTTTTTTTAGCTTGCATTCTGTCTGTGCAAAGCATCATGAGCCTGCAAACAATTCCTCTGACCCTTCTCTGTACTTCCCATTTTAAAAAGCAGTCAATTTTATGTACCCAGTATTTAGCTGCCAGATTTATTAATCAGTACTCAGGTGTAGAACTGTTCCCCTGTTTCTTCTTGATTTTTCTCCTTGCGTCTATTTCTGTGATGGTGTTTCTTGTTCCTGGATAGCTGAAACCGTATTTGAGCTGGTAAACTAACCCTTTAAAAAACCCCATCTTAATACAGTCATCTGGGTATATTCCTTTAAGGCCCATGTACTCTGTGTTTATTACTCTTGTTTTGGCAACAGTAAGGACTTAGATATTTTACTTTTCAATTCATGAACAAAATACCAAACTGCATTGGGTCTTAGACCAATGGTCCTTCACACTTGTGCATCTCCCCCCTCACAGCTCCCCATTGGCAAGTGAATGTCTTGAATTGTGTGTCTTTGGTTTCTATTTTTTTTAATTAGTTGTTCTATTGAATTATACTAGTTTTACTGAGGTCATGATGTGTATGACCAAGGCTCTTGTAAAATGCCTCTATGTAGCTGTGGATTTCATTTAATTATTTCTTTTAACTGAGGCAAATCGTATGGTTGCCTTGCAGTGTATTAGGCTGAGGAATTCTTGGAGTGCTGTGAAAAGATCTGTGGAGAGCTTAGCTGTTTACCTGGTGCTTTGCTTTCTTTTTCAGTCTTCCAAAAGGCATTAAGAGAAGCTATAAAAGTTAAAAACTTTTCTAATGGTGATGAAAGTAACGGTTGCATTTGCTATAGAGATGCTGATCAGATCATCTTAGTCCAAAAATAGTGGACAAAGACATAAGGTGATCAAACTCAATGCTAGTCAGCTAACCCCATGTGAACTGAATGCGCTTTTCTTCTGATAACTTTTCTGATATCTAAAACAACTACCGTGTGGGCTGGTTACTCCATATACCCTTTAAATCTTTAAAATGACCTGAGCTATTCGTCTGTTTTAGGTTATTACAGATTTTGCAGGAATTGTACTTGAAAAGAAAGTATCGGAAAAAAGCCCAACCGAGGAGAAAAAAGGTAAGTAGCTAACAAGTGGTTAGGTGCTGTTCATCTAACATGGCATCTTTCTTTCCATTACCTTTTCAACTCATGGGTATATTTTGATGCATGTTAACAGGCTTTTCTTTTTGGAAACTTTTCAGTGTTTTTAATGAGTTACATGGCCTGACCTCAGCTTTCTATGAGAAGTTACTCTGGTGTCCATTTAGCCTTGCTGACTCATTAAGAACAAGGACTGCTCTCCAGGCAACTGGAGGCCTTTTAAAGTTCTAAACATTCCTCTGTGTGTTCACATCAGACCAGTTATTTCTGCCAGCTAAATAGTTTCTGAAAAAAAATTAGATAAGCTTAGTGTCATCTGTACTCCCGGGTATCAACCTTTGACCTGAGACTAATAGTCTTCATAAACCCTACTTCTGTTATTAAACATTTAAATGTTTTGGTATGTACAAATCTAGGGATATTAGCTTGTAACTGAATAAAGTAGGTTGTCTTTAGGTCTGCTTTGTGAAAGTCATTGCTTAAGTCTGAAAATGTTTGTCTGGTCTGCAGAATGGTCACAGCATGCCAACTACATAAGCAGACAGTCTGTTCTGTGATTAAACTGGTTGATTGTTTCATCAATCCAGCCCAAACCCGATGTAGGTATAAGATACTTCTGTTGGCTTTTTGCTTTAATGGATGAGGTAAAAATGCAGTTGATCAATGAACAACTGTCCTGGTAAAGACTTTTACCAAATAATTACTAAGAAGTGAAATTAACGAGTCTAGGAATTATAACACAGTGCTGCCAAATTACCTGGGGGGTGCAATTTCTTAGACAAAGCTTCTAAACTACTCAAGAGGTTGGTTCCCCACCCTGTGTTGCTTTACAGTTTTTCTGACTACTTCCCACTCTGCTGTCCTTCAAAAAAAAAAAAAAAGTCCAGTTTTCAGAGTAAGCTATCAGTTGATTATTGATTCAACTTTTGGCTGAGCTGGTGCTACTTGGATAATCTGCTAATCTTTTTAAAAAGATTCAGGGGCTGTGGTAGAAACTGAGGAAAGCCATGAAGCCACTGACAACCAAAGTCATCCAGTTGCTGAGTCCAGTGCTGCAGGTAAGTAATATAATTTTTTAATTTTGTACGAGTCAATGAACTAATCATATGCTCAGGAACCACGTTGCAATCATATAAAAATTGGGAAGGATTTCTAAGAGCAGAAAAATAGGGCTTCTTTCAGAAAGCATTTTCTGCATACTGCCTTCCTTACTCAGAACTTACTTCTAACCCAGACAGATACTAAAGCCAAAAGCACTCTCCCAGGCTTTACCTGCTTTGAAAAGAAAATTTTTCATTTTGTAAGAATTTATCAATAGGTAAATAGTTCCTCTCATGCTGGGTATTAAGATGTTCAGAGAATGATGAATTAATCTGCATGTTGAGATTTGCAGTAATTGGATGTGGGTATAGAATGTAATAGGGAAACCTTATGTTGGAAATCATAGTTTTTTCAGGTTATAGCAATCAGCCTTTGGATATCTGGTGTAAGGATTAAGTTGAAGGAGAACTCAGGCAGAGTAGTTAAGGAGGTGTCATGACTCCATGTGAAGGAAATAGTGGGGTTTTACTGTGTCACCTTTAATTTCTAGCATTGTCATGGTTAACTACTTTGTCTTGTGTTTGCAATCTGGTCAGATTGCATTCTGTCTATGTGTTGTGTAAAGTTCTGCAGTTAACTGTGTTTAACAAGGTCCACAGCCAGATCCTTGGTATGCAGGACTTAGCTTAATATAGGGTATTTCCTTCCAAGAGCAAGGAGAAGAGGGTACAGGTGAATAAATTGCTAAAAGAAAGCTTTATGAAGCAAGCACATCTTAAGAGAACGTCCTACAGGATCCTGCTGTTGAAATCAATGCAGACTGACAGCACTTGATATTTCACATGAAATTATTAGGATCAGAGACAGTAGGAAGAAGTTGTTCCAACTGTTGGGAAAGATATAAAAGGAGGGGAGAGGCCAGGCCTACACCAATATTTGCTAGAGTTGATGAGAATATATTTACTTCAGTGGAGCTGAACATGGCCTGGAGGGGATGTGGAGCTTGTGAAGTGTTTGTTAAAGCCTATGGGTTCGGAAAGAAATTCTTTATCTTCTCGTAGCTGTGGAGAAGGTCAGCTGCTGCATACCTGAGGGTGTTCCCATAGACATCACGGTCAAGCTGATGGTGTGTTTGGTTCACTTGAACATCCTAGAACCACTCAGTGTAAGTAGAAAGCAACTGAGAAGTTGGGGGATGTTCTAATAAATGATCAAAGCAAGTAGTTTTTCCTGTCTTCATATGACTGAGGTCACTGAGAGAGCTGCGGAGATGCTTTTTGCTTCCCTCCCACTCCAAGAAAGAAACCTAGCAAACCTGTAATAGCAGAAATACTATTTCTGTGCTTGCAAATTATGCCTTCAGTGGAGGTGTTACTAAAGCACAGGAAATCACAGCCTGTGTGTTGTGACAGGCCCAGGACCACATTGCAAAGTTACTGAACCCTAAGGAACACATCTTTGCTTTGTTTTAAAGCCCTGCAAAGTCTGAAGACTGTTCTTTTATAAAGAACACTCCTTAATGATGGGCACTTTCACCCACTGGATGTGAAATGTATGGATGTGACATGTCTACAATAGAAAAATGTGGCTTTTTCAGAAATTCTGAAATTCAGATCTTTATGTTTCACTTTCAAAGTAACAGTTAAATAAAGGAAGTGTAGTTTAGAATACAAACAGAAGAAAAATCATTGCATAAAAATGTAAGCTTCCAATAACCTTATTGTAAAGAAGTGCTCTCGTTGGTTAATTGTGCTTCTAGTGTTTTTTGTGTTTTTTTTTAAAGCCTCTTTTAACGACTCTGGTGGAACAAAATCCAGAAGAAATGGGTGACTTGTATTTGGATGTTGCAGAGGCATTTCTGGATGTTGGAGAATACAACTCAGCACTGCCTCTCTTGAGTTCCCTTGTCTGTTCAGAACGGTACAACTTGGCTGTTGTGTGGCTTCGGCATGCGGGTGAGAAGCAGCAGGGCTGCTGAACAGGTGGTGCTGAGAGGTGATAATACAATGCTGAGCATTTCCAGGGACCTTTATCTGGGATCGCAAGAATTTTAGATTCACATGTTGAATGATGATCGGTATTTGCAAAACTATAATTGGAGTTTATTGCGATGACCCTGCCATGGAGTGTTTTCTTGTTCTTCATAGATTGAAATTTACTTCAGCTAAAACTAATTTATTTTGATGTATGTGAAACAGCATCTGTTCCGCATTCCATCTGGTGTCAACTGACGATGCTTTAAGTGAAACTGCAGATGCATCAGTACATATTTCTAAATAGTTTCACTTTAATAATACATGGTTTCGGTGGTTTTAACTGAAAAAGTATCTGAAAAGTGTGTTAACTATTTTGCAAGCTTTGAAATCTTCTTTTTCTGCCATTTAAGCATTCTGTGTTGTTTATGGTATTTCTAGAGTGCTTGAAGGCCTTGGGACACATGGAGCGTGCTGCAGAGAGCTATGCCAAAGTTGTTGATCTTGCTCCGTTGCATCTGGAGGCAAGAATCTCACTTTCAACACTTCAGCAGCAGCTGGGCCGACCTGAAAAAGCTCTGGAGGCCCTGGAACCAATGTATGATCCAGATACACTGGCTCAGGACGCTAACGCTGCCCAGCAGGTGGGTGAACTGTTCTGTGCCTCCAGTTCAGGACGTATTACTGTGCTGAACTATGGTAGTGGTCAGAGATGTCAACTGTATAGGACCGGGGATCGAGGCTTGCTTATCGACAGCGTGGTGAGCCTTCAGAGCACAGCGAATGATTCATTACAGAGTCTCAGGGATGAGTCCTCGTGGCCCTTTCTCCCTGACCATTTTATCCCACCTGATTACTTTCATGAGATGTACAAGCTCTTGACCGCTAAGAACCAGTCTTGACGCCTGTCCCTTTGCATCAAGTTGATCGGCAGTTGCTACATACGAGCTACGTGGTTTGGCCTCTATTGATTGGATCTGATGGCATAGCGAAGGTTCTGTATCCCCTCTCCAGCAACACCTTTAGTATAACTAAGAGTTGTGCTGAATTCCTCTGAAATTTGAGAATTTGAAACTACTGCGTGGCAATTTAAGGAGATCTTACCTGCTGCTGCTAAGATTATTACAGCTTTCTAGAAGCTTTTACAATCCTGTTGGTACTTAATGAGTCAGAATTGTTTGTTTTATAAACTCAGTCTCTGTGCAAGAGGTTGAATAATAATGTTTAATATTATCTAGGAATTAAAGCTCCTCCTCCATCGTTCGACACTGTTGTATTCCCAAGGCAAAATGTATGGTTACATAGACACTTTACTTACAATGCTGGCAATGCTGTTGAAGGTAAGCCCATCTTTCCAGCTATATTTTAACAAGTTGGACAGCTGTGAGTTGGGTTAAGACAAGTGACAGACTAACTCAGGAGGTAGCCTAGTGGGTTTTTATATGGAAATGGTTTCATAGTTTTGTTAGATAATAAACTTGCAGAGAGCCTGTAATACCAGTGTTCCTGCCTGTAGCATTCAGAACAGAGAACCACTTGAGTATAAAAGACTTAATACAGTGACTTCAACTCCCCATTTCTCAGTGTGCGTAGAACACACCAGATACTAAAGCCGCTTCTTACCTGTTTAGCAGTCAGCATAGTGCTTGCTTGAAGTGTTAATACTGGCTTCAATTTCAACAATTTTCTTATGAATCTTTTTTTTTTTTTTTTTTCTTGTGATATAATGACCAAAGAAGAATTTGTTTAGACAGTAAATACTGAGGTTGTGGTTTTGTGATAATTGGTTTTTGGTTGATTTTAAATAGGGAGTGAGGGAGGGGAATATTTCGACCTCAATTTTATCCATCTGGTCAGAGCTATTACTATTGTATTACACTGGTTGAATAGCTGACTGTCCACACATTTCTGAAACTGGTACAGAGAGGCATTGTTCTTGTTAGGCCTCTGTGCAGATAGTTTTGATTTTAATATATGCAGGAGAAGTCTTTTAAATCATTTAAAGAGTTTGCACCTTTCTTTTGCGTGGCCCAGTTTGTACTGGAGCATGAGATAATACCCCTCTCGGGAATGTTCTCTCTCATGATTTTGCTTCATTGCGGCATTTCTAACTTGCAGACTGTTTTGGTGTGAGCAGGATGGATTGGCCACGAAGCTGCCTTTGTCATAGGATGTACTAATGTAACCTGAAATGCTGCCCTTAAATTTGTTTCTAGGTAGCAATGAGCAGAGCTCAGGTGTGTTTGATATCTAGTTCCAAATCTGGAGAGAGACACCTCTATCTTATTAAGGTGTCAAGGGATAAAATTTCTGACAATGACGACCAAGAGACAGCAAATTGCGATGCAAAAGGTAACAAATGTTTATTTTAAATCAAAGCAACAAGGTGAACTGCTTAGTCCTGAAAAATGAAGTAAACGCTACTATTTTGCATGCTCAATACATGCAGTTTGTGTTAACGTTGCTTTATTTCTAGGGCACAGAAGGCAGCAAAAATGAAATTAATATAATTTAAGGGAACAATCCCCATTCAGAGAAAATTAGTAAGATTACAGAATAATTCAGATTGAGAAGGACTACGGTCCAACATTCCTCAGTGCACATACAGCACATGCAAATCTAGAACATAATAGAAATGTGTGATCTAAAAGTGGTGTGAATTTTTAACTGGCCCAGACTCAGTTGAGTTAGGCTACACATTCTTAAACACCATTTGGTAGACTAGGAAGAGTACCTTTAATGCATTCATGTAGTATATCTACAGTTTGAACTGTGTGTATTTCTTGCCATTTGTTTCCAAGTTTTGACTGTTTTTTTGCTGGTGCTTTACAAAAACTTAAACTGAAAAAAGTAAATATTTTATCTTTATTCTACCTGTTAACACTGAGATGTTTTTGAAAAGATCAGTTTGACACGTGCACCTTTTTTTTTTTTAAGAGTTTAACTCTTGTGTTTTAATTTTCTCAACTTACTGACTTCAATATTTTTAGCAATCTTTGCTGTTCTCACGAGTGTTCTGACAAAAGACGACTGGTGGAACCTCCTCCTGAAGGCTATATATTCCTTGTGTGACCTCTCTCGGTACAAGGAGGCAGAGTTATTAGTGGATTCCTCACTGGAATATTATTCATTTTATGATGATAGACAAAAGCGCAAGGAGCTGGAATACTTTGGTCTCTCTGCTGCAATTCTGGACAAGAACTTCAGAAAAGCGTACAACTATATCAGGTGGGGTACTGAGAAGGCAGAGCGATCTCTGCTGTCATTGGTTCTGCTGAGACTGTAGTCATACTGCTGAAAATATTGCTAAAGGAGGCAGGCTGATGCTTTTCAGTTTTCACTAAAACAGATAAGGCTGTTGAAACTGAAGGAGCTTTCTGATAGCCTCCGATTCCAAAAAATGCATAATGCAGTAGGTTGGTTGATTTGGCCAGAACCACTGGTGTTCTGCGTTTCACTCTCAACTTTGCCTCAGTCACCGACCTGCTCTTTGAGTGTCTCTTCTTTGTTATCTTCCCTAAACATTTGAGGTTTTATTGCAGACACAGTATTTGCCATATAGCATTACCTAATTACTTGTATACTTTTAATTCTGTAGAATCATGGTAATGGAAAATGTCAATAAGCCTCAGCTATGGAACATCTTCAATCAAGTTACTATGCAATCTCAGGATGTCCGTCACCATCGCTTTTGTCTCCGCTTGATGCTGAAAAATCCTGATAATCACGCATTGTGTGTCCTAAATGGGCATAATGCATTCGTATCTGGCAGTTTCAAGCATGCCCTTGGTAATATCATTAATGTTCTAATATAAAAAGTACCACAAGTGAATGCTTTTTCTGAGAAAGATTTAGTAAAGTATTTTTTTTTGTACATCAGAAAATTAGAAGTGGCTTCACAGTGTTAGTGTGGTGCTTTAATTTGTACACAAATCAAAGCATCACTAAAGAGTTTTGCTAATAAAAATTAAGCTGGCATGTTTCAAGTTTAGCAGACATTGCAAAAGTAACTAACTTGTAGTTGAAGGCTAATGATAATAACGAATAAGGAGGACAGAAACAGACCAATTTAAACAGCAAATAAAGTTGGTTGGACATTTTAAGCAGGCCTTTGAAGTAAACCTGCTGCTTTCAGTCAAACCGTCCATATGTCACACTTACATTGTGTGGCCTCCAGGATCTAAATCCCAGCAAGGACTACGACTGCCTTCTGGGTCTGATTGGTTTTTGCTTATGTTTTTACATCATAGTCTGCATTCTTCCTTCAGAATCCAAGGAGTGCTGAAAACATAAAATTTTCTTTCATATTTTTTCTGTGTATTTTGATGTAGGTACAGTAAACTAGTTTCTTAGTTCACACTTCTAATTTGAAGATTTTCTTTTTTTGCCCTTAAATTCTTACAAGAACGCTTTTCACAATAAACATCTTGATTCAATTATTTGCTTTTAGGACAGTATGTGCAAGCCTTCCGTGCAAACCCAGATGAACCTCTGTACAGTCTTTGTATTGGCTTGACTTTCATCCACATGGCTTCTCAGAAATATGTGTTGAAAAGGCATGCTCTTCTAGTACAGGTGAGTTAACATGATTATTTTTACCTACAGTGTTTCCTGGCTTTGTATCTTGCAGACAGTTGTGCCTACAACATACTCTGTTTAAATAACTTTTCATAATTAATACGGCATTTCAAAAGAGGGCAGTGGCAAAACATGAACACAGGTGAGTATGGGTTTGAACTATAGTTACACCCATCTGAATCTCCTCTCCTTTTTTCGTTAAATGTAGCTTGTTCTGCCGGCTGTATACAATGATTACTCACACAGATGTTAGCAGCTGCCAGCTGTTTGTGAAAATACTACAAATTTCAGTCTTGATGGCTGTAGTCTGGATTTTCTTCAGAATTTTTCTTCTTGCCCTGCCTTGCTCTGAAGAAGTGCTGTAGAGTAGAAGCTGTGTCATGTGCCCTTCATAGACATGTTTCATACACTGCATGAAAAATGTTCGAGCAAACTTCACAGGCATAGAAAGTGGGGTTTTTTCCCTGTCTTCCTTTTCTCTCCCCCCTTTTAGGTGCCTCTTATAGCTCTCTTTGTAAAGATCTTGTGAACTCCAGTTTAGGCTACCCTCAATTTTTCAGTTTCCTTATTTACATTTTTCTTTCATCTGGCAGATCCAGTTACAAACCACAGACTGATTATTCCCAAACAGAACATTGAAAGTAATTTCCTCTACTCTCCACCAAGTATTTTCATTAACTTGAAATGCCTTTTAATTCCTGGGTCTACTGAGCTTAGAGTCAGCAGAATGTGGTGGGGAAATACTGAGCTCTTGTGACTTCTGAAATTGCTGAAAAACCATAGCTTGCACTGATTTTGACAAAATCTGTAGGTCCTCAGCTGCTCTAAAACAAGGCCAATTATGTCACTATCCAACTTAAGACATTTTGAACTTGTAAGCTTTGGCCTCATTTTAATATTTTTATCCAATTCTTTCTGTAATCAACCTGCCTTTCTTATGTGGGCTGCTATGTTCCCCTTTTATAATGTACTTGAACAATGTCCTATTTACGTTACCCTCCGGTGATACAGTTCCCTGCTTTCTTGCTTCTCATTTCTTGCTTACTATACTTGGTATTTTTACCACCTCTCTTGCTGCTATTGTACTTGATTAATAATTCAAACCACAGTGACATACTGGTGATCTAAATTATGATCACTAGCTGCTTTTGCCTGAACTAATTCCTCACGCTGAAGGAGGTACCTTCTCCAATTACCAGCATGGTCCCTAGAAAGTTCTCTATTTACAACAGAATCATTACATTCCAAAGTGGCAATAAAATGAAGTGCATGGGAGAGGATGAGAAGGTTGTGTGCTCAATTTCTCCCTTCTGAATTCACCTCTTCTGTCTGTCCCTTCTGAGTTTCTCCCAGGGCTCCTTCAGTGTCAGATGAAACACTGTATTTTAATGTAAAATAATACTGTATGTGTCTTTGTCTTTCCCTTTGCTCTGTATGGGAGTTAGCTCTGGTCTAATGCCATTCATCTTTATAGCATCTTATAGCATCTTGAGTCATGAAGAGTCTGTAACACACCAAGGCAGTGACATCCTACAGAAGAGAAACAAATCACTTCTCTCACTTTACAGCATGTCAGCGTATAAATGATGCTGGTTGGTTCCACCGGTGCCTGGTCACTGTCAATTTATGCATAGCCCGGGAATTGCTGGGTATGAGTTTCCTTTCAAATTCTACTGGAGACGTGGCAGTAAAACATCTGCTGGCTCCAAGAAGGGACATAGATCCTTACCTACTGCTTAGGATATATGGATTTTTCAATGCCATTAATCAGTGATGTTTATTTTTGGACACTTTATAAAATGATATAATTTCCCTGATAACTGGTATTGGAGTGAACATTTATATGGAGCACAAGATCAAGAAAATAATATGCTTGCATTCCAGAAATAACACTTTGATATGTACTACATGGAGTTCAGAATTTTGTAGAATTATGAAAAGTTGTAGAATTAAACCATTTCTAGTTGCTATTCAAGACGAGTGAAGGAAAGGAAATGAAGGTTCCTTTTTTTTTTTTCTCCTTTAAAAAAAAACCCACCAAACTTAGGGAGGGTTATTTTTAAAAGATTTTTTTAAGAAAAAGATCTCTTGCTCTAGCCTGTCCTTTGGCTGCATGTTTTTTAAGGTGCTCAGCTCCTCCGAACTTGAACCAGTCTTACCTGTGTGTATATTACAGAAACTTATATATTTAGCAAGTTAGTGCCATAAGTCCCTATACTAAATAACTGTTCAGTTTATTAAAAAGATCTACCCGCTGTTACCAATGGCAGTGAGACTGACAGAGCAGAGATTTTATGGTCTCAGGAATCAAATGTGACATGTTTTGCCTTCAACTTGCATGTGGTTTTGTGGGGAAACATAGATCAAAAGTTTAAATAGATACATTTAAACACCTTGTTCTCCAGCATATTTTACCTGCCACCTTCTGAAAGGGAAAATTCACAAACGTGCATAATAATGTGTGCAGGGATTCTCCTTTCTTCACCGGTACTTGGACCTGCGTGGACCATGTCAAGAGTCTTTCTACAACCTTGGCCGTGGCCTTCACCAGCTGGGACTGCTGCACCTGGCAATCCACTATTACCAAAAAGTACTTGAACTTCCTCCTCTCACCTTAGAGGTACTGTAGCTTTGTAAGTTATGTGCAGAGAATAAAGTCGGGTCAGTGTTAATAATTTCCCAGCCATAGTTAAAATAGGTACCTAAAATCCATGTACTTGAGTTTCTTTTAATTTGTATTGTAATTCCTTGTCACTGGAAGCCCAAATCCAATTGTCACCTGGTAATGTATTAAGCATGTATTAATTTCAAGAGTTTATGAATTTTGAAGGATTTACTAATAGGCTGAAGTAAGCAGCAAAAGTGGTTGCTAAACAACTTTACCTGAATAAATAGCTGAATTTTATATATATTACATGCAATGAACTATGACTGGAAGTTCTATATACTCACCCATGCTATAAAACAGCATGCTGGAGTAATATGAACCAATTTAAGAATGCATAAATGCCTGTGAGCCATAGTTTTGATCTAATTGATCGTATTAGTTCATCTGAGCTGATGTGTCATACATTTACAAGTCTGGTCTGAGAGAAAGCTTTTGCCGAGCTTTGGCATGGGTAGGTAGAAAAATTGCAAGTGCATTTGGAAAACGGGAAGGGTTGGTAAAGGCAGAAACATGAGTGTTAGTCAGTGTTGTGAGTTCAAAGCAGTGATCTTGTGACCAGATAAAAGATACAGGCAGGATTCACACTCTGACTGTAGAAACAAATACTTTACATCCAAAGACAAATTAAGATAGTACTTAACTGTTTCAGGAGCTGGCTATCTAATTTACAGCTAGTGGTTTGCGTATGTAATTATATAACTCTTTGGTGAGTAACAGCATGTAGAAAGTTGTTAAAGATGGAGGGCACAAGGAATACTACTACTTTTGGTTTTGTACAGCTGAAAGCCTATATAAACCATGTATATGTGATTTGATTCCCCTGTAATTGCTACTCATATTTCAAGTTTTATACTATTTCTGCATATAGATAACTTTTTTTAATCGTTATTTTTACAGGGAATAGAGACCGATCAGACAGACTTGAGAAGAGATACTGCCTTCAACTTGTCACTTATTTACCAGAGCAGTGGAAATACTAGAATGGCTCAAAAGATGTTGTATACCTACGCAGTTGTATGATGAGGTTTGTGGCAGGTGGAATTGATACTCTTTGTACCAACCTTTGCATATATGCAGTGCTGGGGAAACTGAGTTTATGTACAACTTTTGCTATAGAAGGTCAGAGACATGGCTGGTGCCGTCTGTAGCTGTATGGGCATTTTCTGCTTCTGACATTTGAACGCTATCGCGTACGGATGGCAACTGTGTGTTTGGAGCACAGCACTGCCGTGCTCAAGTGTACCTGTTACTAGCTCTTCTCTGGGAATGCACTGCTCTGTAATCTGATATTCAGGCTTGCGTGTAGGATCAAACAGTGAAAACAAGCCCAGTGTGGGTGTTGGTTGGGGTTTTTTTTAGGGAAAATTTACAATGTGCAATATTACAGCTAGTTACCAGTGAGGTTCTTCAAGAAGCCATATTTACTGGTGATGACTGTTTTTTAATGTGCAGCATTAAACTACTATAACATAGAAGAAATGGGCTCATGCTAATCCTTAGAGGATGGAGAACTCAGTATTTCCATATCTTTATTCAGAATTTTGTAGGAGTTCATATTCCTAGCAGCTGTTCTATTTGAAGGATATTGATTTCTGTTTTACTGAAATCAGTGTGACCTTTGTTCTTCTTCTGAACTTGTTAATAAAAATTCTGAGGTTAATGATAATGTTTACTCATTCTCAGCAAATGTGTATCCTACTGAAGAGCTTATATCACAAATTAATATAGTATCGTCATACAGCTTATGATCTAACATACATTGCAAATGGTCTGGGGTTTTCATTATTTCTGACAGTCGAACAGTAGCAAATGATGGTGCAAGCATCCTGCTTCCAACCCACTGAGAGAAGCAGGATGCAATGCTTTATCATAAATATAAGGAGTACATAGTTATATATAGAAATGGGTATGTTATGCACTACAGCAGATTAAGGCTGAAAAATATTTTTCAGCAAGGTAGCTTGCTGAGTGGCAAACAAACCGTGCTGTTGCCTCCCAAGCACTCTTGTTACTTACGGTATCACAGCTAACTACTGCTCTTTGCTTTCAGCCCACTTTTCTATGTGATTGTGTTCTGTAATCATTTCACATAGTTGCAATCAGTGATTAAGACACAAGTCTGGTGGAAATGCCTAGACTAATTTTAAGCGTAAGGCAGTTTCATCTCAAATCAAACACTGAATTGCAATGTAGTGCATGTCCACTTTACTAGACTTGTGCTGGGTCATAGTGAGAATACAAAAGTAAGAGAAACACCAAGAAAGTCTCAGGTTTGCAAAAGGACAGCGTGTTTTACTTGGAAATAGTACTTGGCAGCACTGCCTGAATACAAGTATCATGCCAAGTTTGCAGAACTGTAAATTAAATAACCACCTTAGTTATGTTAGCCTGGGGTGTTCATAAGCTGCAGAAGAAGAGAGAGGATGACTCCCTTACCTCCATTTCGTTATTCATTCTTTGTCATACCACATTGCTTGTTTTGACATGATAGCTAACTGTTTGCTGTGTGAACTGGAGCTGACTCACAGTCTCAGTACAAGCATAGTATTGTCGCATCATCTTGGGGTAAAAATTTTTCCACTGAAGCTTTCCTTATTCTTTATTGACCTTTTCATATCTCGTAACCCCACTGATTATTTTCTTCTTGCAGCAAATGACTTCTCTCCCTTCATAGGAAAAGAGTTTACCATGTCTCAGGAAATACAGCCCTCAGCACTGAACTAACACTTAGAAAACAGAAGCCAGAGATCCAGTACACAGATTCCCTTTGCCTTATTCTTTTCCAAAACTGAGTCTGAAATACTCAGAATCCTAGTGCTGAAGAGCTATTTTATATAAAACAAACACTAATTGAAGGCATACTTAGAAGACTGCTCATAAAAACATCTACTGATTGTCTTGAAAACTAAATCATACTTTTTTGGTTGTGCTTACCTCATAGCAGCATTGACAAGTGTAGAAAGCTGTCTGCTGTCCACATTTGCTGAAGGCCATAGCCTGGCAGGAAAAAACCCAACTGAACCTTTTAGCGGCTTAGAAAATTCATTTTTAAATACTACAAGTGTTACTATAATTTAGTTAGAGGCTTAGCAGCTGCCAAGACTAAGGAAAGGCTAGCAATATAAATCTCAATTATTGATCCTGCAGGTGGCAGCAGTGTTAGGTAACTACAACGTTACTGAAATTGCTATGTTTAAATAAAATAACATTCTTGTCTGTTGTGTATTTCTGATGTTTCCAATGCATGAGCTGCCACTCACCATGCTGTGGTTCACGTTGCAGATCAGGCTCTGAGCAGACGAACTACTTTTCTTTCAAAAGAAAGGAAGTTAGAAGGTGGCTTTCAGAAGTGCTGCAGTTGCTAGTGAGCATTCAGTCAGCAGGAACAGACTACAGCAAATCTGAAGTAAAAAGAAGGTATAGCCAAAACCTAAGGTAGTATTAAAGTTAAAAGGTACTAGCATACAGCAGTCCTTCACAATTGCACCATATCTTACTGCTTCCCACCCTAAACCCCAAACAGGTTTAAAAGAAGCAACAGGATGTGGTGAACCTGGAACAAACTGTCGCTAGGCAAACGTAAGTGCTAAGTTTAATGGCCATGGCCATGTAATCGGACTTTGCATTTCAATATACAGAGGAACTGCAGATGCATGGCCCTAGAGAGAGAAGGGGGATTCTGGAGCAAGGAAGGGGTGAAGAACCAGCCCTTGTTGGTAAAAAAACTCCAGCAGAGGGAAAGCTGAGGGGTGGCTGGTGCTGTTGACCTGCCAGTGCAGTTCATGCAAACACAGCTGCCCTGTGCTTTGGCCTTTTGCACCTGCCAGGGTCATTTGTCCCTTGTTAGGCAAACTACTTAAGCATTCAGTATAAACAAAAGTGTTAAATGGGAAGTGCTATTTGAGAAGACTTTTTATCAGCTGTCGTTACAGTTTGAGTTCATAACAAGCAAAACTAGATTATAGTTTTGACTGCTGTTTGCCCGAGGGCACTGTGGAGGTGGGCACAGCTGCTGCTAAGACACCTAAGCGGCTTTACAGGGCAGGTGTGGCATAGATGCCACTGATTGCTGAAGGAACCGGCCTGACTGTGACAAAGTGTAGGCCTGCTTTTAAGCAGCACAGTTTAATGAAGCTCGGGTGTGCATTAGCCGGAATGGTGCGTGCAGCCACCACCCCTTGTGCCTTAAACAGCTATTTGCTTCAGGGAGGAGAGGCTCACGTCACCCTGAATTAGTCCAGAGTCCTATCACACAAGTTATAGTTTAGGACCAAATTTCTGGAGGAGCAGAATGAGCTAATTCATGTGTCCTCAGGCTACTCTGAGGCTCCAGGGGTATGCAAGACTTCCCACGAAACAAAACAAGTATTGTAAATAACACGTACAGATCTCACAGAAATAAATAGTACCATTGATCCCAGAGGAGTTTGCAAGCAGCTCAGAGCGCAACACCACCTGTACTGAAGCTAGGTTATATTGAAACCACGGGAAGAGTAAGCCATGATGAAGATGAGCTGGTCCTTAGTCAAACAAGCGTGAAAACTGTCCATGTTCTAATCCTCTTTAACATATTATGACATAGGTCAACTGCTTCAACTACTCTTTCCCATGTGTTGTTCCACAGTAGGACAGGCTGAACAAATTCCACTAATTCTTCTGAAGGTAAGATGATGTGTGGTATAACATCACCCACCTAATGTATTCCTTACATGGTCCCCAAACAGCCCAAGGCTTACGTTCTCTCGTGACCCAGGTATCATCTACCATTAAAGCAGCCGGTCCTGCCAGTTCCTCCCTGTCCCCGGTCACGTCAGCATCCAGCCACAGACACATGACTCTGTCTTCGGTCATTCCCCTGAACCCTCTCCAAACCAGCCTGAGATTTGTTTTGGTAGCACCTGCCAGGCCTTAGACTAAAGCTGGTAAAACAAAAAGTGATGAAAGCAAAGATGTAGCATATCAACAGAATATAGTTTACAGTAATGTTAAACAAAGAATAATTATTTTGCTATAAGTAGTCATTTTGTTAACGTCAGCCTCACAATGCAAAGCACCTGAGTAAAAAAGACAAGGTGAGAGGTATGAGTTAATTCAAATCATGAGTTTATATTTTAATCAAACATTCCTAGGTCCCCTATGAGCACCTCTTATTTGCGAGGCCACCTCAGTGATACAGACCTACCTAACTACGTCAGGTCAAGTAAAGCTCAAGTATTCTTTGAGCACTGGGTGCCAGCAGGGAGTCTCCTGGCGGGGGGGTGCTGCTCTCCCTGGGCCAGGCATCACCCAGCCAAGTGAGCTCATTTCCTGTGCAGCTCACGTGGGCCTTCCTGGAGCTGAGCTGGGGGCAGCGGCTCCTCACCCTTGCTGGCCGGGGAGGTGGGAGGGGGAAGCTCATCTTCCTTTTCCTCCTGGGAAAAGATGCAATGTGTTAGGAGGCTGATGGCTCTTTGGGGAATCTTCGTTGTTCCAGAAGGAGAGATTAAAGTTTTAGCAGTTGAATACATGCATCTTTAAGAAGCTAATTACACAGCTATGTAAGAAGTATCAATTATGGAGAAGGCTGAGGAATCCACACAAACGAGGTAAGCCTGGCTTTTGGAAGGGTATCTGTAAAAGGTATGGAGGAGGGGAAGGGAACCGCTGAAACAGGTGAATGCAGAGAAGAAAATACATGAGCTGTTAGCTTTCAAAGAAGTATTTGGTTGGTCAACAAAACATGAAGTATGTGTAATAGAACTTAGTTCTAAGGACAGAAACAGTCCCTTGAAGCTATCTTGTACCTATAATATTCTTTGCTGCTTAAATATGTCCTTTGGCAAAAGAGAAGGAAGGAAACAACTGTTAGAGGGGTCTGTTTTCCACCCCTGTGGAAGGATCTACAAAAGAAAGCTTAGGAAACTGAAAATCTGACTGATAATGGGCTATCAACTATGTCCCCACTTATTTTCTTTGCTTTTCCCTTTGAAACAAATGTGCTTGCTTTCTTTACCTCCTTTTTGGAGCTGCTCTCCTCAGGGTTCTTTGGCTGGTGGCTTTTCACAACTTCTATCTGCAGGCTGTCAAACTTACATTTGAACCAATGGTGAGCTGCTTCTAGGTTAGCTGTGATCTAGGCAAGACAGCATAATTAGGACATCAGAGAGAACAGTTAACGCATGCTGGGTTCCAGTTACTGAGCTCTGTGCAAGAAGGAGCAGAACAGCATACAGCTCAAATCTGTCTCCTGCACACAGGGCTGGGAGCTCTCTGATGCCCTCTTCCATTGCTGGGGAAAGGATGGATCCCAGAGATGCTTGCTACAGAGTTGCCCCTCTCTCAGGCAGGTGGTGAAGTCAACAGGGGTCTCCACCACAGCATAAAATAGAGGAATTGGGAAGAAGTGGGGGAAAATGGACACCGAGTACCACAAACTCCTGAGAAAGAGGAGGGTAGACTAACTTTGCCTGAAGAACGCTGTGGAAATACGGAACAGTAATTGGACTGATATAAGCAGCATGTAAGACCTCAAGCTGGGGAACCTCTGTTACTTTTTAAATTTTACTTTATGCTGCTTAATACCCTATAAAACATTGAAATCCCTACATTTTCACCCCAAACTGCTGCAGTAACCCATGCAGACTATAATAATTTGGATATTGTGGTACAGTAGTGCAAGGATGATGTGATGTAAGGACAAATGACTTCTTGGGGGTGTGGGGTGAGGAAATGTGGTTTTGCATGATGTCACGTATAGAGTGACACAAGAGCAGCTCGAGGGGGCTGTTTACTTGGCCACAACACTTTACTTAATACAGATATCCCAAGCCTGATGAAAACAATAGGCTGTGGGGGACAAAAGTGCTTCTTACAAGCCCCGATAAATTGAAGCGATTCAGAGAAAAGATAAAAATGTTATTAAAAAAAAAGTATGATAAATGCCACTTAATTGAAAAGACCAAGTATGCACCTGACTCTTTACCAGAGACCTATATCTGAGATTGAAAGGGTTACTTGGTGCATATGCTGAAGTACTACCTTGTTACTTTCAATTAATTATTATTCTAATGCTAAACTGTCTCACCTGTTCTGACTCTATACTGGCTTCCTTCAGTTTCTTTTCTGTCTCATCTTTATATTTCTTCAGATGTTTGGCTGTTTTTTGCAGTTTCTAGGTAGAAAAAGTAGTAACAATTTCTATACAATTTTGTTATGGCACAAATAAAAAATTGCAATACAATGGAAGGACCTTCAAATCTTTGTTGTAAATAGCGTAGCCTTACTATTTTTTAAAAAATAATCCTCTCTCTCTAAAGTCAGATATATAGTGAGTGTATATGAAGTTGTTACTCGGGCTTTCTGGAGCAGGCACAGTAAGATTTATAGGAATATCTTTTGGCTAAGTTCACAAAGTCTTTCTACTACATCTTCTACAACCCCACAGATTTTGCACAAAAGTGCTTCCATGGGTGTCTCACCACTTTTTCCATGCTGTTGTCACTTTACCTGACATTTGTTTTCCAGCTGCTGCCTTTGCGTTCTCTCTGCTTCCAGCTGGGTCTCCAGCTGCCCGTTTTGCTCTTGCACTTCATGTTGTTTTTTCAACAACTCTTGCATTTCACTCTGCACACTTTTCAACTCTGACACATGTTTCTGGATGTCCTGTGACTGAAGACAATACAATAATGAAATTCCAACAACATTTTAGCAGATCAGTCTCTTCAGGAAACTAGTCAAGAAAGCTCACTAGTTCATTATTCTTCTTCTGATACTCCTCTTGTATTGCCTTCATTTTCCTCAGTTCAGATTCAGTCTCCTGGAAATTGTTCAGAGAAACAAAACGTCAGGAATTTTTCAGGCTCACTGGCTGTTACATGGGAACTATTTCTGCAAATGTCTGCACACTGTGTCCTTATTTTTTTCAATGAGACTGAAGAGAACTCATGCCCCACCTAGGAAAGGGGAAAAAGCAGGTGGCAGAGTTGCAAAGGAGTCAAGATTCTCATTTAGGATCAGGTAACAGTTGAACTGTAAGTTCTACAGCTATAAAGGATGGAAAGGGACTAATCACTGCACGAGCACCGTTTGGCCCAATCAATAATTAAGTGGACTGTATCCACAAAATGATAAAGAGGACAAATGCTACTATAAAAATCTAATGGTGGGATGGGACTCTGGCGTCACGTGTAATATGTGGTGGGAGGGGCGATAGAAGAAACCACACAGTTACTGAAGCTGCTATTGATCTGTTCATCTTCTGTTTGGAACTTGAGTCCAAAGTTAGTTTTATTTTCAAGTCTAGCGCTACTGCAAAGGATCAACAGCAGTCCTGCTCTGTAGGAGAAAAAAGGAGTTCTCAACTAGGACATCTGTCTTTACTAAAAAATGTGTGCATACCTTTACCCTTTCTGTGTTAGCTTTACAGGCCTGGCATTGTCTCACTTGAGCTTTTTGGCTTGTTAGTTTTTCCCTGTAACTGGACAAAGACTTTTCCAGCTCTGTTACTTTCTGCCGCAACTCCCTGTTAGCACGGGAAACTTGAGCCAATTTGGAGGAGGTTTCTTCAAGGGATTTCTTTACCTAGGGGAAAGAGGGAAAAGTGAGTTCACATTAACTGTAAGAATTAATTCTATACAACAACTAATAAGCTGTACACCCAATTGATTTGATGTATCTGAAGTATGCTACAGCACCTGGGGTTTTGACTTTGCTTTAATACCCTTCTAACAAAGGGGAAAAAAGTGAATGCTGGGATTTGAGCAATACTAAGGTTATGCTGAGCTTTATGATCCAGCCCCCAAGTGACAAAGTAGACTTCCAAACCAGTGTTTTACTCCTGGAGATGGCTACACAGCCTCAGACTACCCTTCTGAAGTCACTGGAATGACTGATACCAGTGTCTAGATCTTATGTACAATGAGGTATATAGTGTTGGGGGATGTAGAGTGGTACTTGAAAAAGTTGAGAGCACAGGTATCAGTAGGCATGGCCACCAAAATCTCTGTCCACCACATGACAAAATTGTTTGTTCTACAGAAGTGATGGACAACCCCGTGATGAATGGAAAAAGAGACAAATATTTGTCTCAAACATAATCCAAGCTGTTCTTGTTCTGTTGGAAAACTACATTAGACCTCCTTCTCTGGATATCATTCACTGAAATCTTTTAATTCTAACCCTCCTCACCACAGCAGATTCTTGACAGGCAGCTTTCCTGGAAGCCTCTTGCTCAATTTGAAACTGCTTTTTCAAAGACTCTAATTGTTCAGCAAATAACTTTTCCGCAGTCTTGGCTTTTTCCATTAACTGTTCTCTTTAAAGAGAAGAAACAAATTCAGTTATTCACGTTCATATTTAATATGCTTTATTTTTTAAACATAAGGATAGGAAGGAGGATTCCACTGTAAATACTTTCATCTTGGATGTAGACTCTGCACCACTACTGTTTAAAGATTGGAATGTGTTTTCTAATATTTCATATTCTGTTTATTTAAAAGGAGGTTCAAAATAGCTATACAAGGTAAATAGGTTGTTCTAAAGTGGTTTTTTTTTTTTTTTCCAAAATGTCTACTTTCCTTCAGAAAATTAAATGGCTAAGCCTGTTTAGACAAAGGATAATGAGGAGATCCAGACTGCACCTACACTTAGGTTTGAGGTTTTACTTACTGGTGTTCAGTTTTGGGTGGGGAATTTAAACAGCTCTCCATGCTACAGGTACTGTAAGCCACTTCAAAGCGGAAGTGGTATCTGCTATCCTCATGGAAAAGCTGTTTGTAGAAGGGCCATCGTGACCCTGGGTAAGCAGTTCCTCAGTACAGCAGAGCAGGTTGAGGAGTCATTATGGACACGAGTGAAAGAGCCCATTTCTGTAGCTCTGCTTGAATCTACCATGCTGCTGGCTCAGCATACAGGCAATCCTGGTATCGATAGATGAGTAAAGCCATAAAGCTCTGATAGTGCAAAGTAATGTTCCTCCTCGAGTGTAGTATCATGGATCTGGTCTTACCTGCAGACCATCAGCTGTTGATGCTCAGTTTCTTTACTTTTCAGTTCATATTGAGTTTGGATTAGATGGCTCTGCAAGGTATTACTGACCTGCAGAACTTCTTCCAAATGAATAACGAGTTTCTTGTTGTCTGTTTTAGCACTTTCTAGTGCCTTACAAAGTGCTTCCACCTGCACAGTAACAACAAATGAGGTTTATACTTACCCAAATGAAAAAGCTTAGAAAGGATTATTTTTGTCCTTCCCCGTCAGTATCAACTTGCAAGAAGTAACAGTGTGTTCACCAGCTGTCTGATTACAAATGCCCTAAGCACAGGCATCTAGATGGGAATCCTTACAATGCCGATCCACTTACTGGCTTAGTCAGAAGGATCAGAACAACTTGTCATATAGCCATGACTTTCTTGGAAAAAAAATGTTCTTTCCCAATAGTGTTTGGGTTGTGAGGTAATCCTTTTAACACTAAGTATTATGAGGAGAGATGAAATCAATTCTTTGGACCTTTCCCCCTCCATTCTTATACAAAATAAATAAAAGCTATATAAACTTCCATAATCTCTGTTCATATTATGTATCCAGTTGCAGACTGTAAAACCTTCACATGTGCCAAGGAATTTTTCTTGAGAGAGGAGATGCTCGCCTCTTTCAACAATTGAATAATAGTTTTCCTGCTCCATAGCCAAAAGTTGATCTAATATTTTTGCCTTCATTCACGTGAATGTGTCACACTGTATTGTAGTCAGAAAAAGAAAAGGTACTTGGCTCAACACCAAAACTGCGGTGGTGGCTGTTACTGCGGAAAAATGCAGTCTCTACCTGGCTTCTGTGCTGCCTTTCCATGACAACCACTTGGGCTTGGCTATGTTCCAATTCTGTTTCTAACCTCTGTAGTTTTCGTTGAGTCTGCCTCCTGAAAATGGAAATCGCATTAGAAAAATCATGCCTGAAGTCAGTCTCCTCTGAAGTGGTGACGCTCTCAGTTTGGTTCTCTACCTTATCCATATTTTTTGCCTGTCACTGAAGTTGAATTGTTTTTTACCTACTTTCAACAAGATGCACACTCAGTGTACTTGGTTCACTAGTACTAAGTACGTTTCAGTGCTGCAGGAAAGGATATAGGAAACTTCAAAACAAACTTGTCCCATAGCTTATTAGCCAGAACCATGAGGAAGGTGCCACTCGTCAATTGTACCTGCCTTCTCCACACTGCTGATAGACCACAGGAACAGTATCAGTGTCACCTACTTGTCTTTTCTGAGGTTGCTGATTTCAGTGTTCTTGTGTCCCAGCTCCGTCTGTACCATTTCCAGAGCTGCTTGCATCTTGTTATGAGAAGCTAACACATGCTCCAGCATGGCTGTCGCCTTACTGTTACCATCCTTTGCTGTGTCCAGCTGGTGCTGCAGGTTTGCCATCTGCAGTACGAGAAATCATTAGGAAAAGGAGCAGGATATTTTATATAACATAACTTTTATAAGTAACCTGCATGCTTGCAGCAGTGCCAACAGTATGCGATGGTTCTGAACATAGAAATAGCTTCTTCTTATCACATAACCTTTGTTCTGCCCCTGGTATAAGCCCAAGCTGAGTGTGTGGTGGTGGTCTTGGGTTTTTCTGTCCATGTTTTAACTGATAGTTCCAGTGCTTCTGAACTCTTGGCACTTGGGCCTCAGGAATTGCCACAGATGCAAGAAGCTGGGTTTCTAGTCAAAACTAGTTATTGATTCTAATGTTGCTTAGCCTGAGTTTTCATCTGCATCTGTTTCAAACTAAAAACACTCAAAGGTTTTGGTCCCTGTTAATTTTCAGCCGTCTCTTCATTGTCGTCACTCAATTGAAATTAACCACTTGCATTTCATGGTCATCACTCACCACATTACCGTCTCCTTCGTTAATCTCAGTAGGCCGTCCAGGTTTCCGTGGAGTGAGCATGTCTGTTATATTCTCCAGTTTTTCTCCCATATTCTTTATAGCATTTATCAGAATCCTCCGTCTCACCCTAGGACAATCTCCACATGCAGACACAGAGTTTCTTGAACATTCATCTTGTTCAAAATGAACTTGGTGTAAAGTAGAGCAGTGAGCACAAGCACATAAATCAGTCTTCATAGTTTCTTCTCTTGAGCCTGCAGCTGACCTAGCATTACAATCAGGAGACTTCTGTTGCCAAGACCTCACTAGTTTTTTTTTTTGGTTTTGGTGCCATTCCTACCACACAATCAGTCGAGCCCTTGAAGGCAGTGAAGATGTGAGTACCAAAACCAGAAAAACTGAAAAAAAAAAAAAAAAAACAACTCTCCAAAATGTCTATTCACTGGAGCAGAAGTAGGTGCTCCATATTATTGCTAAGTCTGCATTAGTTCAGGAAGATAGTTAGGCTCTCTTCCGTGATACTTTCCACAGCATGTTATCCAAAGTCATGTGACTTGCCTCTGTATCTCGGCAGCAGCGAGACACAGTGCAGGCTGGAACTTCATCAGAAGACTGTGATGTCAGCCACTGTCACAGCTCTGCAGAGCCAGCAGAGCTCTCTGGTTCTGAGCACCCCTCTGGCCTGCTCCAACTGTGAGACCTTTCTACAGCTAGTTCTTGGTATTTGCAAACCAATGGAACCAAGTGTTTTAACTTTCCCAAAATCTGAAAGTGTGCAGGTCATGGGTTCCAATCATCTACATAATATCCAATTGCCTTTGACTATCTGATGAACCAACCTCTATGATGGAGAATAAAGTACAAGAGAAACTTTGATTCATTTCGCTTTCTGGAAACAGAAGGCAAACATAGGACCTCCTGCTTTCCTGGGAAGTGTCCTAAATGTGGTTACATCATCTGTGGATACGATTGACAGTTTGTCAACTGCCTCTTCGGTTTTCCAACTCAAAATGATTACAAGATTGCTTTGATATCTGGGAAGCAAGGAGAGTCTGTAAAGAGCATTTATTGTTACAAGTTCATTCTTGCTTGTAAACAGAAGCCTCAAAGCAGTTACGTGAACTTACAGCTTAGAATAGCAAACTCATGACAGAGTCCACTTCATAGATGTATACCTACAAGCTTGGTTTCCCTGCCCAGGATAACACACCTCCTCTCTGTACTTCTGTCTAAGATTGAGCAAACAGATGGAAGCAGAATAACTTGGTCTCCTGGCAATCTAGCTAGAGAAGTATTATCTACAACTCTCAATCTCTGACTGGGAAATAATAATAAATCCTGAGGACTATCTTTATAATCCTGTAAAGTGTGTGTTTTCTAGCCTGAATACATGCAATCAACTTGCATGAAAACCAGCGCTGTTTAGCTGAGCTTCCATAGTTCTCATGTTTGTTTTGATGAAATCAGGTTCTGTTTCCAGCTGCAGACTAGAATGGGGCAGTTAACATCAAACATATGCTCGGTTCTTCAGGAAAAAGTGTTTAATCTGATTTCTAATGGCTATGTAAGCATTAGTCTGACCCTAATTCTGAGGGGTAAGAAGTTCTCAAAGTTCTGATTCATCTGAGTGTATTTGGTCTCTATACAATGCTCTTGCAAAGCTCGCTACTATCGAAACGTGCATCTACAGCTCTTCCTCCATATTCTGCACTTCAGTTCTAAGAGAAGAGATGTGGCAAAATAGCTCAGCTTTCTTTTAGTGCAGAAACACAAAAGCATTATCTTACTTGGAACACAGAAGCAGAGTGATGTGACAGTCCCTCTCTGCCCAAAGTAAATCTTTTCTTTTCCCTGAGTTCCATAGTAGGAGAAGCAGCAAGTGAATCACTTCTAATTTATCCTTCCATAGAAATAATTACAGTTTAGAATTCACCTTGTTTTAATCTAAGTGCAATGTCAGGCACTGGGGACTTCCTTCTGTTACCACCATCAGACCTAGGACTACTGCACAGATGTCGCTTTCCTGCTGTCTAATAATCATGACACATTCTGTGCTGTTTTTAAAAGAAACTCAGGAATCTTTGCACGACTGTCCCAAATTCTGTCATAGGTCACACTGAAGTAAAAGCTTTGCTTTCAGCACCTCATTTACTGCCTGGATAACTTCTCCTTAAGAAAGGTTATATATGCTGTTTATTTTTGCTTACCACCATGGTCTGCCTCTCTCCTTATTAATTTGTATAGTTTTCCACGTTTTTAACCCTTCAACCAATTTTCTACCCATACATTTTGTTTTAATGCCCCCTGGTGGTTCTTAGCCATTCTACTACTTTCACACATTAAGCAACTTAATTATCACAAATCCTAGAGATGCTACATCAACAGTATCTTGTCACCCAAAGGCAGTGTGTGTAGGATCAAAGATGATGTTGATACAGAACTCTCTTAATATATGTGCCTGACACTACACCAATAAATAAGTAGAGAAGATAAATAAGCACTTCCCTCCAAATTAAGCAATGAAGAACTAAGGTTAAACAACCTTATCTTAGATGAACATAAAAAACAAGTTTCCCCATGAGCTGACAAACAAGATGCTGAGAAGTACCTTAAGTTTTCCTTTGTCACAGGTCAGTTTATTCTTGTTGTTAGTCAGCGCTGCCAGCACGTGTTGCGCCTGCTGCTGGGCATACTGAGGAAAAAAAGAGCAGAGGTCACCATTCCGTAGGACAAGCAAGGCAAAAAGCAACAAAAAAGGTGCTCCATGGCCTCTTTCTCCCTGAGTATTTTAACTCTCCTCTGTTGCTTCAGATATAAATTTTCAATTAGGCGAAACACTGAAACTGATTAAAAAAAAACCCAAAACAAAAAACAACCCACTAAATTTAAAAAAAGCCATATAAATTGCAAGATAGCTCATTCTTTGTTTTTTCTACTTTCAATTTGTTCTTTCATATAGTTTAATTTCCTGTTGTTCTTATCTGTCAAAGTAAGTGTGAAATTGTTGTCACCTGAAAACATCCAGACTCCTAGAAATACTACACATCTTCAGAACAGTTGATCTGAAGGTTGCAAGTGAACTCCAAAATTCAGAAATAGTATCTGCAGAGCTGCCCTGTCTTCTCTCCCTTTTCATGCTTCAGAGAGGAGACATTACAAGTCAAAATGTAAGCATAATAGGAAAGGGGAGAGTTTGTCACACTTGCCACTGCAATAGCAAAAACTAATAGTTCTGAAAGCAAAACTGGTATGTAAATAAGAACTCCAGAGATGTGGGTCTGAAAGCAGCCTTCAAGAATGTAGCTTTGAAACAGTAAGTTTTCTGTACCTCCTGTTGACAGTCTTCCCCTTCTGCCAGCAGAGACCCTTTCTCTTGCAAATCTGTCTCAAATTCACCTTGCAGTCTAGCAACAGTGCATTCCAAAAGCTGTCTACCGTGGGTAGTTGCTGCCTCCTCAGCAAGGCTTGCTTTCTGCCTGTACTGGCCATGCTCTGTACGCAGGGCCTCCCTAAAGAAAGACAAAATAGCCAAGCTGGAGTTCTAGCGCAACAGGACAGCAGATGGCTTCCATACTAAATACCAAATGAGGCCTTCTGGGTTAGTAAGTAACAAGTGCTAAAGAAGCAGAAATCAAAGTGGTGAGAATGCAAGAGAGGAAGAGGAGACAGAGGCTGCAGACCAGAAGACTCCTCACAGCTCTCTCTGAAGCTGAGCCCCCTCACGCTGCACACTCTGCAGCTGAGAATGCTGGCATGGGCAGCATTCAGAAGCGAATCTTGTTCTTGCAGTTTACGTGTCTTTTCTTGTTCTGCCTAAAGGGGGAAAAATGACCCAGGCAACAACTCTACCATCAGAATGATGAGGGATGAGTTATTAATTTACAAAGCTGTTAATTTGTCACTGAGCTCCTGCATCATCCCCATAGTTCTGCATATTGTGGTGTGCTGCTTCTTGAAGAGTGTGTTAAAGCTGAAGTCACCTTATGTAGCTTTTATAAATGTATTTAATCTCAGGTCCTCATTACTTCCATGCAGCTTCTGCATTTACAGGATTTACAATGCCCATTAACTCCTGTGTTGCATTTTCTCAGTTGTTACAGGATGTTTCTATAAATAATATTATCATATTTATGTTCTTTCCACATAACATATGACTTTTTTTTTCCCTGTACTGAAAATAAATCTTTGCCAAAGAAGGACACTCACATTTTTATCACCACCTTTATAGAACTTCCATTGCTACGCATAAAGTATTTTACTGTATTCCCACAGATTATCAGTATTAGGAATTAGTCTGTTGTCTAATGTCTGAGTTGCAGACAACTTTCTTGGACTGTAATTGTAGGTTACATACCCTAAGCATGCTCTGATGAGCTGAAATGAGTTTGGCATTCTCCATGGCAATGCTTTGGAGTGTGGTACTGAGCTCTGAGCATTGCTGGTTTAAGGGGTCATCAAGGACCTGGTTGGATAGAAGGAGGAGGGGCAGGATGACAAACATGTTTTCAGGATTTTGTGGGTTTTTGTTTTTCTTCATAGTCGGCTGTCAGAAACTTTTTAAAAATCTTTTGCAGATGTGGAAAAGTCTATTTTAGGTAGAAAGGGTCCGAAAAAATTTCTTCAGGTAGTCTCACTTTATGGTAGACTTATTCCAAGGTGCTTAAAGTTTACAGTAATGGCAAAAAAAGAGAACATAATTTAAACTATCAATCAAGCATAATCACTTAGTAGTTCTGAAGTCCAGAAAAAAGTAATGGCTCTGAGGCAAAGAAGGCCAAAATTGGAACCAGACCCCTGCTAATTTCATAGTTGAATTATTGCAGATAACCAAAGAAAAAAATAACTTTCTGTGAAAGGCATATCCAAATCCCATTACCAGTGAACACCGCCCAATAAACAAGTATCTGGTGGGGGGGGGGAGGGGAAAAAACAGAAAAATGTTTTCTAAAATATGTTCTAAAAAGAGGGAAAACAGAATAAATAAATTTTTTTAGAATATACGGAGGTATATTCTAAATATACTTTTGTCCAAAAAGGCAGAGGAAATTCTAGCCAGGCAGTTATTCCACAGTTGACTCATTAACAGAAATGTATTCATGTAGAACCTAAAAGTGCAAAGGAATATAAAGGTACTACCTCAAGGGTAGATAGAAGAGGGAGCAGCAGTAGTTCTGCATGTCCTGGGCTCTGAAGAAGACACCTTCAAAAAAAAGCTGATTTGAAATAAGTACTGAGAAGAAAACTTTCCAGCCTTAAGGCTGGGAAATCTGGAACAGCTACCTGGGCTAGTGATTGAATTCCTTCACTGGAAGTTGTTCATTAGCCCACATTACCTGAAGGCACTAAACTTTGTCTCCTGACCTGCATTTGAGGCTTTCCAGTAAATGTATAGTCATTTCTCACTGTAAACACTTGTTTTGTTATGCTTTATTTCCATTTTGAAAACAAGAGTGGCTGTTCTCATTACCCGTACTTCCTCTGTTTCTCCCATGGCAGTCATTTTAGACTGAAGTTGCAGGTTCTCTTTGCATTGTTTGATAAAGGACAGCTTTGCATTCTAAGGGGCAATGAAGCAGAACATCCACTGAGAAAAAAATTAAATGTCATTTAACCAGGCACTTCACAAATATCAAGTCTTTGTTTCATACCTGCTGATTTCTTTTAAGTTGTTGTCACATGGCTACGTGCTCTTGCAAATACTGGACGTGGCTTCTATAGTACAAGCCTTTCCGAAATATACTTTAAAATAATAACCGAAGTGCTACCTACTCTAACTTAGCTTTGAAATTGAGCATGACTTCATACCCTTCTAAGCTCAAGCTTATTAGTCTCCACTATAATTAATCTCAGTACTCTTGAACTTAAAAGATCTCCCTGCCAGACGTGGTACAATTCACAACTGAAGGAATCCTTTGCCAGCACTGTGAGACTCTGCGTCTAAGCTGAATTTTTACCTCATCTCCACTGAAACTTACTCTTTCAGAGAAGACTTCAGACACCACACACAGTTCCTGTGTAGGCTGTAAGCATACCTCTCTGCCCAATTAGTACCCAGTTGACCGAGGTTATGATTTTTCTGTAGTATTAATCACCAATCCATCTATTTATCTCCTTTATATGCAACACTTGTGCTACTACAACTGTGTTTCGTGGTCAGTTCTAGCTTTCTAAGGTAGGCATTCATATTGCTATTTCGATATTTCAGTAGAATGTGAAAGTCAATCTTTCAAAAAATAAGTAGGGCAACCTCAAACTGGCAAAATAATAAAATAAGACGTTCAGTGGTTAGTAGCCTTGTTTGCGTTTGGTGATGTAAAAGTTCTGCCTCCGAAGTGTGGTACATTTGAAAGGCCCCATATAGGCTGTGCTGATCTTTATTTAGGTATTTTCCTTACCAACACTTGTTTACATATTACTTTTGCTTCTTCACCAAGCTGGGAAATTATACAGTTCCTGGAATCTAAAAATAGAAAAGAATGTCAGGACATGCTTTGTTATCTGTTTGGTAATTTTAAAAGGTGACATATTGATTTAATGTTTGAGTTTAGCTAAGTTACTCAACATGCCACAAACAGGTAGGACTTTTACAAATGTGTTCTTGAACACTTTCCTTGATAACTTCAGTATTTCAGCAAATTTACTTTTAAAAATGGATTTCATAAAGTAATTGTAATTTATTTAATTTTAAATTCCACTTCTGCTGTAGATTAACACAAAGATGATAAAAGGCATGTAAGAAAAAAAAAAACTAGTAACTTCTAACAGAACATTGTACATTTCCGGAACAAAGAGATCTTGATGCTCATCAAAAAATTGAAAAAAAAAAAAACCTAGTTACTTGAGCTTTGATACTTTTCTATTTGCTTTCTTTTACCCTTACTAAACTCTTGCTATGAATTTTGAAGTGTTAGAGTGACTGCACGTGACTTCTGTGTACTCACGCAGAGAGGGGGATTGGTTTTGTTTATTTGAATTATGTGTAAACTAGTTTATTTATACCATGAACTATGACCCCTCCTCACACTCCAAAATAGCTAAATAATACAAATACAGGTAAGAGCAAAAAATCTAGCTTTTTCATCATAGCAATTAATGGAGAAAACATTCTTACTCCCAGAAGGTTTGTCTCAACAGAGTATTTTTCAGAAATTGCATTTCTAGCTATTTCTATCTATTTATCAGCACCTCAAATTAAAAAGACTTGTTTAGCCTGGTGAAGAAGAGATTAAGGCAGGATCCACAAATCTGAGAGGTTGTTACAAAAATTGTGGCTCACAAATCTGAGAGGTTGTTACACAGATTACGAAGTCATACTCCTTTCAGTTGCGTTGAATGATTTAAGGAGGGGCAATGGTCCCAAATGTAAGCTCGAAGCATTCAGATTGGATGCTAGAAAAAAAAAATTTTAACTGGAACATTACTGTAGTACTATAAAAAAAATACCTAAAGCAGCCATGGAATCACAGTCCTTGAACTCTGCTAGACAAAGCCAGCACTGCCCCAGTCTGTTGTTTGCGATACTCCTACTTCGAGCAGCAAGTTTGACTACATGATTTCTTCTGATCAACATTTGCACAAAACGCTGTAATTATAAAGTGTTTTAACTGGTTTCTAGGAACGACATCCAAGTTCTTCCTCTTTCTCTCAGATGAGAAAATGAAAACAGATACAAAAGAAGACTGAAAGTTGCTCAAACCTGCTTCCTTCTGCTTTTACTGTTTGCATGTTCTGTACATGACACCTGACAGTATCTCGGGATTCCTCCAAAGACTCCTGCTGGCTGATCTCCTGAGACAGCTGTTCTGTTAGGTAGGAAAAAGAAACACTTTGTGACCCAGGTCTAATTAAGTCAAGTGAATAAATACTTCAAGTTCATGTATGAAAGATGTTCTGTCTGGGTATTTAGTTATGACCATGGCTGGCAGGTTCCTTTGTGTTGTGCACACTCCAAAATTGCACCCAGAATATTATTTAAGGATCTTCTTCATGTTTTTAAATAATACTTGGCAAATTCAGCCTCCTGCTAAGCTTCTTGCTCTTGTACTTACCTCCTGAAGTCTACAGTTAATTTTCTGTTTTGTGTTCCTCAGTTCCTCAGTCATGATTGCTACATCTATCTAAAGAAGATGAAAAAACCAGATATTTTTATCCTTTCATGTTCATAACTATTACAAAAGCAACAGATATTATAAAATGCAACTGCCACACTAACACCTAGAACTTGATTTCTATCTCCTGTCTTATGTTCTCTGTTCTGAAGCATTGGATAGAAGAGTGCAAGCACTAAGATGCAACATGTTCTTTAATACAATTAATGAGATTGAGTGACTTATTTCATTACAGTTCTCTTCAGGGGAGATAGTAATAGAAGTGTAAGACTGAAATACCAGAGAAATGCAAGTTCCTAGAAAACCAGAAAAGCTATTGGGAACTCTACACATGAAAGCTATGATGAACTTAAGTCACAAAGACGGGAGAGTTACAAATCTCAAATGTTTTTATTCTTGATTTGCTATGTAATTTTTTTACATTAATGGATGTATAGATGCTCATAAGCAAAAGTGCTTGCTGTTACTGCCAACCATATATCATAAACTCCTTTTCCCAGCTCAGTATACTTTCTGTTTAACAATGTCAGAGATTAATGTATTTAAAAACAAGTCTGTTAATACTTGAAACTATAATAAGATCATAATCTTTTGTACCTTGGATGCAGCTGTTAGTGCCAGAGCAGTACTCTCTGAACTTCTTTTGCCTTTTCTTCAGCCTCTTTCATACCACTTAGGCATTGACCCAGCTTCATTGCTTCTTGCTAATGCTCCTCATGGATTGCATTCGGGTGCTGCTCCAGCTGGGCTGCCACAAGGAAAAGGCAAAAAACTTTAATTGACAGAAAAAGCATATGGAGGGACAATGAAGAACCAAGTGGTAAAACTGCCCTTTTTTACTACCTGCATGCTTTAGATTCAGCTCCTTTTCTGTCTGCAGCCAGAAGATACTTAATTTCAGTGTCTATACAACACTTTAACCAACACATTCAATTCATCAGTGTTTCACAGTCTTTCCACAGTGTATTTTCTCCCACAGACACTACCCTGGCCTGCACAGGGCTAGTGGCTGCGTGGCTATCAGGTGTTTCTGAGGTCTCTGAGTAGAAATGATTGAGGCTTAAAAGGAGAAAAGACTGACCTACTCTGTGTATGCATACCTACCTACCTGACATTGCATGTATGCATTACAGATGTGATTAGATTAGAAACCATGTTTCATAGAGCTGGAAGGCTTCCTGTGACCCCAGGTTGCTGTCGCCCGTTCTCACTGACTACCAGTACCAGGTCCCTCACAGAGAGAAGAGCAAAGCATAGCAAATGGGTGCAAAGAGGAACAAGATAAATCAGGAAAAGTGTGAGCTCTCCATGAAGGTAGAAGCTTACCCCTGTGTTCTTCCTACCTCTGCCCATCGATACTGAGTGCCTCCAGGTCTGGCACCAGGGCACTGGTTTGCCTTTCCACTGCTCTCATCCTCAGGTGGAGCACCATGAAGGCCTCTAGTGCGGTCGCCCTGAGGCTCGCGGGCACAACGGTTGGCCCGGCCATCGCAGCCCTGCAGCCTCCCCCTTCCCACCCCACGGGGGCCCTCACAAGCCCCGGCGGCCTCCCCAGGCCTGGAGCACCTGGCCCCCTGAGCTCCCTCAGCTCCTCCATACCCACAACTGCCATGCACTGTGGCCGGGCCCACATCCAGCGGTTTAAGCAAAATGCATGAGACGGCAGGGCCTGCTGTGGGCAGGCGCCATGGGGCTCCGGCCTCCTCACCCACCGGTGCCGGGGAGCCGCCTGAGCCGCCGCTGCAGCTGGTGAGTGGGGTCCTGGGGTTTGCTCAGGGGATTCTGCTTCTCATTTCTTTCCCTCCGGCCTGCCTTGCAGCCCGCACCCTGCCTTTTCAGCAAGATGCTGAAGTAGTTTAGTGTTTGGAGGGGTTTAAAATCAGCTTGCAGGACCGGTAGGCTCAAACCTCCATAGGGACGACACGCTGCAGGAGCATGCTAACCTGTAGGCTAATAGCTATTTTTATACATGATCAATTTACTGCATATCAAATGACATGTTCACATTGGGCTCTAAGCAAGCATAGTATTTTATACTTAATGAGCATGCAGACATTTAATGTAGATCAGCAATCTTACTGAGTTATGCTGTCTCCATTGTGCATCTGAGGTGTCAGTCTTTTAAAAATGTACCACTTCTGTCTACTGAGTTTCATTTTTATAGAGAGAGGAAACCTGTAGTCTCTTGGTTAGAACATACAGCTGTGAAACTGGAAACGTGCTGTCTAAAGTAGGCGTCAAATAGCAATACTGCAAGCGTTAGATATTGTGGGGACTCAAGCAAAGGTGTTTAAGATATCCATACTAGAGATTTAGAATCTCCTTTTCACTTTTGACAGCTCATCTGGCTTCTGAGGGGCATCTGTGTGCGATTTAACTCCTCCCGTGCATTGAACAGGGAACATGAACACCTAATTCCCAGCTGAAGATTTTGCACAGGGTCAGGCATCACTCAGCATGCAGTGTGGAAACATCTAAATATCTTTCAACAACCTATCACTTGGTCTCAGCTTTGCCTGAAGCTTCTAATATGTTGAGGTATACCATTGAGATAATACGTGTTTGGAGTGAACTGTTTTTGTAGGGCATGTTGAGATCCTATTATTAAATATATATCTGGAAGTGACAAGCAGATATTTTAAAAATTTATATATATCTGTAGATGGCAGCAGAGAGAAACTATATTTATTGGAACATCTAAACACGGTGATTATGCATTTTTTAATTTGTGCAACTGCAGCTGGCGGCTATCCATTTATGCCGAAAATTTTATATTCTGTTGGTGAATATAATTGTTTTTATATAAGGATCTTTTGTCATGACTTTTATTTTGGAGGAAGAGTTGAAGCTTTTCTGATCAAAGAGAGTGACACTGCGGACAGGCCAACACTGCATTTGATCAGTAATGTGTATGTAATAAAAGGATCCTCAGCTGATGTAAAGATGTCTTGCTCCACTTGAGAATTTGTTCCAGGAAGCCTTTGCCTAGGGGATGTTGCCAGGAGGCTTGTGAAGAAACGTGGGATGTGAGGGAATATAAAGTTCACTAGGGAAAAAGAGAATAAAAATGATAAATTAAGTAACTCACCTAAGGAAGAGATGCATAAATAACATTGGATATTAAAAGTAACATTGATTTTATGGTGTAGTTTCTCAGTAACTACTGGTGTTGTACTTAGGCTATTCTTTTATCAGAGGATATCGATACAAAGGCAGTGTAGGGATGCCTAGTTTATGCAGTACAATAATCTGTACAGGAATTGAGAACATAAAAGAGCAACTGATATATAGATCGAATAGAAACTGTATTTCAGAGATCCTTTTATGAGCCAAGGTAGGGTAACAATATTTGACAGAAAGTTAATTCTGAAGGCACTATAAATTTTGAAAGAAACGCTATTCTTAATTTAGTTTGCATGAAAAGAATTGATTGATTTGAGCTTTTTATTCACGTTCTTTATTTTACTTTCGGAAGTTGGTGTGTAGTTCAATAAGAGTAATTTCATATAAAAAATGTAGGAGTAAAACGTATACATCAAGCTGTCTGTAGCATGTTTTCCATGGGAAACTTTTAAGACAACTGTGATCAAAGAACTGAGTGTTGAAAGCTGAAGTTAAACAATTTGATGTCCTTTTCTGCTCTAAATATCTTGCCCGGCAGTTTCACAGGAGACTTCAAAATAACCTAAAAATGGTATTTTCTTTTATTTTTAATATCGTTTATATGGCAATAGGAGATGGGGCAGGCAAGTGCATTATGGTGACACACCACCTACTTTTTTCTTCAAATCAGTATCATTTCCTTCATAGTTTGACACCTACATGAATGCCTGGTGAAATCATCATTGTTGCACAAAGTTCCAATGTAAAATGGGATACAAGAATGCTTTGGTTTGTGGTAAGAATACAGGTGGACTTCTGTTTCTTACCAAAACACCTGTGCTTTGTGTGACATGTACATCAGCTCACCTATCTCAGTAACACTTTAATTTAAATCATATATATATATAAAATATTGGATAATTCATGTAATGTTTTTATTATTTCAGCAGTTTTATGGCTCCAGTTTATTTTTGTACATTGTCTCCAATCAGGTTTTCAGTCTGATTTCAAATTTTTCAGGGAATGGGGCTTTCCCTGGGAAGTTTTTCCCTATTCCAATAGATCTCACTGCTTAAAGGTGCTGTTACATTTTCCTGTCTTGTAATGACATTTCTTTTAGTTATAGCCTTTTTACTAACTTGGTAATTTAATTTCTACTTATATTTGCCACGTACTTGTAGATAATTATGTGCTACAACTGTCATTAGTTAAGAAAATTTTATGCCAGCATATGAAAAATAATTCTTCATAGTTTTGTTGATCTTTCTTGAATTCTTTCTACTGTTTTGTGGTGGAACTGGTCTTTGTTCAAGGTGGAGTCTGAGCTGCTGGCACTTCTGCAGTGCTTGTCTTTAGAAAATCTTTTCCTCTCACTCAGTTACTTGCTATGCGGAGTGCTCTGGTATGAAGGTAAATCAGAGAGCAAACATTAGTACAAAGATCTCTATTTTAGATTTCTTGGATGATATGAGAAAATGCTACAGCAGTAAGTAGAACTTGCAAGTTTGAATTAAGAGGTGGGATAAATCAAATCTGCTAAATTGGATCAGTTTGTCCATCCAGGTTAGCATTCTGCAAAGGAAGATACTTTGTAGGAGTACGAGCCTCAACTCTCTTCTATTGCTGCTGTAGGTCTGCTTTCCTCAAGTGTTGCTTGGGTTAGCTTGTCCCCTTCTAAATTTCCCTTTTTTATTGCATCAGATACAAGCTGTAGAAATGGATGGCCGAAAGTTTCCTCTTTAGAAACCTTCATGATTTTTCTTCATCCTGTTTGGTTTTATGATTAATGAAATGCTAACTCCTGAGTTTGCTTGGCCCATGCTGGTGGACTCCAAAATGCTTTAATTTAATTTTCATACAAGCACATAAGTGTTTGTTTGGTTGTTTTTTTTTTATGTTTTTTTTTTTTTTTGTGGTTTTGTTTTTGCTTTTTTTTTTGTTTGTTCTCATCATTTTCACATTTAGAAGGGTATCAACATAAATATGCTGAAATCACTCTTCTTTGATCCATCCTTAAAACTCTCTTGCACCGTTACATCTGCAAAACTTTGTGAGAATTCAGGTTATCAGTATATTTCTACCACTGTGGTGGTTTACTGGCAATAACTCTGTACTTTGCTGCTCAGTCTGTTTGCATCCATCTGTTCTTTGTAGCAACCTGTCAGATCTTTAGAAAAGCTGGGGACCAGCTTTTCAGTAGTGTCATGACAAGATCATCCCTGGCTTAGTGTTATTAGCTGCTATAGAGTCTTACAGTAAGTATATTATTAGATATATTACATAATAATATGGCATTATAAGTATTCTATATAACATTTTTCCTCTTGATGCTGCCAGTACTGATAATCCTTATTTTGTATAACAGATAAAAAACAATGTTCTGTTTCTATCTCTCTGTGCTTACCTGCCTCTCATCTGCCATCCTTTTCCCCTTCTCCCCTTTTTTTATAGTGAACTAATACAATATTTCTTCAGTTTGACAGCTTTGTCTCAAACAAGGAGGGACAATAGTCAACAATGCAGGTAGACAATAGCAGATAGATATCCAACTCAAGTGTTAAATCAACACTGCTGACAGAAATTAATCTTTTTTTTGTGAGTATGGTATAAGAATGTTTATGCAAACCAGTGAACATAATGTTTCACTGAAGATGCTATCAGCAGAAGACAGCTTTTTTTTCTCAGTTTCCTATTTATCTCGTCTTTTTTTTTTACAGCAGTGTAAAATTAGTATACAGTGCTAATACTCTGATTTATTTCATATGATGTAGACCAGAGAAAAAGGGAATATGGATTAGGCTTTCAGGTGCCTAAACAGAAGTCTAATGCCAGTTTAGATATTGCAGGCCACTGTAGATAGTCTCACAGGGCTAACAGATGTCATGCAAAATATAAGGGGGTCCCAAGCAAAGAGAAGCCAGCTGCGATACTTGAGGTTGTCTAAAATGGCACTAGACACCTCTCTGTAAGCAACCAAATTCCATTTGAGATGTCAGAGAGGTAATTTCTATGTATCGTGAGGAAGATAAATGTTAAATGATTACCAGTGTTTCATTCCTCTTCCTTGAATCATTTGCTTGTTATTAAGATCAGTTTTATGAAAAAACAGAATTCAGATTGGTATGATTAATTTAAATTTCTTCTGTTTGTTTTCCCATCTGAGGTAGTCTGCGTTAGTGTCTTTAGAATGACTCATGATGATGTCACACTGAGAATTATGAGTTCTAGGGGATAGACACTAGGATCAAATAAACTAAACCCATCAGATTTTATATGAAGACTAATGTCTTTAATAAGAAACATGCAAGGTTAAGATTCTGTCTGTATATGTGTGTGTATATACATATAGGCAGAAAAGACAGTAATAAATTTGTATCTAAGTTGTTA